CAGAAACGCGGACTTTGCCGCAGAGCAGTGTGAGAGCACGTGCTGGGCACCGACCTTGTAGTGTAAAGCCCGGCCAAGTGCACGAGGGAAACCTCTCCAAAAGGCTCGCAGTGCGTGCGTCGTCGAAAAGATTACGTCAACAAAAAATTCCGCCGTGGGCCAACCCATCCTCGAGTTGCACACTCTTGTTTATCTACTCTTGATACGACTTTTGCTAACGAATTTTAAAATAACGATAAATCTTTGCTCGTTAACTCGTTAGATTTTCTTGTTCGTTACATATTCATGATTTACAGTAGACATTAGTTCAATATGGCAATTAAACAATGCTGCTATTACTAGCTGCACTCCTATCTAACTACACACTAGTTCTTTCTGTTTTTTTTTTGTAGTTGAAGTTCATCACGAATGTCCCCTCTTCTGCCGAATCACGACTTATTTTGAGTGCTCATATTTCGATTACAATTGCCGTTGTTTCCTTGTTTATTGCTGCTTTGTATTTCTTTTCTACTTTGCTTCTATATGTATTTTGCTTTGCTTTGCTGTGCACCTTTTGCTATTCCACTTTCGTGTTCTTTCCAATAAGGGTTTTGATCTAACTACAATATACCTGCGTAGATGGCTTTTTCTCTCAACACCTCGAATGGTTCTGTACAATCTGTATCACAATTTGTGGGTTCAGCAATAAAGGATATGAAATCCTGGATGAGTGCTGTCTATGGACTTGGAGAATGGATAATAATATTTAGACGCTTTTAGTTGCGCTATGGAGTATGGTATAATAATGATCTGCTTTGCCAGTACAAAGTCAAAGACAAGTGACTGCGAATAACAAATGCCTCTAGTTTTTATGTCATGATGCGCTGAGTACTTTGGATTGTTCCCCTCATTTTCTGGACAATCACGGATTTAGTTTTTATCTGTCCTTTCTTACTCTTTTTTCTTTGTCAGCTTTCCTGGTGGTTATGTGCTTTTCAAGTAAATAAAAAAAAAAAGTTCAATGACTACTACTACATGTACTACTAGTACTACTATGACTATTGAGTAGAACAGCGTAAGCTGTGATGAAACTGCCAGAAAGGATTCAGTGATACTTAGTTAGGATGGAAAGAGTACTGGACCACTGCCTGGTGTCGGGAACGTTCTAAACACAGAAGTCAGTCATGACGAATATTGAAATAACCGCCAGATGAAGTGCAGCTACGACGTTCTGAACGCCAGCGAAACGGGTTGGTTGTCGGTGGCACAGCGGAAATATCGCTATCCTTAGAACATCTATCATGGGATAAGCCACGCCGTGCTCCCGGCTATCTGCGTTGCTTGTCGGCTGAACGTCGCTCGACATCATCTCAAGGCAGTTGCCTTGTTAGACACAATACCGTCTTTGGACATAGCTATAGGAAACAGATGCTTACATGTAAGGCGCTCTCCGCCGCTGAAAACCAGCTGAAGCGAGCAGTCAGGCTTTGCAACGCTCTTTGCACTGTTCGTGAATCCATATGACTTTATCAGATAATCCCCGACTGGGCTGAATGGGTTTGCGCTCTGCAGCGCCATGGACCCCCAGCATGCAGTGGTTGACTTCCCAGCAACAACTCTACACAACCGCTACGATGCGTGTGACAAAGTCTACAGAGACTACAACAGTTACTGTACGACTACTTAGGCCTATGACCTAGTAGAATTGTATTTCAGTAGCAAATGTCACAAACCAGCCAATGATTTTAGGAGATGACAAGACAACAGCAAAGAAGATGTAGCTATTGTAGCTATTAATGTGTGGACCTACCCATATCGACGACGGCGAAGCAGTTGTTCTGCTCCATTGGCGGAGTCGCGTCTCCACAGGCACTTGTGCAGTTTTGTGTAACGCAAACCGTGCGCTTGATGCTCGACATGCCGGACCAGGCTCTTTGAGTTTGAGGGATGTTATGTTTCTTCATACGAAACCTCCGCCATGTAGTCGGCTGCAGCAGAAGTGAAGTCACTAGCGTGCTACTCTAGTACTATCCTTGTTTGTTGTCTTGCATGATCAGAATGGTAAAAGAGTAAAAGTACTTCACTTGAAGGTGAATACGGGAAGAGGGCTGGCTGTGACTTCGCTCTTCACGCCACTTCAAAATATCTCAAGTGTTCTCACAAAGCGGAACCGTTCCGCACATGCATGTGCAGTACATGTACACGTAGACCTACGTATGTCACGATAATGACATTATGTGGGCATAGCGTGTGCTGAACTCACTATGCAGTCTCGCTGTACTACTGTAGATCTACTGTCTAGTCTTCACTATCACTATACTCTATAGTATCAGTATCAGTATCACTGACTCTCTGTACTGGTCTGTGCCATGCCAAGGCATGGATCATGGATGGGTACCGGGTACGGGTGGGATAGCGCTAACTTTTATTTTTTGTTATGACACAAACTATGACAAAGGTGTTGATGTCGTACGTATGAGATGGAGTGCGTGGGCGTCCTTTTTCTGCCCAGGCATGCATGCGTGGTAGGGACTGGGTGCATTTGGGGTCCACAGGAACAACACAGACTGCAGTGCAGGCTGCAGCGCTGGGGAAGTGCGCAGCGGCGGCCCTGGCCTCCGAGTCCGACTACGTCCCACTTGTACTTACAAATACAAGTCACGCGCACGGACGGTTCCAACTACTTACTTCAAAGACGTCGACAAAGAGATCATTATTATACATACATGTGCACGCCGCCCACATGTTATACTCCTGCTGAGTCGTAGGCGGGTTATCATGGTTATTGTGAGCAACAAGGACGTGGGACTACGGCTATGCATGTCGATGTACACAACAGTATACATGATTGTATACTGTACTAGTACTAGTACTAGTACTAGAGGCCAGGCCAGGTGACATTCCTATGACAGTATGCAGTACTATGAGAATCAATATTATGTCCCATGTAACTAACTTTACTTGTAAGACTACTGGGTCTGCAGATCAGGGGATAGGGGGAACCGAAAATATGGCTACGCAAAGAAACTGACAGTCGCTGCATGAAGCTTGTGATTGTGAGGAAACTGTCAATGACGCCATGGGTAAAGAATATAGAGCTAATAACATTGTAGCCTGGATCTAGAGCAAGCTGCTACACTACAGTCTACAGACTACAGTCTACAGCCTAGTAGTAGTACAATCATGTATACAGGTACAGTACAGTTAGTCAATACAATCATACAATACAGCATGATGTACTAGCAATGCAAAACCCATAACTGGCATAACTGGCATAACAGTCATAGGACATACCAAGAGCACTACTACTACTACTAGTACTAGTAGATACGGGTAAACTTTTATTATTCTACTTTTTTAGTCTTGGACATACATGTAACACTCAACCGACTACTAAGTATCACTTGCCACTTGTCCTCTACCCATGGCCCAGTCTTGCGATGTGATCACTGCCATGGATCAGAGACAGGGGGACAAACTCCGTAGATCTACCACCACTGCCCAGGTCTAGTACCCCCACCGGTACGCCGCGGTGCGGGACAGTGGGCCAGATACTGAGATAGAATGCAGAAGGAAAGAGAGGGATGCAAATAGTCAGTGCAACATCCACATCAAATCGTTGATAACCACAATCCGCGTTACATGCATGCAGTCATTGGCATTGGTCAAATCGAGCATGTGACGTCATGACGTCAGTGCAGTCACTAGTATGTAGTAGTACTATAGTACAGTAGTGGTGAGAAAGATGTCCGTGATCGGGGACATGCCCCCGGACACTGGCTACTGCATGCACTGGACTCGACGTGGACGTCAACACAACAGGCACAAGTGGCATTTCAAGATTTGGCCGGTCATGATCATTATTTTTATGCAAGCAGTGGCAGTGGTGCCTGTTAGTGTTGGCTGCGCTACATGACCACAGGACCAACATTTGTAGCAGAGGAGAGCTAGGCTAGCTAGGTAGACTAGACTAGACTCTACTCTAGAGCCTAGACTAGACTAGGCTAGAGTAGGACAGTCTGTACAGTAGTATACTGTATAGTGTAGACAGACTCAGTGACAGTGTAGTAGAGCCTGGTTGGACATCGTCGGTCATTGCATTAGATCGACCACATTTGGATGGCTGACAGGTTAGAGGATGCGTATCACTACCACCAGATCTACCACTTATCAGCACACGCTGCGTGCCAGTACGACTACGACAGTGCAGTGTGCGGCGAGCTTGTGTGAGTCGTACTCGTAGTGGTAGCGGCTGCGGCCCCCAGCTAGCACCATGTCCATGATCCAGTGCTAGTGCCCTTTTACCATGTTTACCCAGTCCGCATGCAGTCAGCCAAACCGACTGCGCTGATTTGTGCAGATTTGAACGAGTCCAAGGGCCGTCGCGTCGGATCAGTGCGATCGCTGCCGCATATCCCAGCCTGCGAGTTGTTGTAGTGATGACCATAGCAGCGTGCAAGCCCAGTACGGCAGTAGTACTAGCGGCAGTACGGCCCAGCCAAGCCTAGCCTGTCATCTAGTGGTGTTGCTGGTGACCAATAGCTGAATAGGGCCACGACCAGCAGCTGTCTGGCGTGCCCAGCGCACGTAACGTCGTTGGGCTGCACTGACATCAAGAAGAGAGACTCTCAGACAGTTCGAGTCAAGCGCATATAAAATGTGTGCTCCACATCTATGAAATCACTTCGTGAAGCCGCTCTAGGCTTATCCAGCGGTCGTTCTCCTAGTTGGCAGCAGTGCAGCAGTGTCGGTGCTCGTAATCGCTCTCGGTCAGCGAACCTACCGACCCAATAAAGCCTTCCTGTCAACCAGCGCTGCAGCTATTGTCTCCCGCGCGCTCCTGCTCGGCTGGCCAGTTGATTGCATCTTGCTCCGGTCAGCATCCCTGCTGGCTCTCCTCTAGTTTATTGCGGCTATCACGGCTCTTATAAGCTTAGGTGTTGGTTCTTCTGTTCCTGCGAGGGCTGCGTTACACTTGACGTTGTAGTGGTGAATAATATTTTTTTGCTCCTCGACCCAAGATGAGGGACGAAGTCTGTTGTGCTGCGAATTTCGTGGCAGAGTTGCTCAGCACTGGTGTTGAGTGCATGGACGAAGAGCAGGTTGAGATGTTCACGACAGACCTGACGCATCGCTTGATGGAACACTATAAATGTCACTGGCATCCCGAGAAACCCACGAAAGGCAGTGGGTATCGATGCCTGAGGATCAACCATCAAGCAGATCCCATCATTCAGTGCGCTGCAGATCATGCTTCGCTCACCTCCGAACTACATCGATTGCCAGCGGAGCTGACTATCTGGGTCGATCCGCGTGAGGTTTCCTACCGCATTGGCGAGGATGGATCAGTGTGCAATTTGCTCAAGCGAGCCGCGCCGCCATCCACCAGCATTAGCCCGAACGCAGAAAGTTGGTATCCTGCGTCTCGTTCGCCACCATCGCCGAGCGTCTCCCCACCTCGACAAAGTACATCGCCCAACTACAGCTACAGTCCTGTCAATTTCGAAGTGAGGCGCTCGCCGCTAACGCGCCGTCTCTCTCAGCCCGATTCGACTCCATGGAACCGCCAGGGCGCTTCTCTGTCATGGCTCAACGCCACGACGAGCAGCAGCAGCAATAGTAACAACTACAACAGCAGCGAATACACTCGCCACGTATCCTACAGACAGCAGTCGTATCCATCTCCTCCGGAGTCACCCCCGACGATTACGTCCAGCCATCACCACCACCACCACCACCAGTTCCTGGCTCGCTCTCCATCACCTCCCTACCGGAGCAGTCGCATGGCCAGGTTTGTGGCGACGCCCGTATCGTAAATGTATGTGGCAGCTATGTCCCTCTCCCTGACCCCAAGCCCTTGGTGTACAGATTTCGTTGTACAAGTTCCGTTGTGTACAGTCAGTGCCCCTTCACCCATTCCCATCGCTAAAAGCACATCAGTGTTGCTTGTGTAACATAGAGGTCCCAATCTGTATACATATCCTCACGTCTCCATTTCGCTCTCTGCATATACTAGCTGATGAAAGCCATCGCCAGTTTTGCTGGAAAGTGCTGTACTATAGTAGAAACCTCCCTGGCTCACTCTCCCCCAGCTCCTCACTACTTAGAGGCTGTGCAGTACGGTGTACAATGCTACTGCTGATGCCTGGTGCTTCAAAGTAAATCTTCCTGCTTGATACAGCCTCTACTATTTCTTATAAATCTGCTAATTTCTCAATTGATGTGGCCTCGCTTTTCACTCTGCACTCCATTCTGATTTTTGTTATCTGAATTACGATTTGTTCTCACCGTCCTCTTGATGCGATGATGGCTTTCGCCATGGCAATAGATATGATGATTTTCGAATCTCCGCATAATTATGATTCCCTGCAACCCTGAGCTTTTGATGATTATTTTGTTGATACAACTCATATGAGAGCAGAGAGATTCTGTCATCCAGAGAACACATTTAGTAATTTGCGCTATTGTTTTTCTTGCTTTATCAGACTTTGGTATTGCTTTTGAAGTTGCCAGTGACTGGCCCCTGCTGTTTTATTTTAATTATCAGTCCAGATCTTTTGATTCTATCCTAGAATTTTATTTCCCCTGTTCCGTGATTTTGGAAACGTGAACCCATCCAAACATAATATCCCTGGTGCGTTCTTGAGTCCGGCTTGTGCAAGGTAGTAGTTGATCAGTACTACTAGTACCAGTGTGAAGTCTGGTCTGTACCAGTACTGAGCACCTGATATTACCGTAATGGAATAGTAGAACAGTTAGGGAGCAAAATCATGGCATGTCCAGTACATCAGCTTCCAAAGATACCTCATCATGCCTGCCTACTCCGACTAAAGTCCAGTAAAGAGGAATGGCAGTGTGTACTCTGTCCACACATTATCACATTCAGTGATATTCTTCCAATACTACAAGCTGGTGTTAAGGTAAAGATGAGAGGGATGGAGGATTGTCATGCGCCAAACACCACTTCCTATTCCTGCTACCTATTTCACACTCACTCGCGCGCCACACGAATAACAACAGATGCAAGAGGACACTGACCGTACTGTGGGAAGGTGTAGACTCGAGACTTCCCAATGCACTAACATGACATTAATCTGATCCCACGCATGCAAATAATTTAGCCATTGACAAAAATAGAGAGAAATAGCTTCCTGCCATGATCTCAGCAAGAAAATGACAAACTGAACAGCACACTTCAGAAGAAATTGCATAAAACAACAGATGATATCCATGCAATTAAATTTCATCAAAAAACGGGCATGCATAATCAAATGTTTTGCCCTCGTCAATCAAACGGTGCGCATGTGCACGCGCACAAACACACGATGGCGGCCGGTGCTGCACAGTTACCGGTGTCTGGATGCTGCAGACCAACACGGACGGATGCGCGGCGGCAAAACCCGAGCAGGCAGCTGTTCACCGCTGAGCCTAGCGAGCCTTGCAAGTTGCAACAGTGCAGTGAATCTTGTCAATTCACAATCATCGGCCGGGCCATGCCCGTATGCTCAACGCACCCACTGCCAAGCATGGTGCAGTTACAGCGTCCGTCAGCTTTGCATCGTCCGCACAAGCTCTATATGGCAACACACAGCCTGCAGCAAATATTCCCGAGCATTGAATGGGCTTCAGACAGGATGACGGTGCGCGAGGAGGCACATGCTAACTAACAAGCCTGTGTGGGGTAGCTCTACAGCGGCTAACACCATCCTGGTGTCGCGTGCCGCACAACAATGGCCGTGACACAGGAAGAGGATGCGAGCCATCCGGAGACTGTGCCAATGCCAAGCGGCTTGTTTGCACCTGGGTCCAAGCATGCCCACACATCATCAGAGTTGGGAACTTTTTTTCAGCCCGAATGAATGTTTGCTCGTTCAAGGCACATGTCTGGAAGCAACTCGACACCACCTGTCCACATGACACTTGCCCTCGCACTAGCACTTACGCACCGTGGCCAGAAGTGGCTGTGCTGAGCAGACTACGATGGCCGCTGGCAGCATGATGGTCAGGAGAAACATCATCGGCAGTGGTCTGTTTGTCTGTCTGGCGGCTGCTTACACAGGTTCTGGCCACTCGTCTGTTACTTTCTTCCAAGAGCGGACGCGCTGTACTCGACGCATGATGTCACCGCACATCTCGCCTGTAGCGAATTCAAATAAGCGAACTTCTACTTTTAGACCCTGGTCGGCACTGAATGCTTGCTTCAAAGCCCACGCCCTGCCGTTTCCTTCAAAGGTGACGTACCCTTCGTCCGGACGTAGAGCCACCACCTGGATACCAGTGATGGACTCAAACGGTTTCAATTCATCATGCGATGCAATCAGTGCCTCTGTCAGCACCATGCTATTGCTTTCCACAAGAGGCAGTGCATGGCGAGCAGCCAGCGCACGGGCACGAGACTTTTCCAGGGCGGTGTCACGATCTACATTGTGAATGGCCTTCAGCTCGTGCAGATCAACAAGGATGTTGGTGACATCTGAGCTCAGGTGGTTAATATCTGCAACTGCTTTCGCCAGCAGTAGGTCGGAGATGTCCAGCTCAGTGATTTCCGGCGTCTTCTGGATAGCCCACTCGACGAGCTCGGACGCTTTCGTCAGCATGTCACCATCCTGGTGCTCCCGCTCCGCCAGCTTAGCAGCCTGCAGCAGTCGCTGAGCTTCTTGCTCCACCGTCCACACCACGCGCTGCAAGCAGACAGCGTCGCTGCCGTCTCCGTCATCGCGCTGCGTTGCCGCCATGAAAACCCTCTGCAGCATCTGCAGTATCCTCTGACGCTCCTTGTCTCCCAGCTCCGATAACACAGTGGAGATGCTATCCCAGTCAAACCCCGGCGATGATGACAATAACGTATCGCCGTTATCCGTATCCTGCTGCTGGTGGTGACCGTGGAACGGGTCTGTTTTCGGCGGTGGCTCCAGCACCACAGGTCTGCTCGTCTTCGCCGGTACCTGGCTTGGCTTCTTCTCGCGCAGAAAGGCGTACATGGCTGCAGCGCCAATGCATCCCACTACGACCGTGCGCATCTGCGTTTCCTCCCAGAGCAGAGAGAATCCTACCAGGCACATGTTCAGACCGAGGGCAAGTATTGCACCTCGGCTGAGCTGCGCTTCAATCATCTTATCGGTTTCCAAGTGCCCATAGCGACTCTGGTAGATGAACGAGCCAAGGAAACAGCCACCGATTAAGTACAGCAGCAGGTTGGAGAGGTGCTCCGGTACGATGTGCCATAACGACACGCTAACACCACAGCTCAGTAGTTTTTTGTTTCGCTCTGTAAAGAGCACTTAGGGTTCCCTGTAACAAGACGGCAACGTCTGTAGGGCCTTCCCTATCAAAATAATAAATTCTACTACTACTACTACTCAGTACCAACACCAGCGCCAGCAAAATCTGTCGTACAAACGTCATGTTCGCTTGCGCTTGGTAGAGCAAGGATGAAGGCCCAGAGAAAGTCAGAAAAGGCTCCGGACGCAGTCTTCAGCCGACCCAATGTTCTGGAGGATGACCATAAGATCGTCTGCTTCAAAGAACTTGGACTGAGAAAGGTCCCGACTGAGCCCTGTGTACCTCAGACTTCGATTGAAAACAAGATTTCGGCCGACGACGATGGTCGTCTGGCAAAGAGGCGGTGAAGTACCAGTTCAACAGCTTACAATGTACTGCTAGCCATGTCCATGTCCAAACAACCTTGCCATGAACAAGGTACTTCAACAAACACGAAACCGAGCAATGAAGCAGCAGCCACTAGGCACTACGACAGCTCCAGCGAACGCCTAGCCTGGTAGAGCAGCCACGACACTTGTTCAAACAACACTCAGCCAGAGGAAAAGAATCCAAGCCTGAAAGTGAAAATGCCGCCAAAAGCGAATAAAAAGCTTGCACACAGGAACACGTGACGTCACCTTGGTCACCATGGCAAAACTGCACGGTTAAGGTGGCTCACACCCTCTGCGCGCGCATCGTTTGAAAAGTGTAGATTTTCAGTAAATTTTTCGGTAGCGATGATTTTTGTGCGATCAATCGTTGTTGAACGTCTTCTCGCTTTTCTGCACTTTGAATTCTGGCGACCTAGCTAGAACCTGCTGCTAGTGTCCCTCTTCACTCGTTCTTTCTATGAAAGGGGAAGGCAGCACTCGCAGAAGATATTCCAAGAGTGCAATGTCGACTGGTGCTCGTACCATAAGAAGGGAGAAGTCCGCTCTTGAATCATGGCTGAGTATTAGAAAATTATTTCAGAACACGCGGCTCAGTTGTGTAGATTTCCTGCCAGTGCCACTGACATCTCGCGACCTTAATATTATAACTTGCTCGATCATCTCCCGCACTGACTGGCAAATTCGTCAGGTAGCTGTGGATGGATCGATTCAGGGATATCGAAGGTAAATACATCGAAGCACTTCAAACACGTTTCAAGACGCACTTAAAATTTTGTAAATGTGTCTTGAAAATTGTTTAGAACAATTCCACGGTACTTCAATACGCTGTTGAATTGTATCCTCTGCTTGGGAGTCTCAACTGTTTTATTGCTGCATGGCTTTCCTCAACACTGTTCACTGTACATGTATCGCGGAACGCAGATTGGATGGCATTGCGGAGGTGAATTTGATAATTTGTGACTGTGTCATCAACCAAGTGAGGACATCAAATATCAACAGGGACGCTCCGAAAATCACAAACGCTGCGAAATAGATATGAAATGGTCTTACACACTGGAGGGTATTCCACATTCATTGTGTCATATCTTTAGACTGTCCGAAAGTTTGTCGTGCCGTGCAACTTTCACAGACTAATCCGATAATTGTGTGGCCCTACTGGCACACACTCATGCGTATGCCGTTGAGTTTACCTATATGTGCACGCACATGTGTGTATACATATACAATTTTATTACGTATGCAAAATTAGGCAATCTACATGTACATATTATATGTGTGTGCACTCACTCCTATGACATAGAACGACAGTGCAGGCTATGTAAAGTCGCATCAATGTGTGTCACCCGGGTGTGTACATGCATGCGCGCTCGCGCGGGCGTTTTGTGTGCGCGCCTGGCATGGCATAACGCCGTTCAATATGACTAGTTTTGAACCGTGGTAATTTGCCCCTACCCCCTCTTTTTTCTGCTGGCGTTGGATATGTTGTTGAAAACGAGTGCCATGCACCACAATGGATTGACAATAATTATAATACAAGTAGCACTGTAAAAGCGCTGGAAATACTTATGTTGCAGCCATGGCAGTTGTGAGTAGCTTTCCAAGTCAAGCCTGCTGCAGAAATTATTGCACTCTGACCAGCTGGAGTGGCCCAGGACTGCTGGTTGTGGAGAACATGAGTGATGCTTGTAAATACGCTTGTATTTACATGATGTACACAGTGTACTTCGAAGTAACGTTAGGTGTAATACTTGTATGTTCTTCTGTCTGTGCGCGTGTACATGTGCTGGTCAGTGTGGAACCGCCATCCATATCAGATCATACAGCTGCTATCAGTCTCAACAGCTTGTATCTGGCAAATAGGGTTTTAGTGACTCGATTTTGCTTACTGTGTTCAACAGAGTGGCATTGCACACAGCTACTTGATGTAATAGTAGCATCTTCGAAATTTTATATTTTTGATAGTTAGAAACTTCTCCAGTGTGGCTCTTAGCTTCATTACCACGGAGACTAAGCATTCAAGTAATGCACGAAGAACAGTGGCTAGATGTGAAGTGAAAAGCCATTGGACCGTACCCCGTGGAATACGCATTTAGTATAGAAGTATTTCTTGCTATGTTGGCAGCAAACACTGTATAATATAATAATTGCATTACCAGTAGAAAGTGCCCAATGTGCATTGCTTCAGCACTATGTTTTGGACAAAGCAGTCAACAAATTCCACATCACTATCGGCTTCATGTTGGAGAAAGTTGTGAAAAACACCAGAGCATACATGTACACTCAATACACATGCTCAGCTACATGTATGGCATTTAGTATGTGGGCGACTTCAAAGTTCTATTTTGGTAGTTTGCTTCGGTAGAAACTGTCTAAACTTGATCCAAAGCTCTACTACTATGTTCTGAAGATGTTGCAATCAAGTAATGTAAGACACGTATCTGCCGCATTGGAGCTAGTTGTGAAAACCTTTAGACCATACACTCAAAGCACATGCTCAGCTATGGCATTTAGTATGTGGGCGACTTCAAAGTTCTATTTTGGTAGTTTGCTTCGGTAGAAACTGTCTAAACTTGATGCAAACCTCTACTACTATGTTCTGAAGATGTTGCAATCAAGTAATGTAAGACACGTATCTGCCGCATTGCAGATAGTTGTGAAAACCTTTAGACCATACACTCAATGCACATGCTCAGCTATGGCATTTAGTATGTGGGCGACTTCAAAGTTCTAATTTGGTAGTTAGCTTCGGTGGAAACTGCTAAAACTTGATCCAAAGCTCTACTACTATGTTCGGAAGATGTTGCAATCAATTATTGTAAGATACGTATCTGTCATATGGTGGAGCCAGGGGTTCTAAGGCGTTGGACAATGGCCAGTGCAATGTGCTGATTCTTGAAATATGGCATCACTTGAAACTTCAAAGTTTTATTTCACGAGTTACCTTCGGTAGAACCTGCTCAAACTTGCTACACACTACCATTATTAGGTTATGATAGCATAACCATCGAATACAGGGCAAGTCCAGTGTCAAATACTTGTGGGCGGGGCTAATATGTGGGACGTGTGCGCTGAAATGGGATGATTCCGAAAAGAGAAAAAAGGTCACCTTCTAGCAGAATTCTACCCACTTCTACAGCTTATGCTGATATTTAGCAAGTATACTACTGTCCTGATGTTGGACATCAAGAAAAAGGGGGTAACTACCAGTGCTACTGCCAAAAAAAGTGGTTTTCCGGTATTTTTTGGCCTAAATTGGCAATTGTGAGTATGCTATGTTTGGCCCCTCCCCCGAGTGAAACCGGCCGGTAGAACTTGATAAAAATTTGTCTCCGTACACTAGATATCCAACGGAACAAAGTACAATCGTTTGTAGCCACGTTTCAAACAAAAATAAATTGGACCCGAGGGGTAGGAGCCACCTTAACCGGTTGTTTGATTGTCAGATTGATGGGTGCTCGGCCGGACCTAGTACCTGTACAACAACTGAAAGCCAAGACGTCAACTGTCAAGAGTTCATACCGGCCCGCCCTTACCCCCCTACTGTAGCCCAGTAGGCAGTACACATGGTACAGTGGGGGTAATGAACTCTTGCCTGCTTGTACAACCGGTTAACCGTACAACAAGTGACTCTCGGGCCTCGATCTCTCCTCCTCGCTTGAGCTCTCGTGAATTGCTCGTACCGTCGCGGAGGCCCGGAGGGAGGTCATCGACTCCACTCACGATCACGCTGTGGATTTCGAGCACAAGCTGAGATTGAGAATCAATGCCAACTATTTACACCACACGCTATTCACTGGAAGTGGGCGGCATCTACTTCAGAAATTCGTTCCTGGCTGTGCGTGACAGGCAAGAATGCAGCATGCCACCGCGGACCGAGTTTCTGACATCAAGAGAGAGGCTTCCTCTACACGGTCCAACGATTACTCAATCTGGTCCAACGATTATATTTGCACATCTGTGCCTTTTTGGAAACTCGAAAGTGATGCAATGCCTTATGCAATGCAAAGTCTTATGCAATGCACTTTTTTTATGCAATGCACTGCATGCTGAGTGCTGACTGTGAGTGCGAGAATGTGTACACACAAACATGATTGTACATGTACGACAATGCCAATGCAGCCACTGGAAAGTGGAAGGGTGCTACAAAATGTCAGCGGAAGTCATCCAGATACATTCCTATCCAGGTCGTTGTGAGCAATTGACACTGATGACCTCACAGACGGATACTTGGCAAGTTACCCAGTCTCATTAATTAACAGTGACATCGCCATCGCCTCATTCACAATCATGACCATGCTCTCAAGGGAAAGCAATTCAGAAAACGACTCCAACGCCTTGCACCAAACGCTTGTCAAAAGCAATATAAAAATAGAAGTTATGGTAGGGAAGCTTGTTCTTGAACTTTGGTGAAGCACCCGGTCGCATTCACAAGACACATACATGATACCAAGAGTACGTACGCTCTGGGAGCTTATTCACTCTTGATGCTACTACAAAGTTCTGCAATTCCACGCACACCATAATAACTACATGACTGTAGCAGTGCGGTGTACTTTTAAGTACATGATACTGGGCAGCATTGGATAGGGCGTGCGGCTTGCAACATATCCTGTCCCATCGTCACGAAACGGACACTATTAAATCCACAACATTATAGGAGTACAATCAAGGACAACACACAGCAATGCATGAGAGAGAGAGAGAGAGAGAGAGAGAGAGAGAAAGAGAGAGAGAGAGAGAGAGAGAGAGAGAGGCGCTACAGGAATGACCTGCCAACGACATAACATCAGTGTCAACATGACCTACATACAGTTGAATAGTTCACCGTGCTTTTCCAGCAGCGAATACATTATGAAGTCTCGGCACCAATGAAGCATCACACACACACACACACACACACACACACACACACACACACACACACACACACACACACACACACACACCTCATATCGATGAAAAGATTGAAGGCTGTTGAGGTTACAAGCCCAAACAAAGTACCAGTACATCAGGATGAACATCTTCATCTGGAGAATTTACTCTCAGGGTCAAGGGGTTGGGAGCATTCCACAGAAACCAGTGCTGCAGTTCTAGCTACGACTTTATGCACATATCCTTGTCTGTGAGTGAGAGAGAGTATCCAGTTGAGAACTGTAGGTAATTCAGTCAACATCACTTAAACATCACAAGTACCGGCACGAAAAAAACCCTCCATAGTACATGCCACACGCGAGAGTTTTCTCCAAGACAACAACAAGCAACGCCTCCACCATGGAGTACCCTACAGTCCATTCATCGGAAACTGGCCCGCTGGCTTTTTAAAGTCGGATTTGGGCTGAATTGAGGATCAAAAACCCACTTTAAATCTCAAAATTTGGGTTTTGGATCTGCTTCTCCGTACATTTTGCCATGGCATACTTGTCCTAATTTGGTAAAACCTGGCTGAATTTCTATTTCCCTGTTCTTGGACTTTTCTGGCCTCAAATGTGGCAAGGAGTAATTGCACGGGTCACACAATGCAGGATGTACTGTTGTTTTCACGATATCTACAACTATGTGAGAGAGACACCAAAAAGTTAGGGTGCCAGTTTCCAATGAATGGACTGTAGTCAGTATGAGAATGTATTTAGAAAAGCTGCCTCCAGGGCCAATACCGGGTAATATTATACAGAGCTGATTTTTAAATTCCTACTTACAGGCTCATAGCTGCTGCACTAATAAAAACAACGAAATGCAAATGGAATGCAGGAAACGACTAGCATAGCAACAACAACAAAACATATACACATGATCGGGGTGGCGGGTATGTAGCGGGCGCATTGCAAGCATGTTCAAAAAAACGCGAATTATTGCGAGATAGGGTTCATGTACAAGTGGTTCAAAAGAAAGAAAAATAACTTCACGGGGAAGCGGGCGGCTTCCCCTGCAAATCTTACCAACACACACGCACACCTACTTCTTTGCGGCCTGTGCACGCTTCTCTGCTGCTTCCTTAGCTTCCTTCTCCTTCCGTTCTGCCTGGGCCTTCAGGTCGTACTCTTTGAGGAGTTCATCGACGCGTGTCGTGGACAGAATTTCAATTTTCGTCTTGTCGTCGGCATGGGTCAATGCAGCAATCTCAACTGAATACACACACACACATACGCAAACACATACAGAGCAAGAATTGAGCAGAGTTGCCGTTGTCGCGCGAAAGCGCTCAACCTATGAAGGGGAGCCTGCGGCACAAGTTCACAGTGGCGGGAAGCTTTGCTTTGCTGGCCAATCTTCAGGCAACCTCAGATCAAGAATTAGATGTGAGATTCAGTACAACAAATACAAGTACAATGTGATAATCAGCCTTTGGATAAAGTAGATGTTAGCCTTAAACTGCCCTTTAGTACATTCCAATAATCGGCGTTCCTGGAGTACGCCATGTACACAGATGGCAGGGATATTCCTGTACCAGAAGCAAGGAAGAAATATCCTTGCATCAGCGATATTCCCAGACCTTCGTGTAAGATAAATCCAGGAGAGTGAACAATCACTCTCGCTATCCTCTCAAGGAGAGTGGTGGGAGAGCAGCCCCCCCCCCCCCCCCAAAAAATTGCTCGCCCTATCTATCCAAGGCGAGCACAATACGGGTTTTTTTCCAACATCTTGCCATACTCCAATCGGATTCAATACCCAATAGCTGCCAAATTCGATCTGGAAAATCGCCGTACGCACTACAAATGGAAGCTGTTCGGACCACAACTTTAGCAATGAATCTCCAGTAATCTGGAAAGCTATTGGCAAGAGGAACACACCAGTGGGGTTTTCACCAGCTGGAGTGTTACTGCAGTGGCACTATAGCCTCGGGAGCTGGGAAGACACGCACAACGGAAAATTGAGACAATTCGCTAAGATCCATGGTTTTTTTGTAGTATTCATCGTAGAGCGCTTCTATCTTTTGTAGCTAGCCACTAAAGACCTGTGCCAGACGTCACACAGGTCTATGCATGCCCGGACTGTCACGCAACAGAGGGAAATCCTTTATGTCAAAATAAAAATTATGATTGCCACCCAAGTGCGGAAGTGAAAATTTGCAACGGGACGTAAAATACCTTGCGAGTGCCGTAACTCCACTATTCGACCTCGGATCGACTTCAGATTTGTTGGAGCCGACAGCAGAGACCTTTCTAATGCGAATAGACCTTTGGATCACTCAATTCCGTTCAGGGAAAGCCGAGTTACGAAATATTTGAGTGTTTGCAGAATGGACTTCATAGTGATGCGGATGCGCTCGAAATTCTCAAGGCACTGTATAAGATCTGGTTACGTTGGTGGACAGTTAGTCATAACTCGTAACATTTTGTCCTTCTTCTTTTCACGAAATGGTACACTTGTGGTTTACCTCATGTCACAGGCACGGCGGAACCGGTAAGGGGGACCTTTTGGCCACCGGCACGTGTTAACTGCTGAGGAGTTCATGTTCACCTGCCATATCGTGCAAAATGTGTGAAGGCTATGGTATGGCCGAACCAATGTAAAACTGCTTCCGCTGGTATTACGTAATTCGAAGCAACACGGTGCAGCACAACACGGTGCACCACTGCACTGCAAATGAGCAACACGGTGCACCACTGCACTGCAAATGAGCAACACGGTGCAGCACTGCACTGCAAATGAGCAACACGGTGCAGCACTGCACTGCAAATGAGCAACACGGTGCACCACTGCACTGCAAATGAGCAACACGGTGCACCACTGCACTGCAAATGAGCAACACGGTGCACCACTGCACTGCAAATGAGCAACACGGTGCACCACTGCACTGCAAATGAGCAACACGGTGCACCACTGCACTGCAAATGAGCAACACGGTGCAGCACTGCACTGCAAATGAGCAACACGGTGCACCACTGCACTGCAAATGAGCAACACGGTGCAGCACTGCACTGCAAATGAGCAACACGGTGCAGCACTGCACTGCAAATGAGCAACACGGTGCACCACTGCACTGCAAATGAGCAACACGGTGCACCACTGCACTGCAAATGAGCAACACGGTGCACCACTGCACTGCAAATGAGCAACACGGTGCACCACTGCACTGCAAATGAGCAACACGGTGCACCACTGCACTGCAAATGAGCAACACGGTGCAGCACTGCACTGCAAATGAGCAACACGGTGCACCACTGCACTGCAAATGAGCAACACGGTGCACCACTGCACTGCAAATGAGCAACACGGTGCACCACTGCACTGCAAATGAGCAAACGAGACTCAATTTACATACTGCCGGCAACATGTTTTCGTCACATTTTGATGAGCGACAAAGTACTTTGGCAAACAAAGTTCATACCGAGCCGCGATTTATCATATTGACAAGGTTTGAAGTATTATACGGCCGGTAATGAGGGAGAGAGAGAGAGAGAGAGAGAGAGAGAGAGAGAGAGAGAGAGAGAGAGAGAGAGAGAGAGAGAGAGAGAGAGAGAGAGAGAGAGAGAGGAGAGAGAGAGGAGAGAGAGAGAGAGAGAGACAGAGAGATAGATAGATAGATAGATAGAGAGAGAGAGAGAGAGAGAGAGAGAGAGAGAGAGAGAGAGAGAGAGAGAGAGAGAGAGAGAGAGAGAGAGAGAGAGAGATGCCCATAGGACCCCTCACCAGGCCACCGTGACCTCCCTCCCCACACACCGCATAGTATTACAGCACAGTGCTTTTCACAGCATAGCTTTCATGGCGCACAGACACGCCACCACAGTCACAGCATGTAGTTCTTACTTTTCTCCGATGTCAGCTTGGTGCTGTCCAACGTCTTATTGAGTACTTTTACCGCCAACTTCAGTGCATTCTCCAGGGTAATTGACTCATCATAATCTTGCTTGAGAATGGATACAGCAGCCTGGAAGTAAACCGGAAACACACGTAGAGACAGACAGACATGCGCACACAAGCACGCATGCACAAGCAAGCAAACCAACACACAAACATGTACACAATATTCAGTATAGCTGTCCATCACAGGGATCGATTTACTGATTTTTTTGCATAGCAGTTCACTGCTACACAGTTTTACAATTGACTAGCAACTCCCAGCATTGATTAGCAATTTTCCTTCATCAAAAGTTTACAGTCATGTATATCTGTACAATAGCAGGATTTCGTACAGAAGAGGGCAATAGCTGCAGTTGAAATTTGCTTTTCCAAGCGAACGGTTGACCTGAATATTTACGTCAGGGGTTTCACATGGTCTCGTTACATGATCAGCGTCCATCCGACTTCGAGCTCTTCACAACGCAATGGACGCGTTCGATTACACACAAATTGGTCAATTCTAGAATTAGTTATTGTTGATGCACAGTTCGATTACACAAATTCCGTCGTTAGAATTGATCTAATCCAATTCCGTCAAATCTGAAGACAGGGCGGAATTTCGCTAATTCTGGCGCCAGAATTGCACACTTGGTGTGTTACCGGTCTGGTCATGCATGACTCAAGTCAAGGGAGAGCCTCCCTGGCCGGTGTGGCGCGAAAGCAGGGCTACTACTGCATATAGTTGCTACTTTTGTCTTCCCGAAAAGCTAATTGCCGCAGTTGAGTTTCCGCTGGGAGCTGATTATTAGACCAGATCATTTTGGGTGGTCCTTTCGCACACTCGTTCAGGTTTATCGAAGCCCAATATTGTTGCCGACATGGAGCCTTCACCGGGATGGACTGGTACGCGAAGCTGGGTCTACGTGCGCGCAAGGGTGCACGTGATCACTTTTACGACCAATTTTGTTTGTGATATGCCATGAATAAAATGCGTTGCGAATTCCAGTCGACTAGTCGTTCGTTTACATGGCCAGAATTCGTACATTCTGGTCATTCGAGAATTACAAAACCCAGTTCCAGAATTGTGCAAACGTGTAATCGAAAGCGCCCAATGTCCTTCCACAGGGCAGTTCCACTGATTCCTTCGACAAAGAAAGCTCAAGAAAGCGCTCAGACGATCGTGACACTTCGTGCAAAGCGCACAGAATTTTCGCGTTTCTCCTTTTCTTCATCGAAACGAATCGACACTCCTGGCAGGTCCAGTTCTTTTTCCCACTTCTGGACAGTGATCAGATTCACTGACATGTTACCTACATGAGACTAAAGCGGGATTCACAGAAGCTTTTTTGCGATGCGACACGTGATGCGACAGCCGCGAAACCGGGAAATCCCCAAATCGCAGCCATCTCACACCCCACGCAACTGCCGCAACAGGGCCATCGCGAAAGTTGAGCTTGGCTCAACTTTTGCGATGCGACAAGCGACTTGGTGTACGATTTTGACCTTTTCTACAGCAAAGTTGTACAAAGGTTCAAGAGTTGCCTATAAATTTGTACAAGTTGTACCAAACCGCGCAAATACCATGGTGACATACCCACCTGCATTGAACTTCGCGGCAAATCAGCAAGGCGTCGCATCACTGACTTCTTCTGTGAATGGTATTTCGCGAGTTCGCATCGCACGCGTCCATCGCAGATCACGTCGCACCGCGTGTTGCATCGCAAAAAAGCTTCTGTGAATCCTGCTTTAGAACCATTTACTTCAACTGTGTCTTGTCGAACAGAAACAAACTGAATCGAGCTTGACAGTGAAAGAAGAAAGGAGAACTTCAGGGAAAGTCGCCGCCGTGTACAAAACTTCAAAAGACTGCAGTGTCCAAATCATGAAGAGCGCGATCCGCGACCCGCGCGCGGACTGAGCAGGACAGGCCAGTTGGTTGGAGTAGTAAAATACTACTCCCTAGTCAGCAGTGTGTACAACAGTCACGCATGTAAACTGCACACAATCAGTACAGAATGGTCGTTGTACATACCGGTATGCATTACCAGTGCATCGCAGTTTGGGGCGATAAAAAAAACGAAAAGGAAATCGCAGCCAGTGAATTTTGACTCGCAAACTGCGATGCGAACCCAGATAAATCGATCCCTGCATCAGTGTACATACATGGGTGAGAGATAGAGAGAGGGGGGTAAAGACAATCCAATAAACTCTCTGAAACTTCTCATCAAGTCACGTGATATACACAGGGTTCTAGCCAGGGAAACAAGCAGTTCACCCATTTGTTCCATGTTCCACTATTGCTTTGTCACACAGAATGCAACATAAGGGCGCAGCGAGTTGTGGCCAGCCGTCTTTGATTGTACGTTACGAGGGTAATACGACACCATCTACCGCCTTTGTGACGGCAAAAAAAGAATAGGGATGTTATAAATTTTTCCATTTTCCTATTTTTTTTCATGCATTACCTGGGATTCGAACCCGCACTATCGCCCTACATGCATTCCCCCATACACTTCGCATTCATACTTATTCTTCCAAGTTGCTTCACGTTATGATCTTGCGTTTGAAAGCCCTATTTGAATAGTGCGGCCAGCTGTATGTGGCCAGCTGTGTTTGATGGTACGGTACGGGACAGATACGGGATAGCGCCAGGCGTGACACAAACACCAAATTAAAGCTGTGTGGACCCTGGCTAGCGCCAGACGTTACTGAAGTAACGTCTTCTGCATAGCTACGGGAATAAAAATAAAATGAGTAGGGTAGTGCGCTATCCGCGTAGGGGCACTGCGCCCCCTACCCCCCCCCCCCCCCCCCCCTGGCTAGAACCCTGATACGTGTACATGCAACACGCAAAACATCCCCAGGCATACACACAGCCATAAGTAGACAGACACACAGACATACGCATACATATACAGGATATTGGCAGAAGACAAGACAGCACTTGGCACATACCCCCGAGTTGTTGCCAATGCAGGTAGCCTTCCAGCCACCATAGTTTCCACTAGGATCACTCTGATAAAGCTGATATCCGAGATGCTTGTCCCACCCCATGTACAGTAGGGAGACACCGAACGGGCGCTTACCTGTACACCACACACACAAAAGCAGCAGCAGCAGCACCACCACCACCACCAACAACAACAACAGCAGCAGCAGCAGCAGCAGAAGCAGCAAAGATTAATTAGCCACTAAGGAGCAAAGTTGACACTTTTTCGTTGGGATTTGATATACAACTGTGTTGAGAAACGACTGGATGACAAGTGCCCAAGGAGAGACACAACAGCACCAGACAAACGAATTTCGGACGGCAGAAACAAGACCCGCAGCAGCTATTTGCTGCTTCCCAAACAGATGACCAGAAGTATACTTCAAGTGGCTATAATAAATAATTTGGTGAGAGGATGTAGGTGAGCATGGAAGCAGATGGCAGAAGGCGAAGACAGGATAGATTTAAAAAAACCCAGACTGTATGTGTTGGGGGGGGGGGTGTGAGAGAGAGAGAGAAAGAGAGAGAGAGAGAGAGAGAGAGAGAGAGAGAGAGAGAGAGAGAGAGAGAGAGAGAGAGAGAGAGAGAGAGAGAGAGAGAGAGAGAGAGAGAGAGAGAGAGAGAGAGAGAGAGAGAGAGAGAGAGAGAGAGAGAGAGAGAGAGAGAGAGAGAGAGAGAGAGAGAGAGAGAGAGAGAGAGAGAGAGAGAGAGAGAGAGAGAGAGAGAGAGAGAGAGAGAGAGAGAGAGAGAGAGAGAGAGAGAGAGAGAGAGAGAGAGAGAGAGAGAGAGAGAGAGAGAGAGAGAGAGAGAGAGAGAGAGAGAGAGAGAGAGAGAGAGAGAGAGAGAGAGAGAGAGAGAGAGTAGGAGAGCCAGGCAGACGAACGGATAGGAGGGTAGAGAAGAGACAGTCCTAAATACCAGCCAGATAGAAAAAAGTTAAAGTTAAAACTTGGGCAGAGCAGACACCAGGAGTCACCCACGCACACTCACCTCCATACTGTGTATACACTTGCTTAGTGTCACACAGCTGCTGCACAAGCATTTCAACAGGAATAGGCTCCTGGTAACGTAGCAAATACCTGCATAGCCAAACAACACACACACAAACACATCAGAACAGACACAGATACACATACACACACATAACTTACACGTGCAGACACACGCACACACACATATGCAGGGCATGCGCTAAGGATTAAAATGTGCTCTGACACAATGTCCTGCCAGTTGCAAAAATGGCCGGACATGTCCGGACATGCAAATTTTCACATCAAATCACACAATGTTCAGTGTAGAATTAATACCATCGAAATATTATCACGACGAAGGAGTCAGAAACATTCTTGCTGCTGCGAATTTTATCAACAAAACTGGAACACATCTTACACTTCAAATTTTTGCCAACGCTACTATCTGAAGGACTGCGCTCATAGCTCAGCCAAACAGAAGTTGAAAGCTCCCTATCATACTCGGCGGCCCACTTGTCACAAGTGGTCGTCTTGACTCCTCAGGCTCTGGGCTTCTTTCCAAGAGGAGCACCCGCATCATCCGTGCTTGGCTTTCTCTTGCCAGACGACATCACTAATGACTATGAGACAAAGGATTGACGTGCCCTTTCTTTTTTGTACTTTGCAAAAAAAGTGCACGGACACTTTGTCCGGATGTGTACAAAACATCCGGAAACTGACCGTAAACGGTCGGAAATTGTCCGATGTCCGACCGTTATTTCGCGCCCTGCATATGCCCATGCACGCACCCCAAACACGCATGCGCTTGCGCGCACACCCAGTGTCACCCACACACACACACAGTTGCGCTCGGCAAAATCCGACCCAGGGTGCATATTTGGCGCCCTCAACGCCCTGGCAGTGTCACAAATGCGGCTGGACGTATACATTTACAAATACAATGATGTAATATAATCAGAGCCGGTACAGGATGCCAGTTTTGCACTTTGGGTCGGATTTCACCGAGCGCAACTGTACATAACGCAGATATGTAGACACACATACAGCATCAATGGGTAAATGTTCAGAAGCAACATGAAAATGGTTATGATAATGAAATAATACCAGACAGACAGACACCACGATAAACCAACGCACACGCCTCCTATACACTACACTAAGCCATGCTACAAGAAGCAGCAAACAGGGCCGTGCTAGGGGTAAGTCTGTAGATAAGCGAGGCCCAAGGATCCAATGCAGCACACGGCTCAACCGGGATGAACATAGCCATAGGTGCTGATCACCAAGGGTCTACCCCCGCCACCCTCAAATCAATCCATTCAACTCACTGTTGAGCGCGTAGTCTAAGAGTTTCAGTTAGCAGATTGGCATCGGATGTAATACCTGAGACACTGCATGCTGTGTTGCTGCAAAATGAAAGAGAACAGACAGAATTCAACATACACGAACATGTAAGGCTTGGCGATACCAACATACACACAGATGCACCGATGCACACCTACACCCACACGTGCACACGCATGCACACACATGCATACAGATGCGGGCACACACACACACACACACCACAGACACACACACACACACACACACACACACACACACACACACACACACACACACACATACATACAGTGACACATACACACACACACACACACACACACACACACACACACAAAAGGTGGGCAAGTTTTGGAAGGACTTCCAGCATGTTGTGTCCAAGTCGCACAGCACTAGGAGAGAATAAAGCAGCAGTTACACACTAGAGAGATTCCACTTTCGTATTACCCAGCATCAATTTGAATGCGATGTGTGCCGATGTGTGCATGGCTGAATGATGTTCAAACATGTGTTTCCAACATGAGCAGCTTTCACTATTGTTGATAAAAGCCGATTTGTAAGCATTCTTTTTTTATTCCATGGTGTCTTTCGCAGCATGTGCTAGTCTTTCTATGACATCTGCATTCCACTCTGGTCAACGTCAAACGGAACCTCATACCAGCTCACATCGACGTGAATTATAACATCCATAGGTGTTTATTGGAAGAAAAAGTTGAATGGAACATCTCTGCTATTGACTTAAAAGCAACCCACACTTGCTGAAGAAAGATTGCCTGTCAGACTTGGATCTACATGACTGTCACAGAGCTGACCCATATTGTATACATTGTATACATTATGGCTCAGCTCTGTGACAGCGTGACCAAGTTCAAGCTACTTGTAATACTAGTAGTCGTTTTCTGAAGTCAAGATTCAAATGCTTAGTGATGAAACAGCATAAAAATAAAAATCTGAGAAATAGTAGTTACGTACTCATCCAGTAGATAAAGCTTTTCTGAGTATACAGCCTTGTCCAGAAGCTTATTCGTACTCCGTCTTTCTGAGGCAAGGAGAATACCGTCCGATGCTAGAATTCCCAGACATGTACCGCCATTGTTGATGCCCTCCATGGCATACTCAACCTGGTAAAGACGACCTACATGTGTCCAATATACACACATAACCACACATACAGACACAGACACATAATATACACACACAGACACATCAGAAAAGTATACAATCCAAGATGAGATAAGACCCCTCTGCTAGGAAGATCGACCGGACAGCAACATGCTACACGATATGGATTATCCAAACGATCAAGAGTACATGAAAACCAGAGTGTGCAGCTCGGATGGGTTGCTGTCACGGCGAAATTCCGTGATTACATCATTTTAGTGATGTAGTGCGCACAAGCAGGATTCAAGCAGGTCTCTTTCTGCACAACTGCAGCTCAGTTGTACGCACTACGCCATTTCCCGCCTCAGATCTGGGCCAAATATGATGTAATCACGGAATTTCGCCGTGACAGACACCCATAGCAGAAAAGGCCCCAAGCTGCACACTCTGGTTTTCATGTACTCTTGAAACGATCAATTACGGTATGCAACATCACGCCGCGTTCCAGATTTGTGCAACTTAGGTTATGAGTAGATTTGGTGCTGTGTATTGATTATGAAAAGTGCTCCTAAATTCTACACACTCCGCTTCTCACACTGCCGGTGTCTGAACCTCATCCACTATGCACTACTACCATATGTTTCCGGTTGCAAGTCGACCTTTCACGACTAAAAATAGAAGGAGAAAGGGTGGGGGTCGACTTACAACCGGGATTCGACTTATAACCGGGAACTATCAGTATCTTTAAAAATATGACCTGCACTGCATGCACGAGTGCACCGTGTGTACATTTTGTGCCAGTTTATTGGCCTTTTTCAAGGATTGGGACGTTATACCCTCCAATAAGGAATGTTTACATGATTTGTTGATGTGTTAGTAGCAGGGAGTAGTTAGAAGTGCTTCGTTGGGTGAAAACTTTAAAACGCAGAACTGAGACCTCCGGATACGGGGGCCGACTTATAACCGGGGTCGACTTACAACCGGTAAAATACGGTAAGTAGTTTCTCTGGAACAATCAAAGATCCAGCCAAAACTATAAGCAGCATTTTCCTAGAAAAATCTGGGTTTGAATGACCAGGATTCGGCCATATGATGCACATCCAATAATTTCCTTATTGTCCAAGTTAGCACTTGCCCGTGCTGATTCACGTGGACAAATGCTTATTGTAGGATTGTGTTGTACAAAATTACGAATCATCTTTCCAGTTACACACCCTCAGCAATTGGAAAACGGTTGACCACATAGCAGCAAATGTAAGAAGTGAGGAAAAGGACATAATTTAGCTCTGAGCAGTGCACATCTCCATACCTTCCGGGGAGAAGGTGGTCGTCTTGGAGTCATAGCGCCGAGACTGGCCAGAGCAAGAAAATAAAAGGAGAGCAACCTCACTGGGAATTGCTTGAAACAGTGGCCAGGTGGCAACCAATGCCAAAGTTGAATTCCAATACAAAATTTCAACGAGCCTTGTGACCATCCCGCTATTCTCCACGATCACCTCATAGATCTTGGAATGAGCATAAACTATATTGCTTACCATGTTGACTGTCGACAGAGAGCACTAGGGCAGCCCGTCGATAACAAATTGCTTTTTGAACAAAGTGTACTCAATCAAATTTCTTCTCAGCTGCGGCTCTCGAAAGTTCTTTTCAGTGGCTTCACTTTCTTGATCATTTTGCAAATTTGTTTGAGCGAGACAAAACAGAAGAAAAATCATTCAAATATCAGCCGTGACGTCATTGATCATACGCGAATTCGTGTGTTTTCACGAAATTTCAGCTGGTTTTATCATCACTGGTTCTGCCAAGAGAGAGGGGGGTTATGAACTTATGTACTCTTGGTTCTGCCAAGACGGCAAGAGTACATCATGGTACATGGGGTTATGTACTCTTGGTTCTGCACAATCATGTAAAATGAATGTCCCTGTACAGCTGTACAGCCTGTAGGTCTACCCCTCTTCTTGGGAGACTACTGTACATGACCGTATTTGACGACCGGCGTGTTATCCTTCTGGCGGAGTATACTATTCAGTACAAAGCCGTTTACATGCATGACATTGTACAGACCACCGTTATAACCAGGGAGTAGTAATTACGGCAAAAGGATATCTTTTGCTACTCCATGGTGATGACAGATCCCTGGTGCTGCCGCTCGCCACGCACAGCACACGTGCAACCCCAGAACACACCCTGTCCATGATCCAGTGTCCACACAGACACCATACTTCCTTTCCAAGAACACAGTCATTGCTGTTGAAATCTGATCGTGGGATCACATTTCATCGACTGGAGAGACATTTTAGAGTAAATGAAAAATATCAGTACAAGGCTAGGAATGTAACAAATGAAGCATAAAGACAGCAAGCCAAACAGCAAAGCAATAACAAGGACATTATTGTCAAATTGATAAAACAACGTTGCCAGATAAATAAAGTCCAGCTACCAACGCAGATGTATACTGAAAAATTAATGAAAATGAGTCATTCACCAATAAACCGGTTGTTATTGGCAAGATTAGACAAGGCATGCACAAGTGTTGTTACTTGCAAGAAAACCACCATGTACACGGCGTGAAGCTTGGTACGATCAAGCAAAAGCTCTCAACCAGTCGTAAGAGTTCCAAGTCCAAACTGCCAATCTGAGCACAGCAGCCGTGTCTCATCGATGCATCAGCCCCATAGAAAATCAATCAAGAACATAGCAGCGCGATTGTGTCATACACACACCAACAACAGAAGGAGAACACGCCGTCACGGAATGGTGACGAGGACCAAAGATACAGCGATTTCTGCTCATGTATTTCACCGCACGTGCAATTAAATCCTTTCTAGCCAGGATCTGGCACCACTAGCTACTAATAGAAAATAAATAGTTCTAAAAACAACAAGCTGCTCTCAAATGAAATACCGATAGTCAGTGCGCAAGTAAGCGCTTTCCTGTATACGAAACAGCGTACACTACACACACATACTACTGAAGAAACAAATGTTTTAACTCAGCCATGTTGCCAAACTAGGGATATCAAGTGACTGGGGTTTTGCGCTTTACTCGGCCATCTCTCTCCCGATCTCCATTGCTGAGCAGATAGGCTGGCAGGTGAGCTGACTGACGACCATCTTGATTCTCCACATGCAGTGCCGGGTTTGGCTTGGTTGTGGAGCGGCCACCTAATGATGTGTACCTGAGCAGAGACAAACACCAATTTGCAATGTTCCATCATGTTGCGCAACACTGCTACGCATTCAACATTTCCACATTGAGTTGATAAAATGTGTTCGTATACGTAACGCTGTACTTCAGAAGTAGATGTCACAGTCCCTCTCCTGGACGAGTACCTGTCTACACAGCCCTAGAATCGTACAAATGCACAGCGGCTGTGACAATATACAAAACATTACTTTAGGAGCTGCATCTGTGCCTTGAACCTGGAGGAGTGGCGTTCCCATGGATGCGCAAAATTCAGAGTTGAATGCGAACCGTAACAAAAAAGGAGGGAGAAGGGAGAGGAGAGAGGAGAGAGACACAGAGACAGACGGAGAGAGAGAGAGAGAGAGAGAGAGAGAGAGAGAGAGAGAGAGAGAGAGAGAGAGAGAGAGAGAGAGAGAGAGAGAGAGAGAGAGAGAACAAACATACGCCTCACCCCTGGTCATAGAGAGAGCAGTACGACACATTCAGATCACGCAGAAATCGCCACACATCTGAATAGGAGAAGTCCTGCAGAGTACAGGTAGGGTACAACAACACATCAGTGACATCACACAATACGTGTACTTGGGCAAGTAATTTAATACCAGCGCTCTCTCAGCACTAAATTCACCAGTCTACTGAAGCTCAACAGACGAAAGAGAATTCTTCGTGCCACTGTGTAATGCAGGCTAGCTGAGTGGAGAGTTCGATGGCCTTCCCATGTGCTCTGGATGGCAGCTGGTCATCAGGCAGTCAAGTGTCACATCACGTTCACAGGAGAAGTACCACTTCTCATGCAGGGAGCAACCAGCCTTCCTGCAAGCATTGCTCAAGTCTCTATACACAATGTAACAATACACCTGAAATGCACAGCCGCTATTCTGCTTTTGTAAAGCGAAATTGTCAAGAATGCGTGTGCCCGTACTGAACACAATGACTCCAGTGCCCCAGAGCAAATTGGCATGGCAATGGAAATGCTACAACCTGAGAACAAAGCTGTGTAGACATACCAAGATGGGGTTTACACGCATGATCTGCGGCCAATCCTTGTCGGTCATAACAAACGGAGAGAGGTCGGCGGCATACGGATCGGTGCGCCTGGTTCCCATCAACATAGCCTTGATATGAGGGTGGCTCTGCGTGCACACACATAACACACAAACACACGCACACACACACACACACACACACACACACACACACACACACACACACACACACACACACACACACACACATAGCACAGGTATACTTCAGTACATTTGTCGTGACCATGCCAGTGGCACATGGATTTCTGCTCTATTGCCGTACGGTACAATATGTGTTACGCCTTTTGTGCTTTCCTTCACACGTGAGTTGCCCAGTAGTCTACACACATTAATTACACCTTGGCTGTATTCCTCAGCGGCATACAGTCAGCAGATAACACAGCCACATTTACCGGTAAGTCCAGGCGCCACCAAATTGGAGACGTGTCATTGTGACAAATCATGGAGGTTAGCAGGTACATCCGCCTGACAAGTCGTAGCGTAAGGAAAGCCCATATGAGAGGAGAGCCTACGAGAGAAGATAGCCCCGTTTGGCAGGATAGCCCCGGATGAGAGTATCCGCTTTTGTGTGGATTATCGCCGGTCAAATAGAAATCTTTACAGATTCTCTCCTCCTGTTCAGGATTGATGTCTGGAATATTTCATAAGGGTTAGGTTCCAATCACCAACGAATTCCCATGGCTCCAAGGGATAAGGAAAATACTGCCTTTGAGATGCAGGACGCCCACTTTCAATACGCCCATTGCGCAATGACGTAATTTGTACCATTAACACCCCACACAGCCACCCGGGCATGGTCTCCTGGGGTGTTGAACAGTGCATTCCTGATCCCAGCCGCTGAGCATACTCACAAGCATTACTCATAGATTCCATATTTGGCAATGCGCAGTGGGCTCATTCAGTGTGTTGTCTTTTGCCAATTGAGATGATAGATGTTGGATGTTATGGAGATATGGATGCTATAGAGCTGGATCTGCGCCTCTGTGGCGTTCCTAGTAACTTCCTTCGGATGCAGAAATCACAGTGTAACTGAGTATAATGTGAACCGTGATTTTTTTTACAGATTTGAAGCCCCTCAGGTGCATGTAATAGGATCCGACACATAGACAAGCACATAAAACAAAAATAAACAAGTTTTTAGGCCTGTACAGGACAGGGGCTAATGATCTACAGTGTAATGTACTGAGAAAAAGCCAAATCTGCATGTTGAAAATACCCTGAACCAAAGTAAGTGTGTGTGTGTGTGTGTGTGCGCGCGCGCGCACGTGTATGCGTGAGTGTGTGTGTGTGCGTGCGCATGTGTGCGTGTGTGTGCCAGCTAGTTCGGTTGGTGGGTACACTTATGCCTGATAGTGTTGGGTCTGTTGCCAACGGGCTCGGCCACTTGAAGGTGTAATGTTGTACCTGCCACCTTTGTTGGTTCCAGGGTTCATATACTTTCTATTTGAAGTATACATACCTGTTAACCATGGACTGCTTCTGGCTAGATTAACTCTTGTGTAATCAATGGGGCTAGTAAAGCTTATATCAGATCCACTCTGATTTAGCCACCCACACTAGTAGCAAGTATTACCTTCACTGGGGGCAGGGGTGACTGCAGTTGGATCCCTGGACGGATACCCTGATGCCGTCAATCCTTTTTCTGCACCTTGTCCTCACCCACTTACTGAGGTGTGGTGAGCCCATAAGTGGGATCATTTTCAAGTCCACCCAGAGTTTTGGGGATTTCAGGGGGTGTCGGCCGTTGGGCGGTTCAATAGCCAATTGAGTCATCTTTCCAAGATTCCTTTTGAGTCTCTCTCCCCTCTCCCGGGGAGACCCACGTGACCAGTTTTGGCAGTGAGTAACAAATACAAGTGTGTGTGTGTGTGTGTGTGTGTGTGTGTGTGTGTGTGTGTGTGTGTGTGTGTGTGTGTGTGTGTGTGTGTGTGTGTGTGTGTGCCTTTACAGTGAAGGTATAAGCAGCCTGCAATAGCCTATAGGTCGTGGAGCTGAGAGGTGGTGTTCCTACAGGAAGGGGCAACAATATATTGCTTACAGTATCTACTCCACCAAGCACAGTACATGTACACAGTACATGCACACAAATCCAACCACACTCACAAATAGCTCAACAGGGAACCTCGCTCAGACTTTAAAACTTAAAAGTCTCTTCAAAGACTCCACAATTCTCTTACAAAGCCAAAGGCCACCTGCCTGATACGGCATACCCCCCTCCCTCACTCTCACACCCCTGCCTGCCATCTGTACACTCATACTCAGAACGAACCTTGAGCTGCCATGCCAATGCATCTTTGTAACTGCCTTCAAACGTTAACAACTCCAAGGTATACCTGGTCAAATACGACACAGAAGACACAAACCACATTCAGCCAGTAAGCACCATAATATGGTGCATGTTGAACAATGCACAGTAGAACTGTCGAATGCAGAATAAATAGCTGGCATGCTTTCCAAGCTTCAATAGACCTGGCCTTGTGTTGTAGTTTAATGGATTCATGGATACACCTGGTAGAAATACATCATGACCAAGCACTCGCACACCAAACAGCAAACAGATTGCACTGGGTAAAACTTACTTCTCCGTACTCTCTTGTATGAAGACCTCTACTTCGGGAAACGGGTCATTGGATCGAATGTAAAGTGCAACCAGCTGATTACTGCTTGAGTGTGTTGATGCGCTGCCACCACTGCTACCACTGCCACCGCTACCGATGGGTGTTGGTGATGACTGCTGATGCAGCTGCCTGAGTTCAAGAAGAGCATACGCACACGCATACACACAAGCACACACGCGGGCACGCACACACACACACACACACACACACACACACACACACGCACACACACACACACGCACACGCACACACCACAGAGAAAGGTTTGGGGTATCACCACAGACCACCGCACGAAGAAAGAATTCACTGTATGCACCCATTACCTATGATACAAGTAGAATAGGAGAATAATCGGTAAATCCCATAAGACCAATCGGTAAAACAAGGAGATATAATTGCCATTATTCCCGTAGCTATGCAGAAGACGTTACTTCAGTAACGTCTGGCGCTAGCCAGGGTCCACACAGCTTTAAGTTGGTGTTTGTGTGTTTGTTTGTTTGTGTCACGGCTGGAGCTATCCCGTATCTGTCCCGTATCTGTGACTACAAAGGCTCAACAGGATTGTACAAAACAGCTGTCCACAATATTTGCGGGCTCCTGTATCTGTCCCGTACCGTACCAATATTCGTCGTATTATGTATACGACTCCCTGATGTAGAGGGAGATTTGGAAAGAAATAGGGAGACGAGGAGGAAACTAAATTAAAATAGACGCCGAATAGGTGATAGGATGCGTCCGCATTAATATTAATTTTTTTCCCATGTATGTACATGACTATATATGAGGGCATGCCATGTTGAACTTTTTTTACAGCATTTTCCGGTAATTTTTATTCAGTTTTTTTTACAGAAAACAGGTACGCGGTTTACCCGTTCAATTTTCTATAATTCGGCCAACGATGGCCCTGAACTGTACATCTGGGAGTCGTACAAACTCGGGTTTGTGTGACTCCACGTCACAGATCTACTCACACGATCAGTACTGTACATGTATGAACTGTTCAAAAAAAAAAAAAAAAAATGGCTTTGGCTCGATTTTGGTGCGGGAGGGCCCGGGAATCTCTATTTTTTTTGGTCTCGCCTTATGTCTTTTTTTTAAAAGGATTTTTTTAAAGACCGGGCCGGGGATGCATGCAGGGCGCGATAGTGCGGGTTCGAATCCCAGGTTATCTCTAAAAAAAAAGGATTTTTTTAAAGAATTTATAACATCCCTATGCTTTTTTTTGTCTAGGTCATCAAGGCAAAAAAGCATAGCGTAGGGCCCTGAGCTTCCAAGCTCTCTCGTTGCGCACATTATGCACAAGCTTAGGTGTTAACTCACCGATGTCTTACAATGCTGAGGAGATGCAGCAACACAGTACAGTCCTTGCCACCATTGAAGCAGAGGCACAGCCCGCCGGATCTGGTGCACAGTACAACACAGTAGAACACAGTGGAGACAATACAGCACAGTGGAACACAGACTCAGTGCATGCACAGCACAGTGGAACACAGTGGAGACAATACAGCACAGTGGAACACAGACTCAGTGCATGCACAGCACAGTGGAACACAGTGGAGACAATACAGCACAGTGGAACACAGACTCAGTGCATGCACAGCACAGTGGAACACAGTGGAGACAATACAGCACAGTGGAACACAGACTCAGTGCATGCACAGCACAGTGGAACACAGTGGAGACAATACAGCACAGTGGAACACAGTGGAGACAATACAGCACAGTTGAACACAGACTCAGTGCATGCACAGCACAGTAGAACACAGTGGAGACAATACAGCACAGTGGAACACAGACTCAGTGCATGCACAGCACAGTGGAACACAGTGGAGACAATACAGCACAGTGGAACACAGACTCAGTGCATGCACAGCACAGTGGAACACAGTGGAGACAATACAGCACAGTGGAACACAGTGGAGACAATACAGCACAGTGGAACACAGACTCAGTGCATGCACAGCACAGTGGAACACAGTGCATGTACATGTACACGCAGAACACTAGCAGAATGGAGAACGCATCACACCATACTGGGTGTTGGCAAGAGTACATAACCCCCAGAGTGTGCAACGCCTGATCCAGCCTGCATAGGGTCTTGGTCGAGCGTAATCGGATCTTCTGATGTCATGCGTACACTCCACACCAGCGCAAGGCCGGTCTCGAGGCAGGGCACCGTTGTTTTTGATCCGAGAGTACCCGCGACTCCCCGGGTTCCCCTCAGATGTGTACGGTATTATGATGCAAAGATCCGATTACGCTCGACCAAGACCCTATGCAGAGCCGGATCAGGCGTTGCACACTCTGGGGGGTTATGTACTCTTGGTGTTGGTGTACGTCCAGGCTAACTCTCACCACTACCATCAATAGGTAAAGACGCATAACCAACTCAATCACATCAGAAAAAATTGAACAGCGATCACTAAGAAGCGGATAAACTCCACGTAACTACATGCACCAGTGACCTGATTCAAGGAAAGATGCATGAACCAAGCCAATCACCATAGCCTGGGCAGCGCATTCACGTCACTGTTCACATAAGGAGAACACTCACCCATAGCGGTTCATGGCCTCCTCGATGATGCACAGAGCATTAGCAATGACCTTGCTGAAGTGCGAGGCGTGCGGAGACCCAGCCAAGTGAATTACCTTATCAACACTGCAACAAGATGGCAGTCAAACGAGCGCACGGATAACTATAGAGGAAGAGGAGAGGCATGGAAGATATTAGGGAGGTTCCGGAGTACGATTTTTCGTGCCAAAATCCGTAGAGGCGCTACGGATTTTTTATACGTCGTTTTTGAGCAGTGAAATGTTCCGGAGTACGGAACTTATGTGTTTGCCGTCATTGCCTAGGTTACGATCGCAAACACGTCACATTCCCGCGCTATGCCTTTGTATTTTGAAAATTTGTACCGAAATCAAAACTTCCCGCGTAAAATCGATGTTTCTCGTACCAAATTTGTACGCGAAAAATCTTTCTGCACCCGATGATGCAAAATCTCCATACGAAACATGGTTCGTGTGAAAGCCAGTCCACACGGATTCTCCGTGCCGAAAAATCGTATGGAGCACGCCTGGAAAAAATCCGTACCGCCCATACGGATTTTGGCACGGAAAATCGTACCCCGAACCTCTCTAATACCTGTACTATTGTACGCAAACTGACACTTGCACCAGTGACGAAAAATAACTGCAATAGTTCAATCCACTCTTTCATATCCGGTTAAAACTGTTTCTCACCTCAAGTGATCTGATCTGGCAAGAGCCGCTCGCTCATGATCAAGAATACTCTGTGACATTATGCCGGGGTCCGAAGACTCAGATATTGACGGTGTACGTGCGGATGACCGGCGCACTGATGTTCCCAGTATGGATGCTGAGAAATCAAACGGACACAAAAGCCAACAGATTAGTGTAGAGCATGCCACAACGGAGACATGGCCATATCCAGGGCAGTTGCCAGTACTGCCACGGACATATCCAAGACAATATGGCATTGCCACACCCAGGACAATACTGTTCCACAATCCGAATTGATGAAGGACATCCTGCCATGTGCACAAATGCACGTCTGTAATAGAGACATCTCTCGATACAGGACAGACATATTTGGTCGCTGAGGCGCACACATACGCAAGAGAAGTTCTGTAGATTAAGTACCGACACATGCACGCCAAGACAACTGACCAGTGACTTCAGTGAAAACAAGAAGATTACGAGTACAGCAGAGGCCAGTAATGGACACATCTTGATCTGCACTAAGTAGATGACTGGGGTTTAGCTGAAATCACATCAGTCACAATCACATTCGAATACTTGGCTATGTCGCATAGAGCAGAACATGTGACAATGGGGCAGTACTTATGCTGTTGACCTGGACACAGAGCATGTTTGCCTACTACGCTCCAACCCTGCCAGATACAATGTGAAATTCAAAACAATGGCACTTACTCTCACATAAATGATGAAGGAGGAGCTGGCGGGCCTAGGGAAAACAACAACGATGACGACGACGACGACAACAACAACAACAACAACAACAATAACAACAACAACAGCAGCAGCAACAGCAACAGCAACAGTAGCCGCAGCAGCAGCAGCAGCAGCAGCAGCAGCAGCAGCAGCAGCAGCAGCAGCAACAAAGAATATGCAAAAAATGTCATGATCCGCAGCCCCATGTCACCAGGCATCCATATGGCAAAAGCACTCTGAGCGGAAATTGAGACATGCTACCAAACCTCTAGCACCCACATGTATCTGTGTGGCACATGCACATTGTCCTCAACAGCAGAGAGTGGTACAATATCTTCACTACTCCCTGCTCATCACCCACCCACCCACGTCACCTTTATAGTACACATAACTAGGGCAATGCCTGTCTCCAGATTGCAATGTTCATTCCCAGAGCATGCAGCACACGGCACATAGCGTACCTTACCTTGTTCAACTTTTCCCGATGTACAGATTCTAAGCGCAGCACAACACACTTCTGTGACCTAATCAAAAAATTCAAAAACAAGTCAACACAAGTACACACAGGTTGAATACAAACCCTGAGACAGAAAATACACGCATGCCTTAACAATACCAAAATGAGAAAGAAATGACCGCTCACAAACACAGACACAAATGCAAAAAAACAATAGCACATGCACACACACACCACACACACCATGTGACGCCCTATCTCCGAAGGCGATGATACGCTTATTGAGTCCCCCCCCCCCACACCCACATATACACCCCCCTCCCCCCCCCCCCCACACCCACATATACACCCCCTCCCCCCCCCCCCCACACCCACATATACACCCCCTCCCCCCCCCCCCACACCCACATATACACCCCCTCCCCCCCCCCCCCCCCCCACACACACATTCATGTCCGTGTGCATGAACGCACGCCGCCCACCTACCCATCTTCCTCAAACTGTGGATAGGAGCCGAGCTGTACATTAGGTAGTATGTCGTTCTGAACTGTCGATAACGTACTGGCTAGCTCTGCTTCCGGTCGCTGAACACTGACTTCAAACAAATGAAACTCACCGGCTGAACTCCTCAGCAAGCTCTACACAACACGAGAAAAGCACACCAGAAACACGCAGTGTGACGGACAGTTGCACGATACCACAGCAAGGCGTGTGTGCCAAGCGACCGCAACTGTGTTCAAGAGACTGCGCTGTGAGAAACTGTGTTACAACTGACAAGTCCTTTCCTGCTGCACTGACCTTGATGCCACGGAAGCCTTCTTTGAGAAAGACAGGCACACCTGGCAGCGCAAACACATTGTGAATTCTAAGTGCTGGGTATGCAACCGGAGCCGATACGTTCACGCTGGCACTGCCCGCTGAATCAGAGCTGTCCCGGCTGCTGCCAGTGGTGGATACTTCTTCTGTGGCTTCGCCGTGAGTGGCAATTGGCCATGAGGGTGGGTAGCAGAGCTTTGTCGATGTTGGCACCTATAAATAGCAAGAACAATGTACAGTGTACATATTGGTTGAAAGAACTCTGCTGAAATCACACACCAGCAGGAGAGATAGTATCATACTGCAGCAGTTGACAATCAAGTACATGTACTGTACATACAAGAAAAGGCCTGAATCAACTCTCAGCAAGAGACTCATACCTGCGTGTGCGTGCATATGTGCGTGGGTGTGAGAACGCGCACGCATGCATATGTGGTGTGTGCAAAACCATACGTGGAAATTTTGATAAAGTCACAAGAACTTGCAATGGCATCGAGGATCAGCTGAGAAGACAAGATGCAAGATCCGGCCTTTGCCCTAGCTGCCTTTCTGAATATATTCCATGATCAAAAGCCGGGATTTAGAGAAAGGCCAAGTTGACGTGGTCGAAAACAACTTGCCCAAAAAATCTCAATTCACTGAGCATCACGCTAAGGTAAGCAGCTAGCCTCATCCAGATACTAGTACATGTAACACAATACCTTGGCCATCTTCCGGCAGCTTTCCAAATCTCCAGCTGAAAACAGGGACAGCAGCTCATCGTGGTTGCAAAGCTGCTCATCAAAGGCATTGGCAATAGCTACAGCAGACAACAAACAGGTAGCCACAACCAAGTAATGAAGTCAAAAGAGAGAAAGCGACGACAAAGCCCACAAGCCGGAAATAGTCTAGATATGTTTACTACCTGTTGAGCTTCAATGAAAGATGCTCACAGAGTGAAACGTGGATGAACGAACAGTCACACTGTCATGAAACATGAATGCATTCAATCACAAATTCCCAGTACTGGAAATCAACCAATTTTCATAAGCATATATGACACACCCTTGATGAATGTTGAAAAAACTCCCATTCGAAAGCAGAACATTTCCATAAAACTAGCTCAGAACAGCTACTTTAAAAGCTGGCATTGCAGTGCTGTACGGTACTCTAATCAGGCTGAACCGAAAAAGTCTTTTGTGTCGGGCAACGAGGACAAAAAGAGCCGGTCGATCGGCTGGCTTTGTTCTTTTTTTCTTTTTTGCTGATACTATACATGCAAGATGTTATATCCATATACACATGTGAACAATACACATCCCAGCTACAAAATGAATGCTCGATAAAGCAGGCATACCGGTACACAATAGGCATTCTCAAATGATCAAATCAAAATGATCAATCGATATCATTCACAGCCAGGCAAGGACTTAGTTTCGGCACACCGAAGTGAAGAGCAGAAAACTACATGTATTCAGGACTCGCATACTCAGGTCGCAAGGCGGCTCTGTGTACAGCTACACAACATCCTTCTAGTTTGGCTGTGCTGGGTAGGTACTGTAAACTGAGTAGAGAACATGACATGATATAATATATGGCATATACTAGTATGCAGTGTACCTTCCAGTGTGACATCATCATGTGTTGGGCCTATGCCACCACACGTAAAAACGTGCGTGAACGACTGCGAGAAGAGACGAACCTCGGCTTCGATTGCCGACACGGAGTCTCCCACCACCACAACCTAGAGTCCAAGGACAGCACAAAGTAAGAAACGTGTTTGCTTGGATATGCCACACATTGCGTACACTTTGCCTCAGCAAGTGCTATCTCAACTGTGTCCCAAGAGGGGATCTTGATTCTATAGCTGTATTTTTGACGATTTTTCGGGAATAAAAATATTGTTGCGGGGAATGTGCACAGCATTCAGTGCTCGCTCGGGTCACCATCTGCAAAAGAATAGCCCAAGCATGCTTACGGTAAATAATATTTGCAAACTTCAAGCAAATTCCACGGCTCGCGTGAGACTCAGTCGGACTGCGTTTTTCGCATCTGCAGGAACACCACGACGCTACCCAAGCTTAGCCCATCGAAAAATTGAACTGTAGAATACATGTAGTTAAATTGTGCACTGGACGTGCTATTCTTTTGCACCCCTTTCCCGTCTGTTCATGAAGACGAGACAGATCTCTGGTAATGCTTGGCGAGGCAATCCAGTGGACTGGTTGACCTGAGCTATGAATCATCTCCCAAGCTCACACTCATGCAGTCGGTGGCGATATTTACAAGGATAGAGACAGAGAATTAAGCTATCCTGCAAGGTGTGCAAGTACAAGTCTCCTCCTCACTGGTATGGATGACGGCCTTTTCTTCTCCGGAGACTTTCAATCATAGTGCAGCCATATGCAGGGTTCTAGCCAGGAACAAATTGTAGGGGGTAGGGGAGGTACTAGTAGGTGAAACAAACAGTTCACCCATTTCTTCCATGTTCCTTTATTGCTTTGTCACAAAAAAATGCAACGTACGGATGCCCAGTCCCCACCCCCCTCTGGCTAGAACCCTGATACGTCCCTAACAGGAATGAGGTCACGTTGGGCAACTGCCACAATGCATGTATGTATGTTACTGTATTGTTGGATTGTGTACAGGGACACAGAAGAATTTTTGTTCATATCCACAAAAAACGTCACTCAGCTGTATATGTATGGGGTCATAACTTATACCCGTACCAGTACATCAAGCACATACACATGCATCTTACATGGATCTTACATGCATCTTACATGGATCTTACATGCATCTTACATGGATCTTACATGCATCTTACATGGATCTTACATGCACATCTTACATGGATCTCACATGGATCTTACATGGATCTTACATGGATCTCATACGGATCTTACATGGATGCATAAGCAATAGACCCGTGAGGCAAATAGTCTGTGCAGCCACTACATACAGTCATGGTACAAACAAGGCAAAATTACATTAGCATTCTTGGGCTTGTCGGATATCCGACGTGCTCCGACAAGAAACATACCGGTACGAGAGAACAATGAGGAAACGCATGTCTACACTACTGACCTTCCGGACATCAATCCCTAAATTCCACAACTGCCGGCAGAGGTACTGGGAATTGACGTCGACCACATGACCTCGCAGGATCTCATCACCAATGACTGCACGGCAAAGACACAGCACACGGCAAGACACAGCACACGGCAGAACACACGTGTTGACATTCATGAACATAATGCACACATGCACGGACGTACGTACGCACACCATATGCCATGTATACGCCCGTCGCAAGAGAAGCACGCAATTCTGCAAATGCACTGGATGTGCACCCACAGATAGCGGATATGATTCTGAATGAAACGGACTAAGACAAATAACTGTCTAATCCACACAACTGGCGAAGCCATGTGAATCGACCCCCTATGCACACCTGGTCTACACCACACGGAGCACATTGGAAAAGGACGGCCAAGACAGTTAGCTATGTGTGGTGTATGCACATCACAGACCCAGTAATGCCTACTGTGTGGTGCACATCTTGATTACACGTAGGTCGCGCCTTGCAGGCTGCGCAGCCGTAGTGTAGGTTCATGTTATTTTATTTGTGATCTTTTGTATTCTTTGATTTCATGTTTTTGTTGTAAGTCAGTTCGATACCAAGTAAACTCGAGTCCGGCTGTGTTGTTGTGTGCTCATGTTTGCTTTTGGGTAGAAACATAACATTGGCGACGAAGATGGGATCTTTTTTTGCCTTAAAGGAACTACCGCTCAACTGATGCTGCAACCAGATGCTAAGCCGAAATTCCTCCGTGCTCGTCAGTTACCCTTGTCGCTAAAAGCCCAAGTGTGAGCTGAAATTTGACGAATGGAAGCGGCTGGAATAGTGTCTCGTGTCGATTGGAGTGACTGGGCCACACCAGTTGTGCCCGTTCCGAAACCTAATGGCACCGTTCGACTATGTGGTGACTTCAAGGTCACCGTCAACCCGCAGTTGCGAGTGGACCAACACCCGCTCCCACTCATCGACGACATATTCGCTTCATTGTCGGGTGGTCAGAGATTCACGAAGCTCGATTTGAAAGCAGCATATACTCAGATGGAGGTAGCAGAAGAGTCACGCCCAATGCTAACGCTGAACACGCACTTGGGACTGTACCGACTCAATCGACTAGCGTATGGCATTGCATCAGCACCAGCTTTGTGGCAGCGTGCCATGGACCAGCTGCTGGGAGACCTGTCACCAGTTGAATGCACCATCGATGATGTCATTCTGACTGGAGAGGATGACGACCAGCATCTGAAGACCCTGAGAGCTGTCCTCAAATGCCTGGCCGATGCTGGACTCCGGGTGAACCCCAGCAAATGTGAGTTTTTCAAGGAGCAAGTTCAGTATTGCAGACACACTATCAGCGCCCAAGGTCTACACCAGTTGTCATCCAAGATTGATGCAGTGGGCGAAGCATTGCCACCTAAGAACGTCTCCGAAGTCAGAAGCTTCATTGGTCTGGTGACGTATTATCAGCGGTTCTTGCCAGATATGGCAACGGTCCTCAGCCCGATCACAGCATTGTTACAGAAGAATCAGCCGTTCCAGTGGACCGCGGAATGCCAAGATACCTTTGTGAGAATCAAACAACTCATGGCTTCGGACCAAGTGCTCATGCACTACAATGCAAGTCTTCCGTTTCGTCTTGCAACCGATGCATCGCCATATGGGTTGGGTGCAGTATTGTCACATGTGTTGCCTGATGGTGAGGAGCGACCTGTTGCATTTGCGTCCAGGAAGCTATCAGCTACGGAACAGCGGTACTCGCAGATCGACAAGGAAGCGTTGGGCATTGTCTGGGGAGTCAAGAAATTCCACAACTATGTCTATGTCTGTGCATTTCGAGCTGCTGACAGATCATCAGCCACTGGTATCGATTTTCAGCCCTTCGAAAGGATTGCCGGTATTGACTGCGGCCCGGCTACAGCGCTACGCTATGTTTCTTGCAGGACATCAGTATACGATTCTCTATCGGCGGACTCGGGATCACTGCAATGCAGATGGCTTATCCCGTCTTCCAGTCGGCGCACCAACCCGTGACGCTGGTGACGACGCGGTCGAGGTTTTCTACACGTCGCTCACAGATCCACTGCCAGTCACAGCCAGACAGATTCGTGATAATACACGTCGAGACCCTCTGTTGTCCGAAGTGCTACGATATGTGGAGACTGGCTGGCCAGCAGCCTGTCCGAAGCCCAGTTTGCAACCATACTTTAATCGCCGTAACGAGCTCAGTCTAAGTATGGAATGTCTCTTGTGGGGCAATCGTGTCGTTGTGCCATCAGCCCATCATGCGGAGATTCTAGCAGAGTTGCACAGCGGACATCCCGGCATTGTTCGCATGAAGTCTCGCCCGCAGCCACATATGGTGGCCCCAGATTGACGCTGCTCTGGAGCAGACGGTCAAAGCCTGTCTTGGCTGTCAGCAAGCACAACATCTCCCGCAGAAGGCCCCTCTGCACCCATGGGTTTGGCCCAGTAGACCATGGAAGCGCATCCACATAGACGTCCTTGGCCCACTAAGAGGACACATGTGGCTGGTCATTGTGGATGGACACTCGAAGTGGCCGGAAGTCTTGCCATTTCGATCCACCACAGCTCAGGCAACGGTCGCGAGTCTACGCACCGTATGTGCTCGCTACGGCTGTCCTGAGGAGTTGGTCAGCGACAATGGGCCCCAGTTTGTCGCCGCAGAATTTGAAGCGTTACTGCGCGCGAAAGGTATCCGACACCGCACGTCAGCACCATACCACCCTGCCACCAACGGGCTGGCAGAACGGTTTGTCCAGTCCTTCAAACGTGCCATGAAGGCGTTCCGCGATGCGATGCCTTGTCAGGAAGCAGCGGACAAGTTCTTGATCTCCTATCGCAACACGGTCCACCCAACTACCGGCGAAACACCTTCCAACCTATTAATGGGCCGACGCTTGCGCACACGACTAGATCTCCTACGCCCGGATGTACGGACCTGGGTGGCAGCACAGCAAACAGCACAACAGAAATCTTCACCCTCACGCGAAGTACGCATGTTTCAGCTGGGAGAGTCAGTGCTCGCTCAAGAATATCGGAAACCGGACAGGCCAAGTTGGATTCCTGCTACGGTATCTGAGTGTTATGGTACGAGGTCGTATGTAGTGGAGACCGCAGAAGGTGGTAACTGGCGGCGCCATATTGACCAGATTCGACCTGGACATCCCACGTTCACGACTGTGCCGGGGAGAGAGGAGGAGTCGGAAACTGTATTACGACCAGAGAATCCAGTAGAAACGGCACCAGCAACTATTGCAACCAGTGTTGAGTTAGCAGCATACACCGAGACAGAAGCTGAAGCAGAAATCACACCTACTGTGGTGTCATCACCAACGCCTGTTGCACCACTGTCATCCGAAGGAACGCCGGTGGTACCTGCAGTGCGGAGATCGCAACGGGTGTCCAGGCCGCCTTTGCGCTTGAACCTGTGACGTGTATATTTTGTATTTTGTAGCTTCATTATTGCTGCTGTTGAGATGGACAGGTTAGCGCCGCTTGTGTTGCCATGTGGTGTTTTCTTTTAGAACGGTCAACATGCTTTACCCTTTTGTTTGTTGTTAGTTAGTATTGATACAATTACATGGTCATCGTGATTCTGATTGTACCGTGTGCTTTCATTTTAGAAGGGAGGACTGTGGTGCATGCACACCACAGACCCAGTAATGCGTACAGTCAGTATCGCCTATAGCGTTGGTGTTTGATTTTGAGCATTTTATCATTACATGTACAAGCGATATAATACCATGACCGATACTGCATGCAATGTATGCAAGTGGGGTGTCAAACGACTCAGTGCGCCGTGCACATACGCACTACATACATGTACAATGTCATGTAGCTGGCTGTAGCTCCTGACACACAAAATCAGCATTTCCTCACGATGGAGGCATATTTTGGCAACTTGTACGAGCAAAACTCACCAAACAACACTCACTGGACGACAAGTTCTTCACGAAGAAGTAACACCCTGTTCTCCTCTAACATCGCTTGATTTTACATCAATCACTATAACCGATGCAAAAATAATGTAACGAGAGAGCTTGGAAGCTCAGGGCCCTACGCTATGCTTTTTTGCCTTGATGACCTAGACAAAAAAAAAGCATAGGGATGTTATAAATTCTTTAAAAAATTCCTTTTTTTTAGACATAACCTGGGATTCGAACCCGCACTATCGCGCGCCCTGCATTCATCCCCCGATGCACTTCGCATACATACTAATTCTTCCAAGTTGTTTCACATTGTGATCTTGCATTTGAAAGCCCTATTTGAGTTATATGCATTGTGGCCAGCCGTCTTTGATGGCACGGTACGGTAGGGGATAGGGACGGGACAGGTACGATCGAGGGTAATACGACACCGTCTCCCGTACCGTACCGTACCATCAAACACAGCTGGCCACATACAGCTTCCCGCAATATTGAAATAGGGCTTTCAAACGCAAGATAATAACGTAACGCAACTTGGAAGAATGGGTATGAATGCGAAGTGTATGGGGGAATGCATGTAGGGCGATAGTGCTGGTTCGATTCCCAGGATATGCCTGAAAAAAAGGAGAATTGAAAAATTTATAACATCCTATGCTTTTTTGCCGTCAGATACGGATAGCGCCAGGCGTGACACAAACAAACAAACACACAAACAAACACCAAATTAAAGCTGTGTGGACCCTGGCTAGCGCCAGACGTTACTGAAGTAACGTCTTCTGCATAGCTACGGGAATAAAGGTCTTTTGAAACATGAATTTGATCACTATAGGTGATATATTACTATAGACGATTATTACTATACGCGATAACTGTGTATACTTAGTTATGGCAAATGAAAATGAATTTGAGAAATTGATCACTATATCCGGTAAATTACTATCCGCCAACCTTATAGGCGATACAGACTGTACTGTGTAGTGCGCATCTTGATTACACGTAGGTCGCGCCTTGCAGGCTGCGCAGCCGTAGTGTAGGTTAATGTTATTATTTGTGATCTTTTGTATTCTTTGATTTCATGTTTTTGTTGTAAGTCAGTTCGATACCAAGTAAACTCAAGTCCGGTTGTGTTGTCGTGTGCTCATGTTTGCTTTTGGGTAGAAACATAACACTATACACACCCTACACTTGCTGGGGTATCCAGTATAAACAGCACGCTGCTCTGGTAGAAGCAGACACTAGATGCACTGGTGGGGGTAGTGGTACCTTGAAGTGAAATTGGAAGTGAAATTGGAGTTACTTTACCAACCAGCCTCGGCAACTGAGTACTGGGAATCCAGGGCCAACAGACTACCAATAACCTCAATAGTTACCAACCAAGGCTGCATGTTGGGGCGCGTCGAATATCATTCAATTATTAGTGAGAATGTAGAATTTTAAATCCGAAATTCCAAAATTGAGTAATTGATCAAGAATTTCTGAAACCTACCTATTATTCCAGCAGAGCATTGTTCGCTTGATTGCTCCATCGTGTCCTCCACTCAGGTCAGCAAGAAGACCAACACAAAAAAATGAAATGAATGAAACTGTGCTGCACTGTCGCTGCATCATATCAGTGTATGTGTGTAGCTCTCGAGCTCGAGTCTTCAATCTCTCGTTGATCCTCGCCGACCTCGGCCTCCCTGCATGGGCTATGCTGGGTTATGGACTCTTGTCTGTCTTGATGCCACTGGGAAGCAGTCACGTGAAAATCACAATCATCTCAAGTAAACATAGCCCGATTTTTGCTAGCAAAATATCGAAGAATTTTGAAAGGGAAATTGCTGGCAAAACGGAGCAAAATATCGATGTGTTCAATGTAAATTGGGAGATTTTACACTTATACGGTGCACGTGACTCATTTTCGCACAGTTTTACCAACACGTGACTAACTTTTTCTCATTTTTGCCAACACGTGACCCACATTCGGTCAGTTTTGCCACGCGTGACACAAATTTTGGAGCAAAAAGGGAGCAAAATATCGAGTCACATCATCACACACATACAAAAAGTAGTCATTGTGTGCATGTACTATTAATTATCAAGAGTGCATAAACAAGAGTGCATAAACAATGTTTATATGGACTCTTGCTATTATTGTGAAGGACTTCTTTTTGAAAATTTTCTCTGCAGGGATAGCATAAAAAATAAATAATTATTGGCTGTATGCGTACTAGACTTGAGATACATGAATGTGGTTCTCAACGACTTGGCTGGCCTGAGCTGATATGATGGCAGAATGCTGGCCTATGTATCAAAAGCTAGGAAACTACAAACCGCGTTGATCTGGAGAAAGAGCATTCTGAATATTGATTCAAACCAGGGAGCTCCGGGGTACTCCCTGATGCAAACTCCACTCAAATAATTTCAAAAGTACCAAACCTGCTACCAGTATGTGTACAAGGGCCAGGCTAAAAGGTTCCATCCACTAATCAATCAGTCTACATGCGTATTGTATCAAGGGACATTAGTGACTGGGCCAGCCGGAGTCCACAACACACTCTTATAATAATCGGAGAGCTGGAACGCACATGCGACAGCATACTCGTCTACACAAAAGCCATTGTGTTTATGTATAAAACGAATTCACAAAAACAAAGTACAAGCTATCTAGTCTGGGTCGGTGCGCTTGATATGGCCAACAGGAAACTGCATCACGCGGCTTGCAGGGACGCAGGGAACATCGAGCAAACACTTCATTCAACAGATCAAACAAACACGGAAAACAGGCAAACCACTGGTACTAGCAGTCGGCTGGGTCAGAGGCCAATGTCAATAACAGAAAGATGAGGTCACAACACCAGATTTGGGTAGGGTCACGTCGATGTGGATCAAAAACAGACAATGAAAGAGGGAATACAGACAAAACAGAATAAGGTACCATAGGAGTAGAGGCCAGTACAAGGATGCAATTGCAAGGATACAATTGGTCGGTTTTCAGTTAACTCTACCGATAGCATACGGGTGAGAGGATAACGATGTCGTACGAGTGAGAGGATAAGGTAAGGTGATGATACATAAGCAAAGAAAGGGAGGAAAGAGCGAGAGCTGTCACCGGGGTATCTTTCACATACAGTGCTGAAACACATACTATATTAACACAAGCGCAGAAGCCTGCCCAGCGCTTGGTAAGTAGAGCTTTAAAAAATATGCATAGCTCCTGTCAGCTCCTGCATGCGACACCAGTACGGCCATCAGTCACGGACGCTACAATATAATATTGTACTCAACAAGCCTGCGAGGTGCCATCAGTGGGTGAAACAAACGACGCGGCGATGGTGAAACTAGGAGAATAAGTATAGCATTGTTCTGTTGTTACTGTATCTGAGACCGTGGTGCGAGTGGTGGCGTTTTCCACGATGAATATGCTCAACACTCAAAGCTCTCTCTTCAGCAAATCCTGGCACTGAGCACTGCCAATGATGGTCTTGGCTGTTTCAGATTTGTGTGCTGCATCTGCAAGGTTGAACCATTTCCATTGCTTCTCGCCACCGCTTTCATTTTTCTCTTGTACGGCTGGCAGGGAGTCGTCTCGCCAGATGAAGAAGCGCTCCATGGAAACGAGACTGTTTGGCCGCAGGATATCCACGAACGGTGCGTCCGCCCTGCACGCTGTCCATTCCATGCCGGTTTCGGCCTTCAGCTCACGAGCGGCACACTCCCACGGCTTCTCAAACTCGCCCTGGCCGGGATGGCAGAAGTTGCCCTTGGGTAAGGTCCAGGGTCGTGTCAGGTCTTCAATAACCGTGCCCGGTGGCAGGGAGCGGCGACGTGCTGCCTCCTCTTCGGCACACTCCTGTGGTGACAAGGAACATGGGCAAAGTACTAGTATCAAGTAAGGGGCCGTCCAAGGTTACCAATAATATTTTCAAAACGAAAAGTTTTCGTTTGAGGGTGGGTGGATTTGATGGAGTTTCGTTTTGAAAATAATTATTGAATACAGATGGAGAATATCTAGTTACTTCTGGGTGTCGAAAATTGACATCAATATTTTATTGGAATTCGTTTTACGTGCAGAAAAGGTGGGTGGGTGGGGGCTGAAAAATACTAAAACTTTTCATCGGTAACCCCGGACGGCCCCGAATGCAAACTGGTTCTTGACACAGGATTTCCAACCTCATCGCTTTATACTGAGATATACATGAAGTACATTTTCTTTCCTTTTTCACAACAACAGAAAAAGATGGGAGACCATGTACTGGAAGTATGCATATCCCGATGGTCTTCTAATACCAGTATGATGACATGGTTAGATAACCTGTTGACATGCAAAGGAAAGCAGAGTTGATGATGCAGCGGTCTACTTCGAAGTACACAAGGCAACGCGTGCTGGTAAAGAATCCGCAGGCCGAGTCAGTGGTAGACAGTGCATCTGCAGTACACAGCCTACAGTCTCTGTGGTCTAAACACACAGTACAATGGCAATATCTCCAGTACTACATGTCTTAGCCTACGAGAAGACCCAGAGTTCGGAGCTGAAATACCCGCCCCGCACTGCACTAGTCAGACATGATCTCCAGTAGATTCCAGGTTTCACTACTACGTAGGCGCCAGAAACAAGTCACCACTTAGAAGACCCAGAGAACCGAAAGTACGTACCATGTAAATAAGTGCGCTTTACAGGCTACAGCACATGTATGGGTATTTGCAGAGATTCAGACGGTACTGGGATGTAGGGTAGGTGCTGGCATGCATTCCACAGGCTGAAGAAAGGTTGTAAGACCTGCTACACATGCATAACTTACCTGCACGCGCTAACACGCCAACACGCACACATACACATAGTCACACACACACACGTGCGTGCACACTGTACCTGCAGCTGTCGTAGGATGGCATTAGATGGTGGCTGGTTGGCGAATAAGCTGTTCCATGACTCCTTATAATGCTGCTGCTTGCTGGAGGAGTTATAGAAGAGGCAGCGCATGCTAGTCGCCGACATGTCTGCAAGTGAATCCAACTCATAGTCAGTCCACATGTTTAAGCCGCGGATGATCTCGTCCACAGAATGCTTTTGCTGGCCACGCGCCAGTGACTGGTGAATGGGTACAACACAGATAAGCACATAAACAACCAATCAGTACATGGAATACTTAAAAAAAGTTAATAGTCACTTTCTACTCTTGCTAAGATCTAAGACAGGATGGCCCCTACAATCTGTACGTTGCCTCGACTACTTATCCAACATGTCCACTCTTAATTACCGGTAACTGCCCTTGCCACGGTCTTGCATTTGAGCATGGTCTGTGTTTAGTGGAACTGCGGCAAGTGAACATAATCGTACTACACTCACATTCAGGACAGAGTACAGCTTTGTCTTGACAGAAACCAGTGCCTGAGAGTTGCTGCCGCGTTTGAGAACAATTTGACTTGTGCCGTCACTACAAGGCGGTGGGACAAAAGAGAGCAGCAGCAGCAGCAATTAGTCACTCAAACTGGCAATTTCTCAAGATGCAAAAACTCCACTGCAGCAACCCTTACTTCCATACACCTTCAGCAATGGGGGAGAGACACAGACTACACAGAGATTATATTATATGTGGCAAATATGAACACTCTGGCCAGAAGTGGGAAGCCTGTGAGAAACATCATGATTGTACATAGCACACCAATAATGTAGAACCATGCTCACTGGAGATGCTTCAATCTCCTAGGCCATTTAAATATTCTCACACAGCGCACCAAGGTCTGTTCCCTGAATATATTTACACCGTCAATTCGTGTGGACTTATCCGTCATCCCCACGGCAAAGCAACAGGTCTCTAATTGGCATACTTGAAGTACTTATATTACTATAGTACAGTGTTGCTCAATGAAATCCAGTCGCGTCACTCAAGTACACGATGGGCGTTGCGCAGCTCTAGACCTGCAAACACCGGGCTGCGAGATGGTCCAAGGCGCAAGCTTGAGTGACGCGACTGAATTACATTGAGCAGCACTGTAAGTTAATTGCTTACGTGCATTTGCGCAGCGTGGCAACACCACAGCTGATCAGAACTGGCTTTGGATCTCTGACAATACAGGTGCAGAACTCCGGGACAAGGAACGCCTTTCCCTTCTTGGTGCTATGGCGGCGATACGTCAAACCGATAATACAGCTACCCTCAGACAGCGGGCGACATGTGCCGCCACTGCCGACACAAATCACAAGGTCTGCATCTTCCCTGCTTGTACCAGCAGGTACCTACAGCAAACGGGACAGGAATATAATGCAATCAGGTCACACGGATCAGTGGATGTTCTAATGTTCAAAAATGACACCTTGTAGCGAGTAGATTTCGTTTAAAACGAACCAGATCTCGGCCGCATATAAACCAAGCGCACTAATGCGGTCATGGGCCATATAACAGTCATGAAGTGTCGCTTGCATGGATTAATTCTCCTGCAAAGTGTTGTTCGTTGTATCAGGAGTCACTGTACGAGTACTGCAAACTACTCTTGGCACTCACCTGTCGGCGCTGGCAATGCAGGCGAATGGAAAAGTCTCCGTCTCCAACCAGGGCGATGCCCGTGTCCGTCCACACCTGTCCAACATGGAAACATTCCAAGTCAGAGGCGTGCAGGCGAGGTGCATTGCTTGGACTGGAGGATGTGTGAGAGCGACTGAACCAATTCTTATCATCCTCGTACGAAAAGGATCGCGGTGACGACAGAGACTTTGGCGACTTGCTACATGGGTCTCGGAGCCGGTTGGCTGGGGTACGTGGCTGCGCTGGAATTTCACGAGGCGCAGTTTGCGGGATGCTCTTGGCGTTGGGGGATGCAGCAGCCATTGATGAAATAAACTGCAGGTAGGAAGGAAGAGCATCGTGTATATGAGGATTAGCTTAGCCCAGTAGAAGGAATTTGAAGAGTGTACTGTCGCTGTATTTAAGATTGAATAATATGGTGGTGAAGACACACTTGTCCACGCAGAGCTTTCCTTCTCACCACCAGCATCAGTTTGTGCATGGCGCCTGGTTGATGCAAGTCTATTGATATTTGACATAGCGGAGTGGTGCATCAGGTAATGCTTGGCGCATAGGAGATGACACAGCTAGGTCTTGGCTCGGCTGCGACATACTTTTCGTCCCCAATGAACTCATCAGGCAATCTTCTTACAGCTGCAGGGGAGTCCTAAATTCATTCTCCTGAGTAAAACCCCATCCGAAGACGTCCAAAAAGAAGATTGCCTAATGAGTCCAGCGGGGACAAAACATACGTCGCAATTGAGCCCAACCGTACCTGTGTCATCATCTTCTATGCGTCAAGTGCTAACTGGTGTACCAGTCCGCTATGTCAAATACCACCAGCCGGGCGCCATGCGTGGATTGGATGTGGTGGTAGAAGGAGAGCTTTACGCCATAGTGTAACTTTGCCTGTCCCCACAGAATACCGCGGACAAAATCTTAAAATTATGCACATAATTATGCGGCCGAAAACAGGTTACTAGTATTTGAACATCCTCGGCAATGTTGTACATCTCTAATTCAAGAATTTTCTAGTTGTAATGTATGCACAGTGCATTCTGTTTCTGGTATACCCGCTTTCTCGGTTGGCTCTCGCAGCCTTTGGTCAACCCTTAATTAAAAATCAATCAATCAATTAATCTAAAAAGGCGACGTGGAGACCATCATCTTAATAATGCAGTGAATAAAACTATACGTACACTCATATCACAACCATAGCAACGAATAAAGTATTCCAGAATGTTTTCTTGTCACAATTATCAATGGAATTCGTGACTAAAGGGAATGATCAAACTACAATAGCACAGGCATGTACATTGTCACACTGCACTTGCTGAATTTCCTATCATTTCTCACCTGTATAGTTTTTATTACCAGTGCTATTTTCTTACTATTCTTGTATCCTCGTTTTTTTCACTCCAAGGCTGTGTTTACATGAGAATTTTCAACCCGGGTCGAGTTCAGCCCGGGCTGAAAGTCTGTACGATAGACAAAATAGGCGAGCGTTTACATGAAGACAGTTGACCCGGGTCAAATACTGATATGCCACCAAAAGTCCACTCCTAGAGTCCTGTATGGTCACGTGAATACTTTTGTGCGAAATTTGCATATGCAGTGCTATTCAAACCTGGCGCGAGTTACGCACAGAAGTACGATTTTCTCGCCCCGGGTTGATTTCAACCCACCCCTTGGGGGGCGGGGGAGGGTTGAAATCAACCCGGGGCGAAATTTCAACCCGGGTCAAGCGCAATGCGTCATGTAAATGCGCCATTCATTTTGTGTACGTGGCGGGTTAAAATCTAACCCGGGTTGAAAGCTCTCATGTAAACGCAGCCCAAGTGTACAAATCCTATATGGCCTATTGTAGTTTCATCATTCCCTTTCGTCACGAATTCCATTGATAATTGTGACAAGAAAACGTTCTGGAATACTTTATTCGTTGCTAGGATTGTGATACGAGTGCGCATATAGTTATTCATTGCATAATCAATTAATCAATCAATCTTGGTAGAGGTCAATGAGGAGGGAATGAGGAGAGACACAATTCTACAGATGATTGTGCACCAGTGATTTACTGGAGGTAACATATTAGCAATACCGACACGTCATATCTCACCTTCAGGTACAAAACGTCTGAAAAGTGTTGAGAAATATTTCCCCGAGTTGACAAATGAGGTCAAGTAATGTGGATTACCTCGAGGTGGAGAGAAACCAAGATTGCATTTGGGTTTGGTGCAGCAAAACAAAACGGCGCCTTATTGTTTTTGTCTTCAGGCAATCTAGAAACGGATAGGTACCAGGTAGTAAAGACCGAGCTTCGTCAATGCAAGCCCAACTGGGCTACAATTCCAATAAAGACCAAAACGAACAATCACATTGTTTTTTTAGATTCGCTGTCAACCATGGTCAACGTGGTCAATCTGATCTGGTACGAACGACGTACATGCTCCCTGTCCTACACGTAGATCTACACAGACTCATGCTCAGTAGATCAGTGCACATGTCTACGTAGATCTACGTACCGTCCTTGCGACGTCACTGGCGGCACTTTTTGGTGTGGCTTTTTTACACAAAATTTTATCAGCTGTTATATATTTTTTGGTGCTTTCTTCAAAAAGTGTTCTCGTACCATTTGTGGCTGGAAAACTGGGAACGCCCATAATAGTCATTATCATTGCTTTCCTTGCTTGTTGGGTCTGACAGTCAGACCTGGTGATAGATACGAGCAGGTACATATTTGAATTATGTAGAATATCTCGTCGAAGAACACTGGCCTTTATCTCCACAGCATTTTCCAAGAGGTTCCACGATGAGGTCCAAAGTGCAATTATACCTTCGGCCTGTTGTCATGGCATGCTATTTCGTAGTGCTGCTGATAGCCGTGCCACTGTCCATAGTCTACTTAGTGGAGAAACATTCTGAGCCCCATGTGATTGCGTGGTTTGTGGCGGGCATTTTCGTTCTGGCCACTATACCTATGTCATTGTGGGATATCTCCATGCACTTGTCTAACTACACGCAACCTGATTTGCAGCGGTACTACGTCAGGTGAGTTTCATGCTGCCACCACACAATACAGTATTGGATACGGGTGTACATGAAATTATAATAATGAGCATCTGCGTTTCACTGGGTACGAATCCCTGGTTCCATCACATGCCAAGAACACCTAGGTACTGTGTGGATTGTGCGGCATCACCTCTCAAACTTCATGTACTGGTATGCACGAACAGATGGCCGAAACAGGATGCGAGGGAGTAAGCATCAATGTGCCCATGATAGTAGCATTAGCTGAGGCATGGGGCTCCCAATAGGAAAGGCACCGCTACAGCCTGTCAGTGCGTGCTGTGTGTGAGGCCGGTTATGCACCATATAACTGTTATGCCGTACTGGTGCGCAGACACTTCAAGGCACTCTACGAATCCACGGGGCAACAGGGGAACACATTAAGTGTTGATCAATGCATAACAAAGACATACAATACCCAGTAATAGGTATGAAAGGACGTGTTGGTCCCATGTACCCTTCTTTAGAGAATAGTCCTGGCTTGATATGTGTGTGCGTGTGTGTGTGTGGTGTGTGTGTGTGTGTGGTGTGTGTGTGTGCGTGCGTGTGTGTGTGCCTCTGTGTGTGTATTGTGCATGTTTGTGTCTGTGTACATGGTATGTGAACAGAATAATCTGGATGGTGCCTATCTATTCCCTTGACAGTGTAAGTAAAGCCTGAGGAGTAACAATGTGGCCCTAAACGGTGTGCTGCATCATATTCCAAGTGTCCTCCCACTTAGAATTACAATGGATCCTCCCTGACGAGCAGACTACACAGGTTAAGATGCCTCCGTATTGACGACACTTTGTTTTCTCTCCCAACTGTTCCTAATCAATTTGTAAATCGATGGGTACTAGTAATCAGAACCTCTCCCAATGCACTACAGATACCAGTACACACAATTACAAGGGGCGGGGGGGGGGGGGCATGGGGAATCGCACAGTTCACCTTTTTTTCCATGTTCCACTAGTGGTATTTGCTTTGTGACACAAAATGCAACACAAGCGCAGTGAGCACCTGGAATGATCAATTTGTGGCCGCGTTTTCGTTGTGTGAACTAAAAAAAACACAGAAGTCGAAAAACGAGTCGGTTGGTGTGCCATCAGAGTAGCAGGGCGCAGTTTGCAAGTTGAGATGCAGGGGTCGGATTTTACTTATATTGTAGCTGCACTGTGTGCTGTGTCTTCCTTTGCCTGTAGTGGCTGGCTCTACGATTTGCCACTGAGGGCAATGCCGGCGTGTTTCTGGACACCGCCAGAGAGTGCTACGAAGCGTACGTCATCTACAACTTCATGATGTTGCTTTTGACGTACCTGCGCAAGCATACGACCACAGCGGATGGCGGCGAACTGGACGATGTGTACCACGGTCACATGTTCCCCTTCAAATACTGGCCATTCAAGCTTTGCTTCAAGCCCTGGGAGCCTGGAAAGTGAGTTTATGCCAGTATTGTGAGTATACTTCCTTGTCATGTGTGTGCAGTTTCCACGTGGGCTGGACTGGATAGACCATGTGACTGCCAGTCACAGTAAAGACTACTTGTAGTGGTGCAAGGAATGTAGAAAGGAAAGGGACATATGGATACGAGAGACCAAGGAGGGGAAGATAAGCGCAACATGTGCATGGAATTCTGAGGGAATCGGGTGGAATGTAGTTATAATTTAGTCGTTATGGTGCATATGTACTACCGAAAGTACTGAAAATTGGCACGCATTAAAAACATGTGTGTGTGTTGGGTGATTTTCCTGTTCCGGAACACTCTCTGTTTCCAAGTAGAATGTATTATGGGCGTTTTGTATCACTGACGTCATCGATGGCGTCATGCGATTTAACCCTAAAACGGGGCGTTTTATAATTTTTTCTGATTCACTAGGAGACGCTGTCGAGATTGATAGTATCTTCTTTCTGGCATACATCGCTTTTGAAAATCATGCTCCGGTGCGTAGATGTGCTGCTCAATCACATGCGCACACGACGTGCGCACGTAGTGTCCATCTATCACGGCCTCGGTCACATGATTGCAGCCATCATCACGTGCTGGAGAGCCCTTTGGCTGTCGAACGTAATTGATGAGCGCATCGAATTGATCACACAGATCCATGATGTTCAGGAAGTGACGTCGGTGCATCGTCTACATCCGTCTTTAATGATTCATAGATATCAGCTCGGCGCTTGCTTGAACTAGGGTGATCACGCTTTCTTCTCGAAGCTCGCCGTAGAATGACCTCAGCTTGTCCAGGTGGTGTCTTATATCAAGCGCCGATGTTAGGTGTTGCTTCACCTCGTCCGATGTTCTCCACTTATTATCGCTGCATGGGGGGAAACATGATTGCAGCCATCATCACGTGCCGGAGAGCCCTTTGGCTGTCGAGCGTAATTGATGAGCCCATCGAATTGATCACACGGGATTCTACGGGATTTCGTGGATCTGTACAAATGGCAATCGGTCCATTGAGATTTTACATAGCAAAAACTGCTATGCAAAAGCATGACAGTAAATTCATCCCTGCGTCATTGCTGATGTCATCTGTAAAACGCTCCGATTTCAGGTTAAATCGCAAAATTTACACGTAAATCGGGAAATATTAGGGTTAAAACGCCCCAGTTTTTAGGGTTAAATCGTATGACGTCATCGATGACGTCAGTGATACAGAACGCCCATAATACATTCTACTTATCCAAACACCTGGCAAGGGTCTCTGCCTAGAGGTGATCGGATACTGTAAATCAACATATTTTCGCCGGTGAAAAACTTTCGCCGATCTCCAAAAAAGACTTTTCACCGACAATAAACTTTCGCCGTGCGCGTGCAAGGAATCCAAAAAAATGATCAATGTTTTGTGCGCGCACGTACTAGTAGTAGTACAAAGGTCAGTGTACTAGATTGTGACACATTTTGGCCAGCGATTAATTTTGGCCGATTGGCATTGACCGGCGAAATCAGTGAAATTAAATCGCCAGCGAAATTTTATTGATTTAGAGTAGTCAATAGAGAGGTTCCGCATAACGTAATTACGTTAGTAAAAAAAACGTAGTCGATCTACGGAAAGTCTTACGTAAACTGCATGCACATCTGGGTTCCGCCATACGGAGTTTTCAAATCACGTAGCTGCCCTTGGCAACTCCGAACGCGGCAGTGTACGACCAGATCGACATGGGGAGAGAGTCATAAATTTGTACCCCAATCCACTTACGGACCAGCTACGTTATCAGAGCCCTATCTACGTACTCTCCGTAGACAACTTTCCGCAAGTGGAGTGCAAACTCGCGAATTCACGGGTTTTTCCCGCCCACTAACGTAAAGTTGCTCAACTTCACGTAGTGCGGAACCACTCTAATGTTCAACTGTATGTGTCGCTACTGTCAGTGTTGTCCCAGCCTTCCTGCCACAACTCTGACTTTCTGCCTTGTTTACTGCTTCCGCTACTGTGGCTGCTGCTGCTCCTACTGCTGCTGCTACTGCTGCTGCTACTGCTGCTTCCGCTACTGTCGCTGCTGCTGCTGCTTCCGCTATTGTGGCTGATGCTGCTGCACAGGCAGTTCATCCATCGCTGCACCGTGGGCACACTGCAATACACATTGATACGCGTGACCACCACCACCGTGGGCATGTAAGTATGGCAGAACCGACTTCATAAACAGCATGTATCATGATCTGACTCAGTGTTGCACTGGAATTAGTGGCTTCCACAGTCATAGCGGAGCTGTGTGGGAGTCTCGCTGTTTCTTGTTGGAGGATAAATTAGTTTCCCCAAGCCCATGAAGTTTCCAGTGTACTGGTTACTCCTGGTCATGCAACAGCAGCAGATTTAGGCTTCTTTTGCCGATGGTTTTGCTGTTGCTACTTATGTCACGAGTGTCACTTCGTCATCGTTTCTCGTTCATGACAATGCGATATGAACGAATGCATTTGGAAAGAGTAAGATATCTCGTTTACTGCCCCGGAGTGTAAGTCCATTGGTTTAGGATTTCATTGCTTTCAAAGTTCCGTCTCGGCCACATCTGGTTGTTGTTGGATGGCCTTGGTGGTACGTACACTGTATCAGCAAGCACGAAAAAGTACTCATCGCTGGTCTGGCCAGAATGGTCCTCAGTTGCAGGTTGTGGTCACTTGCAACTCTGTACTCGTCCCTGTTTCTTACCACAATGCTGTTCTCCCCCATCTGACTGTTGTGTGTTGGAAAGGGTCTGTGCATTGGCTGGCTATCAGCACAGACAAGAAATCTTCAACAATGTCACCAATCGAACTGAAGTTGTGTTTCCGCTGAATAAGTACTACTCCGACGGTGAAATCTCAGAGAAGAATGCCTACATCTATCTGGCGTTCATCAACAACGTCTCGCAAGTGGTAAGGATCAGGTCTGTGCTTGCTGCACTCAGCGAATGTGTTGGTGCTAGTAGTGTATTGGCTTGTTGTGGCACGTGTATTTCTGGAGTAGAGAGTTCTTCGTCAGTCCTGACTCTGTAGATGTGCATGTCATCTCAGTTGCGCTCACTGAAATGGTGAGTGAAATCCGACCCAAAGTGCAAAACTGGCACCCTGGACCAGTTCTGATTACATCACTGTACTTGTAAATGTCTGCGTTCAGCCACATTCGTACCACGTCCAGGGCGTCAAGGGCCATGCATGTTGAGGGCGCTAAATTTGCACTTTGGGTCGGATTTCACCGAGGACAACTGTAGTTAGATTGTTATCAGGGAAACTGGTGCACCAAAAACCTAAAATTCCTTTTCTACACTACAAGCACACAGGCCGTACAGCGGTGTAAGCTGGATCCTGAATTGGACAATACAGTCAGACCTCGCTCAGCCGCACACATCCGTTATCCACCAAAATATTGGAGAGGCGAGGGAACCGGATAATCGAACACACATACTGTATGTATGCATGACATATGCTGTAAATCAGTAACCAGCGATTTTCTTCCGGATGGTGAGGGATCCGGCTAAAAGAGGACCGGATAAGCGAGGTCTGAATGTATCTGGTTTGGAGTAGTCGTAGTCCGTAGTCGTTGGCAATACCCAAACTCACTCTCTTGGTACCCGAACGGTCTCTTCACCACCAACATATCACATTCAAGTCATCGATTGTCGATTGCAGCCCAGTATCAGGGTGATTACAGAATACGAAAGAGAATTATTTTGAAGCAAAGAGATTGTTGGGCGTCGAAAAAATTGTACAATTAAATGTAGTAATTGGCTGCATTGAAATTTGCAAACGATTCTAAATATAATTGTAGTTAGTGATAGTGGATACCTTTAGCAGCTCGTGAAACGAGTGCATATCAGGTTCATAGCAAATCTAACATGAACTCGTCAAACACAGCGTAATGCCCAAGCATTTTTTTGCCTGACTTGAAATACGAAAATGAGTCGGGGGCTTGCCTCTCGACTATTAACTACTATTAAGTTCACCTCGCTTAGTTTCTCGTCGCTTGACAAAAGACCTGTGCCAGTGATGCACACCTGCACGCGGAATGCACAAAGAGTATGTGTTTCGCCGCTGATTGTTGATATGTCCATCACACAGGTTCTCCACGCATGACAGGTACATGTACATGTTGATACCCACTGTAACCTTGTGTAATCTGAATCCAACTTGATCTGGTGCCCAATCATTAATTCAGTGGGTGACACTTTTGCAATGGTAATTATTGTTATTGATGCAGTAGGTTTGGCTGTCTGGTTTGTTCTTGTCCACAGTGGGCAATGTACTGCCTCGTCCTTTTCTACTATGCCACGCGCGAGCGGCTGAAGTCGGTCAAGCCCTTTGGCAAGTTCATGTGCGTCAAGCTGGTGGTTTTCTTCTCGTTCTGGCAGTCGGTGGTTATCGCCATTCTAGGCGTGGCCGGTGCAATCCCCAGCAGCGCATACTGGACCAACTATACGCAGGATACTGTCAAATCCAGCATCCAAGATTTCCTCATCTGCATTGAGATGTTCTTTGCGGCCATTGCTCACCACTATGCGTTCTCTGCTAGTCAGTTTGTGGACTACGCGGCTGACACACCGTCCTGCTTAGACGGTATAAAGAGCATGTGGGACGTTAGCGACGTCCGGGATGACATTGTGGAAAAGACCAGGACCGTTATCCCGCAGCGGCGTGGCCACTCATCTTCGGGCGCGGCAGGTGGGGATGAAAGAACGCAGCTGCTACCTGTGGCATCAGCTGATGCTTCGCCAGTTTCCGGTGAACATGGAGCAGTGAACAGGACGCCTGCAGCCGGGACAGCCTCCACCCAGGCTGGACAAGGCGTACATGTATGATTCCCATAGTCCAGACTGAAGAGAAGAATCTGATTATGTTGCCACTTGCAGTTGATGAATGTCACCGGCTTGTGTTTCATTTGTCGCACCTGATGTCCTCTGTCTTTGCAGAAGGTGAGGTCTAGAAAAGTGCGCTGTTATCATCACGCATACATACGTGTTGTTGTGTTTGTGCCGATTCCCATGTCTGGCAGTCCGTCTGTGAACAATTATTGCCGCTTGCAGTCGATATGCATGTGCAGTTGGGCACACGTCGTGTGTTGCTGACATCGTTGTTTTCTCATCTTGCTGCTTATACTTCAAAGTACTTATTTCTATCTCTTGCGTTATTTTTCTTTAGCTCCTGATCAAAATTCATTTCTGTAGCAGGTGAAGCTGAGTACCAGCCATATGTTTTTTACTTGAATTCTGCAATTTTTAAAATATTTTATTGCCGAAAACTTGAGAACCATTATAACAATAATTATAATAGGTGCATTTTGGCAACAGGTTTGCTGTGTCTTTTTATTATTGGGCACTGGCTAATGATAGTGCTATCAAATTATCAATGCACTGTGCTGTGCTGCGCGATGCTTCAATTATTTTGACTGAAAGTGGCACTCGCCCAGAATATCGGCCATGCATCGCTAGTAGACTCACTACTGCTAATTTCACCAGATAATGCTGCCATAAACACAGTCTTTGGCGGCAGTGGCATGCACTTTCATGGTGGCGGGATGACCATTAATTTAACCGGGTATAGTATCTCCTCCAGTGGCAATAAGTTATAACCTCTGGGTGCATTCTGCATCATATGCATGAGCATCTTGGAGTGTGGTCAGATGACTGAATGAACAATTTAACATACCGTCAAGAGTGCATAACTGCGGGGGTTATGGGAACTCATGGACTCTCGATACTGCACAGTCATACATGTCTCCCACAATGAAAACTCGGACAAATAATAAATGGCACATACTGACGACACATGTGCTGTACATTATTACACTTTGCACTTGGGGGTCTTGCAGATAGACAACAGACATCTTGCTGAATTAATTGCCGAGAGTTGTTTTCTGTCTGGCACACAGCACGGACCATACTTCACTGCTGCTCAATGAAATCCGAGCGAGCAAGTCAAGCTTCCGCCCTGCACCTGTGAACATCCCAGTGGTCGCAGGTCTAGGTCTGCACAGCGCCCGGCACGTACTTCTCTGCGATCGGATTTCAAGCAGCACTGTAGTAGCAAGTACTCTTGCTAGTTGCTTACAAGTGGGAAGTGTGAAGCCAGCATGGCATGACTGACTGCTAAGCCAGAGTCCTAATGCCATAAATGGCTACAAAACCCTTTCTCAGCATGCATGGTCACACGAAACAACAATACCAAGTCCAAGTCCTGGAGACTGACAGTGTGCACCTGAGAGTATCAGCAAGGCCAGTAGTCAAGCAACAAGGCCTTAAGTGCACCAGGAGAAGATGAAGAGTGGCTATTCAGCAGAACGTAAGACACTTGTACTTCCAGCTCAGAGTGCAGCAGATAGATGTCAAAGGAATAATTATGTTCAAACACCAGTGCCTGCACTGGTGTTGTCAAGGAATAGATATCATGATGGGGAGATTGAGTATATAATGACAATATGGTTCGTGAAAAGCCAAAAAAAGAGAAAAGAGAATAGAGCCTAGGAGGAGAAAGACTGATCGTTCCACCGCAAGTAATCACCAATGCATTCCTCAGAAGTGATTCCAGCGGTCATACGAATAATAAATAGGGAGATATTCGGGCTGAATCAAGCACAACAGCTGTAGCAAGAATGTACAGTGCGGCGGTCCAAGGACGGTTACAGCTAGTGCCTGCTACTATTAAACAGGTGTGTAGTTGTTAGCTCATCTTCTTCCTGCCCGGATATTTGGGCTGGATCAAGCACAAAAGCTGCAGCAAGAATGTTCAGTACGGCGGTCCAAGGAGGATCGCAGCTATTGTTTGCCACTATTAAACAGGTTTGTAGCTGTTAGCGCGACTTCTTCCTGCCGGTGCGCACAGCACTGGCAGTCCGTGTTGCAGACCGAGCATGGCCGTACAGTTTCCTGGCCTCCTTCCTCTCATCGTCCGTCACGCGCTTATCATCCAGCATCTCAAGCTGGGGCAAGTGGCTGACCACGTACATGCGATAGTCTTCAAACTGCTCAAACGAGCCGCCGTTGAAGAACGACGGAGATGCTTCGTTGTTCATCATACTGAGAAAGCGCAGCTTCGGGAGACTCTTTTTGACCTGGTCAATGAACACCACCAGGTTAGTAATCTTGTTGTGGTTCAGCCACAGTGTGTGCAAGCATGGAAAGTTGGGGAACTTCACATGCGATGTGATCTGATTATGGTCGAGCACGAGGGTCGTCAGTTTGGTGAACGGCATCAGAGATCGCAACTCTCTAGTTCAGCAAATACTGTCAAGGAATACAGTCACTGCTCAGTCATCTACACGTACTGGTACAAATAGACTTCCCTACAAGTAGAACAAATCAACCTTCACTACGTCATTGGTTCCACCATGACAGAAAGCACTCATCTTTAATACGCACTATAATCACATTTCAAAACCGTGGGCGTATATCCTCACTATCTATTCGTTTTCATGTTGTCAATGTAGGCTGGAAGTGTGTTGGAGAGGGAATCAATGTTCCAATCCACGTCACGATACTTCCCGAGTGAAATGTTATCTAGGCTACCACTAACTGCTACCTGCAAATTATTTTCATTAATTTGGCAGGTAGCGTTCCTGTGAGTGTGACCCGTCACATCCGGCCATCATATTTTAGTTAGCTCCGGACAGTCAATAAAGTGGCCGCGTCCAGATAGTATTCTTTTCGTGATCCACAGAAGGTAGCGGGGATGTGGGATAAAGATACCCCAGTGCATGCCACTAAACTAATATCAAGAGTATATGAGCTATATATTTACTCTTGCTAATACATGTATGTATGACATACAAACATAAGCCTGCAATGGTCATGAAACTGATGCTTACTACATGTATACAGCCGTCAAAACCCGGCTCCAAAGAGGATACGTCATGCAATTGTGCGTGAGGTCAAGAGATTCCACACGATCGAAATAGTCGTTGACAACCTCCACTGGAACATGCTTCAAGCTTCTGTATGCCAAACTCAAGCATTTTCCGTTCATAGCCATTTCAGCATGGACATAGTTGCATCGATTGACTTAGAGCTTCTCACGAACAACTGTGAGCACTGATTTAGAAGACGCCAAGAGAGAAGAAGCTACTGCCTGGAGTACTGGACCTTGGAAGAAATTATCTGCCTGGCCTGCAGTGCGTTTTATCACGCTTTGAGTCACAAACACTGAAGTAACAGTTGAAATAGCTGCAGATTGCTTTTGTTATTTTTTTCCAATCTGGCAATCAGTATCTGCATCGATCATTTACAAATCATGTGATCAGGTGGTGATGTCTGAAAGGAATCTCATGATTCAGACGTCATCGCCGAGACGTCACGCGCCGACTCAGTAAGATCTTAAGAGTCAGCTAACGAGTTACGTTATAACTCAGCTTAGCTGCATAGCGCATTTGTATGACGTAATGAGGCATGGTGCTCAAAGAAGTCAGACACCGAAGCCACAGGAAATCAAAAATAAAATTTAATGCGATTTTGTTGCTTGTTGCTGTGTTGATGCGAAGTGAGCCTTCTGACTTCTGTACTTCCTCCCACTACAGTACCAAGCAAGGCTTCTGTGTATAATTTTACTTCCTCCCACTAGAGCAAGCAGCAGCTACCCAGTGGCAGTACTGCAAAATTGGACGTGCTCGTACACTGCCTGATCAAGACAAAAGTCCAACTGGGCAATGAGATCTTGTGAAGAGAAAATTGCAGCATAGTCTTAGAGTCTTGCAGTTTTGAAACTAACTTGATCAGTGATCTCCAACAGTTGCGAGTCACTCACTGGTAATCTGCGATAGAAGCTAGTAACTGTCAGGGGCTCACGAAGTGGTATAGCTTTCAACATGAGTGGGTGTCTGGATGATTGCACTTGTCGGTCGTGCTGCTGTTGCGGCTGCTGCGACCCTCTCTGTGACAAGCTGGAGGAAATTGACTGGTCCATGAAGCGCAATGCCTTAGCATCCATCGCTGCTGGTGTTTTGGTGAGCTCATTACGACATTAGTCTAAGAGCTTAGTTTCCACTCTTGACATTATGCGTTCATTGATTTGCTCCCATTTGCCTTCTTTACGCACAGAGCTACGCTGCAAACTTCAGTGCAGTATCACGTAGCTCCGAGGAATACTAGTATTACTAGTACCCTGTATTGCCTACAGTAAGATCGGGCGCCGAAGAACACCTCGCCGAAGAACACCCAGGCTGGAAAACCGGCAAAATTTAAGAACAGTCCAGGCTAGAATTATCAGATTTAAGAACACTAGATCTACATTGTACGTAGATCTACATTGTACGTAGATCTACATTGTACGTAGATCTACATTGTACGTAGATCTACATTGTACATGTATGGGAGATGAGTACATGTCATGTACACGTGTAAACAGTAACTGCTACATGTACAGTCATTCCCATTTACGACACCCACTAGTTTAAACTTTAGAAGTACTACAGCACTACATGTACATGACAAACGTCATGACGTCTCTCGACTCGCCGCGCGCGTGTGAATAAGAACGGTCTGGCTAGAATAAAAAATTTAAGAACTTTCCTAGGCTGCGCTTGAGCCCCTGCGTTCTTCGGCGCCCGATCTTACTGTAGTCCTAACACTCACATAATTATGGTCTCTTCGCTGCGACCATAATATTATTAGGCATAAGAGACCATTACTGCATACTATGTGTGAGTGTTCAGACTACATAATGACATGTAGGTGGCTGCAATGGAGTTTGAAAATTCTTGAGCAAGTTTATCCAAAGACACATGCAGTCAATCTCATGAATTCTGACCTCGGGTATAACAATTCACGAATATTACGACACAATCTTCAGACCTGGTGACCATTTTGACTGTGTACTCTCAACCTTAGGAACAGCGACAACTACTTGCGAAGAAAGACACATTTCTCATGCACAGTCGATAGTCGTTATACTCAAGGTTGACTGTGCGTAATTGTTGGTACTTTTTTTGCTGGAAAGGACTGGAAAAGAGTGTGCAGGGTCCTGAGAAAAGTGCTCTATATCTGATGCAAAGAAAATGATGTTATATCCAGGGTGCTTTAATAAATTAATACTGAACTTTAGAAGTTTTATTGTTCATGAATGTGACATAGCACCCAGCTGTGCTGTTTGCACTCCACCCCGGTAGTAGCTCTTGCTGTGGTGTGCAGCTGACTTTTATCTATGTAGCCACGACAGTATGTGCGAGGAGGTTTTGTCTTGGCTGGGGACTTGAGTAATCGTACTCCACACAATGCCTGGTGTTCTGCTTGTGGATGTGCGATGCTAGGTTTGTGTCGTGTAGCAGGATTCATGCACACACATGCACACAAGGATGCACACACGTACACACATACATACCTTGAACCTTGAACATGCCCATTGTCGATGGCAATGGTAGCGAAGGGACTACAGTATCTGCTAGCTTTTGCAGTATGGAGCGTGGCGCTTGAGATCCCCTGGACGCACGCACACACACACGCGCGCACACACACACACACAGCTCTGCGCGCGCACACACACATACACACACACACACACACAGCTCTTTTGCCTGTCATCCTCCCCAAAGCCCTTCAATTTGTAATCTGACGGAATCGTCTGATGTGTACTCGGAAGGAACAGACGTCACCTTTTGGGATGTCATTTCCTAATACATCATGTTTCCCAAGCAACTGGGCTCATTCCTGCCTGCTTTTAACTCGGCAGGGAACATTGTTATTGGACTGTAGATTCACTGTACTGTGTGGTATTGTTGTTCCTGTTTGATGACCAGTTCTAATTCCTAGCATTAACATGTGCCACTGTCTCTCGTATACTTGTTTTAATAGTTCTTCTCTGGTTGGTGGGTGATGATCGACATGGCGGCAGTATCAACCACTACCAATGCCTACTTTGCCATCGGCGTTGGCTCCACGCTGGCTTTTTTCATGTGAGTTTTCCACGGGGCGGTGTGTTGCATGGTATCCAATACTATCCATGTGTAGAACGTAATTATGCATGTGTAGGTACAAGCATGCATGACTCATATTACCGTCAGGCTCACTGTGGTCCTTGATGACGGCTTGAGGAAAGGTAATTGAGGTATGAAGCCTGATGAAGGTGTAAGTTCTGGGTTGGATGATCAACATGTATGTATATACTTTCCTCCGTAGTCTATAACTTGGCTTGTTGTGAATGATGACCGTGCAGAAAACGTGCTACGTTTGGAGAAGAAGCACTGGCTATTTTGCTATGGAGTATGCAGATGGGCTCTGTGATTAAAAGTTGTTGTGATCTCCATGACATTGTGTATGTGTGGTGGTTCGCTTCAGGATAAATGCCGTGTCAGCAAGTCAGCTGGATAATGACTTCTATCAGCAAGGCTGTCTCTCAGGCCATTGTATGTATATATGCTGTGTTCCAGTCTGGTTCGAAATCTTTTCTTCGGCACGTGCCTTTCTTTATACTTGTGTGCTGCGGATGGTTCGGGTTTTCTTCCTGCTGTGTGTGTGTGTGTGTGTGTCTCTCTCTCTCTTCCTTCAAAGCATATTACGAATGCGTTCCTGAACGTATTCAGGATCTTCTGATCACCAGGTTGGATACAATGATCATAGTGGTCTTTGCTAAATTAGTCACATAATGTATTCGAGTTGTTACACCCCGTCTTGTGCACCATCACTCTTTTCTCTTCTTGTTGCTTCTGCTACAGTGGCACGACTCTGGCTCTTTGTTGGCTTCCTTTTGGCATTCTCAAGCTTGGTTGGCTGCTCGGCTGTTTTGTATATTGAAGTGGACCAACATGGTTAGTGCTGCACTACATACATACCGTAAAAGAATAAAAAATAAATTAAAAAAATTCTACGGGTTCGCGTACCGGGCAGGTCAAGAACAAGGAGTCGTACAACTCCCTGGTCAAGAACCACCTTTCCGCTCCCGTGGGACCAACATACCGTAATGTCTTGTATAAAAGCCTGCCTCATTTAGAAGCCTATTTTGAATACAAATCTGATTTTTCGAGGTGCACTGTCAGCACATATGCCTGGTTTTAGTGTTGACATACATAGAAATACCTGTCTTGTATAGAAGCAATTTTTTTTAAGAGAATCTTTGCGAGAACAAGATGTTTAGCCACTGGAATTTCATAGTCATGTCACTCTCACTCTCTCCATTGCTCCTTCAAACCGACCGCACCCCATCAGATTGCATCAGGCCATTTCCCAACAGATGTAGCGTAAAGCTGAGATGTACACTACTTTTTCATACCTTTTACTGGAAACCATTTCCGTTTGGTGTTGGTGCCATGCAAGACTCTGGGTATTATGGGGTTCTGGGTACTGTGCTGTACGGCACTCTGCATGTGCCCTGTGTTTGTTCATGTGTGTGTGTGTTCAGCAAACCTGCCTGCTGTAGGTCCAACTAGCGTACCGACCGGACCGACCACCGTGCCTGCTACTAACATGACATCAAACACATCTACTGTGTGGATGATGTCAACCGCACCGACAACACTGACCGCTTCAAGTGCTAGTGGTAGTGTGACATCCGGTAACGCTACTACAACAGTTCCGCCTATTCCTCTGACCAAGTTTGAGCGCTTATGGCCTGGCGTTGCCATCTTCCTGCAGAACTTCCTCATCTTCTGTGCGTAAGTAGTACAGCTCTATGGGTTGCAACTTGACTCTTACTTCTACCCAGCGCCTACAGGATTTGTTTCTAGTGGCAATCAACACCATGACCCACGAGGCATGCACAAAAGCACGATTCTAATCAGTGATGACACACTGTGTTCTGTATTTGGGCCCCTCTCTGTCTCCCTCCGTCTCTCTGTGTTTGGCTCCCTGCTCTCCTCAGTCTCTCCTCTCTCTCTCTCTCTCTCTCTCTCTCTCTCTCTCTCTCTCTCTCTCTCTCTCTCTCTCTCTCTCTCTCTCTTTCTCTCTCTCTTTCTCTCTCTCTTTCTCTCTCTCTCTCTCACACACACTTACTCAAATTTTTGGGATTTTGGATTTGTGTGTTGTTAGGTCCATGGTGTTCAAGTTTGGTCGAAGTGAAGACCTATATTAACTTTACCTTGTAACCTGCTCGTCAGACAGCATGCTGTGTGGATGTCCTGACAATTATGTGAATAACAGTGCCACGATCTGCAACACAGCCAACTAAAGCAGCTTATCCGAATCCGACATGTGGATATGACTTAGGCCATGGCTACTAATGTTAATGCTGGTTTTTCTTTGTCTTGTAGTAGCATACGACTCGGATTGCATGCTCACAAGTCCCCTCCCTCTGCATCTGACACACAGCAAAATCTTGAACTTGAAAAAAAGGAATTTATAACAATCAGCATACTGCTGCTGCCACAACTAACCTGAAGCATTGGTTGTAATGCTCGCGTATCTTTCTCATTTCCACACCAGTTGCATGACGTGTCGTATCCGTTTTTAGAATAAGTATATAGCTCTCCGCTCGGTGTTTATAGCTACTGCTGTAGTTGGTCGTTGATAAGTTATTTAGACAGAGGGATCAGACGTTTCCTCACACATGCACACACACACACACACGCTCTCTTTCTTTAGTGTTGTAGCTTTGCGTTTGAATGACTAGTTTCTTGTACGCTACCTTTTTGTTTCCATTGTGCTTTTATAATAGATAGAACTCAGTAAAAATTTCCCAGCCATCATTATCTCATGGAGAGGAAGTCGTTTTTAGTAGCTCTTATGGTATCTATCATGGGTCGACCATGTCATGTGTTGTAATGTTGTTCACACATATCCATATCGATCTCACGCGTAAGTTTGATGTTCTTTAGGGTGCTCCTGTGCATTCTCCGTGCGGTAGAAAGGTACCGGTGCTGATTGGTTCCATCCGTGGCGATGGTCTCCCGACATAAGATGCTTGGTCCGACCCCAGTACATGCCGCCTTGCCTGACAGGACAATGACCAATAGGGCTTGAAAGTGCTATGCCATAGCCAGGCCAGACTCATTAAAATGCTGTCTTCTCGGATTCACTTGGATCACATGCCTCCTTTACTGATTACAGCAGGGTGACAACACATCTGCTGGCGGTGACTGGACTGGATTGGGCGCTCCTGCGGGAGCTGCAAAAAAAGTCGCCAGCAAGCGACCTGTGGAACTTGCCCACCGGATACATATTACACTTCGCTATGGTCAGAGTGAATCCAACTTGTCCCAGGAGACGTTTATATGTATTGACTTTAGTCTTCAGTTCTGACATTATCAGGGAGCCCTTCACATTATGTGTAGGGCTCCCTGGGCATCATCACTTTCAAGTAGGGAGTAGTAAAATACCAGTGTTTTACTACACCCTGCTTTCAAACCCTGTTTGCACTCACACTACAATAATTATAGGTCTTCCCCTTTCCTGTCTTTCATGCTTGATCCATATTCTTTCACCCATGCCATGGAGCACACCCAGGGTCCACCAACAGCATATTAGTAACCCTTGGGTCATGTGGTATGTTGACATTGCATGTTTTGTGTTGCTTGAAGTTGAAAATACGCTGTGACGTTAGGGGTGATCTTCACGACGGCAGTCCATCCCGCCGGGAAGTGAAGCACGTGATCCCGAGAGCTTGCCGTGACACGAGAAAAACTAAAAATGATTCACACGGCAGGATGCATGTACCTGTCCCCCGTGAATTCCGCGATTCCGCGGACTGCAGAATTTCCGCAGAATCCAGTATAGTAGTGTCCGCAGAATTCAGAAAATGCCGCAGAATATTGCAGAAAAGAGAGAAACACTGCTTTTTCTGGAGATTTTCGATGCATTTTCACAGCCAAACCAACCCACTTGTGACGTTCAAAACCGACTCGCAGTATATTTTGGAGCTTTCAATTTTTTTGACCAGGATTTCGCATAATTTTGGTTCAGAATTTACGGGTTGCGGAAATTTGATCTGTTTATACGCTCATTTTCCTTGCAGAGTTGCCGAAGAATATAGAAGGATTTGCAGAATTAGCGCAGAATTTACTGTTTTCACCCGCAGAATTCTGCACGGAATTTCTGATATTCTGCCGCGGAATTCACGGGGGACAGATGTACAGTACCTGTAGGTAGTAGCACACAACAGTCCACGGAATGCCACGGCATGTATTTCCCCCAGCCCAGGGAGCCCTACACATACATACACGTATGTGTAGGGCTCCCTGCCCCAGCCTCCTAACGGCACCGGGATAGCTCGCGGGATACGTTCTCGCCAGAAGTTGAGTTCATGTGACTGAATCTCCATGGCAGCATCACACACGGGATGAATCCTGCCGTCGTGTAAATCGTCTCTTATACATACACTAGTTAAATATTATACAGTTCCTAGTTATAGACTGGGCCTAGTTTGGACTTGGAAATGATCCCACTTATGGGCTCACCACAACTCAGTAAGCGGGTGAGGACAAGGTGCTAAAAAAAGGATTGCAGGCATCAGTCCCCGGACCCAACTGCAGTTACTCCTGCTCCCAGTGAAGGTAATACTTGCTACTACATGTAGTGTGAGTGGCTAATCAGAGTGGACCTGACATAAGCTTCACTAGCACCATTGACTACACAAGAGTTAATCTAGCCAGAAACAGTCTAGGGTTAGCAGGCATGTATACTTCAAATAGAAAGTATATGAACCCTGAAACCAACAAAACGGGCAGGTACAATACACCTTCAAAAGCAGCCGAGCCCATTGGCAACAGACCCAACACATCTGGCATAAGTGCACCCACCAACCGAACTAGCTGGCACATACCCCCACCACATATGCGCGCACACACACACACACACACATACACAAACACTCACACATGAACATCAGCGTTCAATGGAAGCATACCCTCATTGAGGAAAGTTGATAATGCTGCATACTGGTCAGACTTCTCGCGAGTTTTCGTATAGAGTGGCTCCACCGAAGCTGCCGTCAACGATTCTGATCAGATTCAGACAGAATCTGGGTCCAACTTCGACTAAAATCTCTCCTTCATCTAGGATCTGGAAATTCCTGAAACATATTCGGCTGTTCACAAGGTAGAAGGCTGAAGCTGAGCACATGGTCCGCAAATGGTTTGCTCCGAGGGTGGTTTTGTGTCGTGGTGAAGATTCTCTCCAGCATGAGCTTCAGCAGCGTGTATCGGGGCGTTTTGTCGAGCTCAGAGTACAACGATAGCACTGGCCTGGACCCGCGCACACACACGCAAGCACGCACACACACCAGCGTTCAATGGAAGCATACCCTCATTGAGGAAGTTGATGATGCTGCATACTGGTCAGACTTCTCGCAGCGGGTTTTCGTATAGAGTGGCTCCACCGAAGCTGCCGTCAAAGATTCTGATCAAATTCAGACAGAATCTGGGTCCAACTTCGACTAAATTCTCTCCTTCATCTAGGATCTGGAAATTCCTGAAATGTATTCGGTTGTCCACAAGGCTGAAGCTGAACACATGGTCCACAAATGGCTTGCTCCGAGGGTGGTTCTGTGGAGTGGTGAAAATTCTCTCCAGCATGAGCTTCAGCAGCTTGTATTGGGGCGTTTTGTCGAGCTCAGAGTCAAACGAGAGCACTGGTCTGGAACCGCGCAGGCAATTTCCCGTCATTTTCATTTCATCCATAGTATGGATATTCTCAACGAGAAACTTGGCAGATGGTCCGTGAGGAGTTGATGCTAGCCAAAGGAAACAATTACGCTTTTTCCTCATTTCCAGGAACAGGCACCAGTTGCAATTGCGAAGCTCACAAACCTCATTGACAACGAAGAGATTATCCTTTCTGTCTAGCTTGGTGTCCGCTTTACTGTGGGGCAGTAGCACTCGCATGTCATTCATCAAATGACGAGGGCGATGTGTTATTCCTCGTGAACAGAACACGAGGACACGCCGCTTGTCAGACCATTTCGATTTTTTAAGGAGAGGCTCACCAGCATCTATGGTCTCTTCTGTTTCTGCAGGGGCAGCTTCCTGTCTCTTCCTCTTCTTCTTTACTATTCTGTCCGACATGACTGCAGGATCTAGGAATGAACAACTACAAAATTTAATACTAGTCAAAAACAGGGAGTCGCACGTCGTAAAACACCCTGGTGAAAAATACGTGAAGAGGATCTAGGAAAATACAATAACACACGCGCTGTTCATGCATGTTGTTCTCGCTGATCTGCATCATAAAATTTTGCCAATGGCAATGACTACTTTTTTTGTACATGACCTCATCTGTCCATTTCGTAACATTCCTTACGTCATGAATGCCGTAGTTATTTGAAATATTTTAATATTAATTTTCAAAATGTAATTAATTAATTTTCTTACACTGTGAACATGTCTAATGACTGTGATCGTTATCATGTCACTCACACCAAGAGTTTATCTGCTCTTGCTCATACCAAGAGTAGATACACTGTTTATCTACTCTTGCTCATACCAAGAGTCCATGAATTGGACCACAATCCCCCAGGGGAATTATGGAGTGGACTCTTGCTCATACATGTGTACAGTTATGTAGTATTACCAAGAGTACATTGGTATTACTCAATACTACTGTAGTGTATTGTTAGTACGGCTTGACTGTCTGCTCTCTGCATGCAGTAGATGTCATGTACAGTAAATGGATATGCTCGAATGCAGACCTGCCAATTGCCAAGGGTAAATAAGCTTGCTCCTGGATCAGCCCATTTCGGTAGATCATCGGTGCATATCCCTGTCCCCGGGGAAAATTGCGGAAAAAATCGCAAAAAAACGCGGGGAAAACGCGGCATAATATGGCATAATTTGCGGTGAATTTGCGGTAAATATGCGGTAAATATGCGGTGAATAATATTGATGTGCGGCAATTTTCAGTGAGTATGTAGTGAAATCAATCAGTTACAAGTCTCTGGTGTAAGCACTCGTCATATTTGAGTAAAAAGCCGCCACGATGAGACGTTGCTGACCGAACAGTGCACTGTGTGTACGTGTAGTGCAACAAAAAAGTTCAAAAAACGCGGGAAAATCGCGGAAAACGCGGTCTTTTAAAAAATCGCAAAAAACGCGGAAAAAAACGCGGCCGCGGAATTGCAATTTTCCCCGGGGACAGATATCCGCAGGATGGCGTATAACCCCCCAATACGTATGATAGGATCAGGGATCTGAGTCCATCTTTGCAGTTTCATTTCTTTGGATACAGAGAAAGGCTGTACCTCTACCAACTACATGTATTTATTTCTACCGACTTCTACCAGTCCCGCACGCCTGGTTGAGCTGGTAGAGGAACGTAGAATCCACCGTTAGAGATAGAAAAGCTTCGGAATAACGGAAACCGGGAAGGACAATTGTACAGCAATAGCAAAGTATCTATAAATGACATGAGAAACATGACTTAGCTAGTCCGAGTAGCAACACTTGAACAGCAGCAGCAGCAGTAGCAGGTAGCAGGAAGAAAAGCCTGACGGCAAGGCACAAGCAAAATAAAAAGCGGCGCAGCAGAGCTGGGCAAGAGAAAATACTAGAGGGTAGGTGAAGAGATACAATTCGCAAATGAGAGAATAAGCGGATGCAGCAATGCTGGGCCAAAACAAGATGAGATCTTCTTGAGATAAAGCAGTCAAGGTGTCAAACATAATACGAATCTGTGCACGGATGTACGTTTTCTTTGCGTGCAGAAGATGGGAGTCTCGACACAGGGTGGCGAGTGACAGACATACGGAGAGTACAGTGCTGGCAAGACACGCTGGGCAACATGCATACCGATAACATTGATGATGATGGTCACAAGACTCACAACCAATCAAAAAATCAACAATAAAATACTATAAGTACTAGCAGCTGAAAGTGATGAAATTCGCGCGCACACACACACACACTCAGTATTTCATGCCTACATGGCGGCTAAACTAAAGCAATGGTGTTAACGCGTGCGAGCGAGACTAGATAAGGCAAAGCTACTTCAGCAAGATCAAGAAACATTCTTCTCGGCAACAGGCAGAACAAACAGTACTAGGGTGTGCATGATAAAGCTGCACCTATAAATCAGAGATTTGCACATGTCTACAACGTTTCGTACAAGACCATCATGCGGTCTTGGAAAGGCAGTACAAACCAGTGATTGATCATCGGCCACGGCGTTTTGGCGAGGCACAGCAGTGATCATCTTCATCACTACTGTCAGACTTACTGTCACCAGACGAAGCACGCTTCCTGGACAGCAACAGTGATCAATTCAGAGACATCATCAAGATTAGGGCTGTGTAAGTTGCAGGCAGCGGGGTACCCGTGTCACCCGCTAACCTCATAGGTAACATGGGAAAAAAGATGAAGAATCTGATTGCACAGGAATGCACATGACTGTATTGTGCACCTCTACAGGATGTCAAGATCGGTCGGTGATCATAGCAACCCTCTCTCCAAGAGCTTTGGGATTACAAAAAAAAACACTCAAACTCGCCAGCACTAAAGAGTGACAAAATGCGGCGAAAAAAAACCGGTACCCAACAACACAGCCCTGAATTGAAAACAGGAATCAACTAAAATAAAATTCAACCAAGCCTAGACCCCCCACCCACCCACCCTAAAACACCCACGCACATACATGTATACACATTGCTCATATCCGTGTAGCCTCCACTGCCACAAGGGCCACATAGGAGGCCGAGTAACAAGTAAGGCATGCCAGCCAGTACCTGACCAGATTTCGGGTAATGCACAGGACACAGAACAGTACGTGCAAAATGGTTCCTCTACTTTGGGGTCTATCTCATACCTTTTCCGCTTGACCTTGGCTGTGCTTGGATTTCCTACACCACTATCTTCGCTATCTGAGTCTGATGAGGATGAAGATGACGAGGATGATGATGAGCCACTGGATGAGGATGAGGGGAGGCCAGAGGGCTGGGAGAGGTCAACGGCGCCTGCAATGGCGGCTAAGTCAGGCCGATGAATCTGCAGTACAGTAAAACGTACAGAGCATGGGGTGTTGAACAAATCCCTACCGGGACAGAAACAGAAAAATGCAATTTACAAGCATTCGTTGCCCAGCCCCTCACGCTTGCAAGTACGTGTATAATCATGATCCATGCTTTGTATATTGTGCTACGCCAGTAGTTTCAGGCTAATTTTTCTGAAAAAGAAAATTCATAAATTGTGCAAAAAGTCCATCTCAGTGCAGTACTTGAAAACGACCGAGTACAGCTTGGGACCGAGGCATGATCTTCGGCTTGAACATGTGACCTGATAGGTCAGGACATACCTGTAGCTGAGAAAGCCACTTCTTGGCAAACTTCGGCCGACCTCTACATAAAGGATGCAGAAGACAGACACACATGCACCTCAGACCTCAGACCTGCCCATCGCGGAAGCGATGATAGCGAACAGCTATGTTAGACATAGTAACTTGTGCTGGGATTACACCATTCAACAGCTTGCAAGGCTGATGAATTGACCGCCACTAAGTTTAGCCTGGTATCCACCACACAGTGGCACAGGCACACACACACACACACACACACACACACGCGCGCGCGCGCACACACACACACACACGCGCGCGCGCGCACACACACACACACACACACACACTTGTACTTGTACTTGTTGCACACTGCCAAAACTGGTCACGTGGGTCTCCCCGGGAGAGGGGAGAGAGACTCAAAAGGAATCTTGGAAAGATGACTCAATTGGCTATTGAACCGCCCAACGGCCGACACCCCCTGAAATCCCCAAAACTCTGGGTGGACTTGAAAATGATCCCACTTATGGGCTCACCACACCTCAGTAAGTGGGTGAGGACAAGGTGCAGAAAAAGGATTGACGGCATCAGGGTATCCGTCCTGGGATCCAACTGCAGTTACCCCTGCCCCCAGTGAAGGTAATACGTGCTACTAGTGTGGGTGACTAAATCAGAGTGGATCTGATATTAGCTTCACTAGCACCATTGATTACACAAGAGTTAATCTAGCCAGAAGCAGTCCATGGTTAACAGGTATGTATACTTCAAATAGAAAGTATATGAACCCTGGAACCAACAAAGGTGGCAGGGCACACACACACACACACACACACACACACACACACATCATGAACGACTAAGATACTAGAGTAATCAAAAGTATTGACATAGCTTGCAGTTCACATGGCACACAACACGATGACACAAGACAGAAAAACGCAACGTATCGGGGTGAACAGCATTCCACTACATCGAGAAACATAGAAGTAAAAACGTGTGGCCTTATGCCTACCTGACGGTCTTATGATAGACAACAGGGAAGTTAGTTGTGCTGCAGAAGTTCTGCGTAACAGCTACCGTGGTGTCCAGGTTCAGGACAACGTGCCACCAGCCACCGGGCACATAGACTACCTCGCCGGGCCCTTGGATTAGCTCAATCTGACAAAAAAAAACAAAAAAAACATGACATCAATACACAGAATCAGTTAGTAATGGCCAAGAATCCGTGTGCCCTCTTTTGGAAAGGCAATATCTACTTCAAGAATGGCGTACATGATTGTATTGTGAAGTAGGTACATGTACATGTAATACATGCATCCACAAACATGCACCAGCACATTACGGCCCAGAACAAAACTCACTGGTTTGCAATCTGCCGGCCAAGACTCGGACTGAGTGCGCGGATAGACCGTCTGGAACCACATGACGGCTTCGTCGGTCTGATATCCACCCTCAGTGCGCTGCACTTGCACTTTCTCCTTTGGTGTGTGCGGTGGGAACATCGCCCATCTGCAGACCACAGCACGGAAACCACAGGCTTACGGATAAGGCCCGGCAACGCCCACTAACAACAAGGCATGCACAAGGGAAGGTGAGACACGTTCACAGCGATATCAGCCACATCAGTCGGATGCACAGCTAACCGTCAGACCGTCACGGGCTACGCACAATAAAATCGTAGAAGTGCTGGCCTAGCCTCAACCAAGTTGCAACAATGATCCAATCCCGTGCAATGACAACAGAAGAAGAAAAGTGAACTCAGTCCACCAGGCGCCTGTAACTTGAGCTATTCATATTATGATACCAACATTTCCCGATGATCGTGCATTCAGGGACCGAGCACTTCTGACTTGATCAACTCACCGCTTATGTCCAGAAATCAAGGCATTCCACGCACTGGTGCCTAGGGGATCAATATGTATGCCAGTGCCTGATCGACTCGGACCTATCACAACCCACCTATTGCAGAAAGCAGTCCACACACACAGACAGTTAATTATTCTGGCTATATCCGTGTAGGTGCAGAGCTGTTGTTAGTAGTGGTGGATCCAGAGTGGAAGGGCACACCATCTCCCTGAAATTCAAAAGAGGCCCATACATACCCGGTATATTGAGTTTCCTTAATTTACTTCTTCCAAGTTCTCAGTCAACAGGCTTACATTGGTGTCGAGTCTTTTCTCTGACTTACTCAGGGTATGTTGCATTGGATCTGTCCCTGGTCGTCACCTCTCACAACAATGAAAACAAGCCCTGAAAAATCGACAAAAAGCGAACTTGATTCGCACTCAAACAATTTCCCCATCTCTCTTTCATGTGTATGCACATAACGTTACTCTGCTGCAAGGATGAAAAGACACATATAACTGCAGTGACCATACCTGTATGGTGGTCTTCGCTTCTCTCCGGCTAGATGGAACAAGTCCTCTGTAAAATACTTTGGTAATTGATAATCTCCGAGGAGACGTTTCTTCTTTGCATGCTGTGTTGAGAGAGCAAACCAGAAAACGAGCAAAGAAATTGCCTTCTCAGTGGATGGTCCCAGCTACAGTTATAGAAAACCTAGCGCAGGTACACACATGTATGTGAAGGCATGTTATTATCTTTATTCTCACGATGGCCGTAGCCAATAAGAGAGATGTGTGTGCATGTGTGAATAGATATGCATTATGCACTCTGTGTGTCCATGAACACATACCAGGGAGAAAAAAATAGAGGACTGATACGTTCACTACCAGAGAAGGAGCAGTATGTAAATGCTGGAGCTGAGGAAATGGAAGAAAGATTACTAGTAAATTGCCTCATCACAAGCCAATTATTTAGAATACTGATAAATTGACCAGTCTATCCAGGGTGATCTGATACGGAAATGAGACAATACTTTACATTGCACTTTAGAGATCAAGTACAGGGTCAGGCAAAATCGCTGCGGAGTAGACTTACATCACCGAACGTGCTGTCAAAGATGTACAACGGACTGTCATCTTTATTTGACTCCATGTACTCCATGTAGTACTTCATCTTCATTCGCACGCTATAACCCTCATCATCCTCTCCGCACTTGAACCTCTGGTTGCGATACTTCTTGCCTAAGCGCTGAAACAACAACAACAACAACAACAACAACAACAACAACAACAACAACAACAACAACAACAACAACAACAACAACCCTTAGGAAGGAGCAGTATTTAAGACCAGAGGCCAGAGGTTAGAACCAAGGTGATAAAAGATTTCATGTATAATCAACTGAGATCAGCAGGAATCTCAAGCGATGATCAGTCGACAGTTGGTCGCAATGCAGTACCGTCCCCGACATGCTACTGAAAATCTGCTGCATGCGCTGAATACTGTCACTCACCTGTATTGTCCATCTCTCCTTCGCCGGCCAGGTATCCACAATCCCGGAGATGATTACAGGATGTCCAGGACGCTCAAAGCGCTCAATGAACTGTGCCGGACCAAAGTCTCTCTCGTGAATACGCTCTACGTTGTCCACGTACTTGTGCGGCCATAGATGAAGCGTCCGTGAGAAATTATAACGTGACCAGCCCTCCTCACCCTTCAATTCTGCCAATAGAGGAACAGAACACGCATGTGAGAAAGGTCCCAATAGAGGTCTGGATGGCCTGTGTCCAAGGACTTATGCCAGGAGAGTGGGACAACTACAAGTCACTAGTACATGCTGGTGGTGATAACCGTGTGTGTGTGTGTATGTGTGTGTGTGTATGTGTGTGTGTGTGTGTGTGTATGTGTGTGTGTGTGTGTGTGTGTGTGTGTGTGTGTGTGTGTATGTGTGTGTGTGTGTGTATGTGTGTGGGTGTGTGTGTATGTGTGTATGTGTGTGTGTGTGTGTGTGTGTGTGTGTGTGTGTGTGTGTGTGTGTGTGTGTGTGTGTGTGTGTGCATGTGTGTATGACATACGAATCATTCCAATGACTGTCTTGCCTAACAGCTATCATCGCCCCTGGCGATGGGCTTTCCAAAGGTCCACAGAGGTAGAAGACTATAATTATGTGTACGTATGAGAGGCTAAGGACGACCTCCCAACTAGCCGAAGTGGAAAAGGCTGTTTCCAGCTCAAAAACACAAAGCAGCCAGCAGCTCAGGTATCATCCCGGAGCTGGTCAAGGCTGGTTGAAACACCTTTATCAGTGCCCTCACCTAGCTACTCTCACCACAATGTGGCAAGAAGAAGGAGCCTGCAAGAGCCTGCAAGACTACATAAAGTCTGTACTTGTTCCTTTCCTGCATATAAGTAATCACTTTGAGCTCGGGGATCAACGGATTAGTAATCAATTTGACCTCGGGGATCAACGGATTAGTAATCACTTTGAGATAACTGCAAGATGATCGCTCTGTTGGGCGTGGTCGCAAGGCCGTTGCTCATATTGTTCAAACTCGGCTGTGTGTGATGGCTGACGGGCTTCCCCCTAGCTCCGAGCGTGGCTTCGGCGGTCTAGACCCTGTCCTAACACTATCTTCTCTGTGCACCACAACAGTGAGAAGGCTCGGGAATACGACAGTAAAGCTTTCTTGCTTTTCATCCACCCGAAGAAGGCATACGGCCATGCTCCTGAGCCACACATTAGGCTGTTCTCGTCTGTGCTGGTGTGCCCGACAAGCTGCTCCGTGCATTCCATGAGAACAGGGAAACCTGTCTCCGCATTGATGGACAGATACTGGACCTCCTGGCGGAGCGAATCGGCCTGCATCATCACGGCTGCTCCACGTCACCTGTCCTGGATAATTTTTACATGGCAGCCACGCTCCACGCATGCCAACAGTGAATGGAGAGTGCGGACAGTTTTGGCATCGATATTTACTCCAGCATCAATGGTTAGCTGATCAGTCATGTTCAATATGGTCGCTTAGGAGCTCGCACACCATGTGCAGTGGACAACGTATGCCCAGTCGTTTCTACAGGCCATCTATTCTACAGTACAGGCCCAGGCACCCCCCCCCCCCCCCACTCTGATAGCGCACCACCCTACTCATTTTTCGATTTTTATGTTTTTTCAGGTCACACAACGAATACACGGCCACAAATTGATCGTTCCGGGTGCTTGCTGCGCGCGCCCGTACGTGACATTTTGTGTGACAAGGCAATAGTGAAACATGGGAAAATGGGTGAACTGTTTATTTCCCCATGCCCCCCCCCCCCCTTCCCCTACATACACTACTGGGGCAATGGTACAGTAATATCACATGCAAATGCAACATGCAAGCACGTTCCAGCATCATTAAATTTTTTAATCGACTACATGTAGCTACAACGAGGCACACTGACACACATGGATCTGCTTGTAAAGGACGAACGAAGTCGGAGAGCGAATGATAATGCATACCATCGACAAACACATTGCATAGCATATGCAGGTTGTTGTCAGTTTCATTGCACGTGGGAATATTACTTAGCTAACCTGGACGGGCCTTTTCTTTAGCTTCGCGGATTCTGTGTGCTAGCTTCTTGCCCATGGCTTGATGTTACAGCGCCATTAACGCCGAAGGTCCAAAAGTCAGCTCATCGAGATCGATCTCGGCCTGAGTTGTTGAATATTTGAAGTTTCCGCTTGACTCTGAAAACTCTGAATCGTCTGCGATTATTTTACACTAAGTCTTGTTTGGGGGGCGGGGAAAGTGATGACGACACACATCGCACACGCGTCACACGTGCACGGCGCCGCGCGGCGCCGCAGGATTGCGACTGCGTTCCCGCGGGATCGATTCCGTTCATCTTTTTACAGTCAGTGAGTTTTCAAGCTGTCTTTTCATTTTCATTTTCTCCCCAAACATACTCTGACTGAGTCTGTCATACTCTGACTGCACTGAGTCTGTGTCTGAAGTTCGTCAGTGAACATTGTTTTATTCATCATCAGCAAATTCTTCTTGTAGCAGTACTCAGTAGTTTTCAGGCCTTGGGTGAAAGAAAACTCGGTACTTCCTTCGCTGTTGTATTGGCGTAGAGTGTGACAAGTCAAAATGCCTATGATAGAATTGACATGTAATGACCGTCTTGGGAAAAAGGTGCGCGTGAAATGCAATACCTCCGACACAATTGGTGACCTGAAGAAGATCATTGCAGCGCAGACTGGCACCAGGTGGGAGAAAATTGTGCTGAAGAAGTGGTACAATGTGTACAAGGACCATATCTCACTGGACGATTATGAGATCAGAGATGGTATGAATCTCGAATTGTACTACAGATAGAATGGCACTTTGTGTGTAATTTTGACTTGAACAAAAATATTGAAAGCACGAAACTAGCTAGCCCTTGTATATTTTGAAAAATCGCAATTGTACATAATTGTAATTGCAACGCGATTCCATACGATTAGGATGTTGTTTCTTGTTGTAGTATAAAAATGATATCGTTTTCTCCATTGAATCCATTGTGTTGGTCGGTTTTCTCAGTCGCGCTGTATTTCATGCATTCCTTCTTTCTGCTGTGCTGCTGCTGCTACTTTGGTTGAGTAGAATGCACATTGAATACACTTGTGCGAATATATTATTGACTCTACTCCGATGAATGTCCTCATGTACACACTCAAACAGGGTTCACAGACGCCTTTTTTTGCAATGCGTGATGCAATGGCCGTGGAACTTCGAAATCCCATATTGCACCCATCGCACAGCTCACACAACTGTCGTAGCTGGTTGATCGCAGAAGCTGAGCTCGGCTCAGCTTGCGCAGTGCGATATAAGATGTGTCGTGCCATTCGGACCTTCTGGTTTCACTGGTTATCGCATTTTGGCGTCGCAGATCGTGTCACATTGCATAAAATGCTTCTGTGAATCCTGCTTCAGTCTGACTCTACTATGCCATCAGTTATTTTGCAGGATACAGTATGATCAGGCGCCGTAAAACACTTTGCCGAAGAACACTTAGACTGGAAAATGGCACAAATTGAAGAACAGTCCAGGCTAGATTTGCAGATCTAAGAACCTAACGTTATGTACGGCTTTCTACCTGGTGTGATCGCATTGCATGTCGCTCTCCACGATCGCGGAATAAGAACAAAGCGACTAAAATCTGAACATTTTAGAACAATGCCAGACTGCACCTTAAGCCCTTCCGTTCTTCGGCGCCCGATCTTACTGTATGTTGTATTACTAGCCGCTGCAAGAGTATAATAACCCTAGAGCATGCAACTCCCCTCTCAGTGCTGCCTTGACAGAATTTCAAGTTGACGTCGTCATGTGGTGCATTGCGTGGTGTACACATATTCTCAAACGTATCCTGGACCAGTGGTGGACAAATTTCCATTTAAGTTTTGATCCCGTAAAACACAAATGTTCCAGGCTGTCCACTAGAGTGCTCAATGCCAACGGTCAGAACTACTTCCAACGAAAAAAAGGAAAAAAAGAGGATCTGTAGTCTGATGGTGGCGTAGTGCGTGAAACTTTGAGTTACGGCGCGTTCTTCATTCTTCATCCTCTTCTTCTTGTTGGAATTTGATCCTGTACGAAGTCGTGTAAGATAAACTTAATGATTTCAACTTGAAATTCTTTCAGCGCTTCACTGCATGCTTCCGATGATGCGGGAGTTGCACACTCTGGGGGGGGGGGGGGGGGGGGTATGTATTCCTGCTAGCTGTGAGTTGTGTCCAAGCGCTCCCGCTCGACCTCCGTCCTTCAGCTCTGTCACTAATTGACTAAATTTGCTGAATAACAGAATCTGTTATTCACTAGTTGAGGGAATCGAAAGGGGAAAAGCCTGAAGAAAAAGACTGTCACCACCAGGACTCGAACTAGGACAGCATGATGTACTCTTGATGTGATGTTCTGGAGAGGTTTTGTAGCGCGTGGCGAAGCGAGCATATCATGCACCCAACCACCTTGTGTTCACATGAAAATCTGAAGGAGTATACATAATTAGTGGTGCAATGCATTGGTCTGAACTTCATTTTCAGGACCTGGAATATCTCTTGTACTGTACAATTATTTTCTGGAGTACGTCATGCTGAATGTTCTGGGTTTCATGTACCCTAAGGGCCTTGGTCACACTCAGATTTGTTGTCACAAAATACAGACGACATCTTCCCAGTTTATACTCTTGGTTTCCTATGACTGGGCGTGGTTTGTTCTTGTGATACTTTAATAATGATGACATTCTCACACAGTGTGCATGTCGCCCCAGACTAGAACGGGCAGACTTGCATGCTCAAGAGTCAGGATGTACGTGCATGTACAGTTGTGGCAAATTAAAGCAGGCCTTGCATCGTTCACTTTCCACAGATGCGTAGCGCCGTACCGCAAACAAAGCAGCTAGAATTTGCCTTACTATCTCCGCCCAAATTGTAAAACAGAATAAAAAGTATCGCAAAGTTCAACGCTCATTCAATGCATGTGTCGCGTGTGGACTGGACTTGCACATGTTTGTTTGCAAGTCCAGATGTCGGAGCCTCCAGCAAAACGTGTGTCAGAAGCAGCCGATAGTTCAAGATCAAAGGATAATGATAAATATAGCCCGCTAAATCAGCCTCATTGAATTCCCTCTCGTGCAATTTATCGCAAAAATATAAATAAAAGGAGCTGGCTGAGCCAGTATCTTTGGCTGCAAAATGAGAATGGGTTGAATTTTGTACACTATGTTGAGCCACATGACCTTCCAAAGCATAATGAAAAGGGCTACGCCCCTGATGCATGTACCACACACACACACACACACAGACAGATGATTGAAGTGACAGGCTATTGAATTCACACTTCCTGCATACGCAACACAAATAAGTGAAATTCAACAGTATTAAAGGCAACCACGTATCTCAAATAAAATATTCGAACGTACCACACCTTGAGTACTGGTACCAGGAAATGTGTTTCATGTTTATACACATTGAGCAGCGCCAGTGAGTCGTATTATTCTCGTAGCTATGCAGAAGATGTTACTTCAGTAACGTCTGGCGCTAGCCAGGGTCCACACAGCTTTAATTTGGTATTTGTTTGTGTGTTTGTGTCACGTCACGCCTGGCGCTATCCCGTATCTGTCCCGTACCATCAAACAAGGCTGGCCGCAATATTCAAATAGGGCTTTCAAACGCAAGATCATAACGTGAAACAACTTGGAAGAATGAGTATGAATGCGAAGTGTATGGGGGATTCCAGGGGGAATGCATGTAGGGCGATAGTGCGGGTTCGAATCCCAGGTTATGCCTGAAAAAAAGGAGAATTGAAAAAATTATAACATCCCTATGCTTTTTTTGCCTAGGTCATCAAGGCGGTAGACGGTGTCATAATTACCCTCGACCGTACCTGTCCCGTACCGTACCATCAAAGACGGCTGGCCACAATGCATATTCAAATAGGGCTTTCAAATGCAAGATCATAACGTGAAGCAACTACTTGGAAGAATTAGTATGTATGCGAAGTGTATCGGGGGATGCATGCAGGGCGATAGTGCGGATTTGAATCCCAGGTTATGTCTTAAAAAAACGTCTAGTTCATCAAGGCAAAAAAGCATAGCGTAGGCCCTGAGCTTCCAAGCTCTCTCGTTTTGACGATTCCCTGAGCAAATCTCTCGGTGCTAAACAAATACATATTTTTAAGCTTCATTCAAAAGACGCATCAAAGAAATTGCCAAGTTAAAATGCAGAAATCTCAAAACGAAACCAATGGTGTTGGTTACTGCTATACGGCAAGAATTATTGGGCAATCTAAAAGAGGATCAACGGCTGTTCATTGTGACCAGTCACATATTGTTAAATTTTCAAGTGAGATTACTGGCACATCAGGTCATACCCTCTTTAACTTGAGAGAGCCGGAAGAGTGCCTCAATGTCATAAGTAATGAGGATATGGTTGTTTTATCTTTCACACAGTCATATGCCATGAAGAAGGACACTGTGTTGGGTAACAGCAGGATCAGCAGATTGAATGCAATGCACTGCTGACATTCCACTAGGGCAACTAGCCACACAACAACCACCACTACATTGAAGATGAGCGATATTGCCAACCAATCACATCCCAGTCTCCCTGGAGATCCAGCACGTACAACAACTGCCGAAGAGAGATGAGCGACAGCGGCTACTAGTAAATTTCCCACCACTGCCCAGCGGGGCAACACTCCCATCAGTATAGTTGTAAAATATGATCCTTCATCAGGGTAGAACGTACTCTCCCATAGCTCACCAATAGCCACATAGACGGTCACCAGAGAAAGGGTAATGCAAAGCAGACAAACTGCCAGTGATTCACGAGTGGTCACCTTCTCAGCATCGCGTTCAAGCTGGATTACTTCCTGATCCCGGTCCTCCATGATCTAGTGAACTATCTACTTCCTAACGTCCTTTGAAACCTCTGATGATAGCAGTACAGTCACAAGAAAAGAGCTTTACACAGAATCTGATAAAAGACAAAGAATCAAACCAAGCATGAAAATATACCAGTGCAGAGTGCAGTAAAAAGATTTTGTAGTCATTCAAAATCATTCATTCTTTGTCGTTCATATCTTTCGTGTTTCCAAAAAAATTACGACAGATCTTGCGTTCCCACGCGTGGTCATGGTGATCGTGACGATATTGCGGAACATGATGAAATGAAAATGTTTTTGGCTGAAGAAACTTCAAACGAAGGTCAAAATCGATCGTGAAGAAGACAAGACTGAAGAGAGGACCAGGCTAGAACTAGTACTCGCTCTATGCAGGGAGATCTAAATATCCAAACTCTGACTGTACCCTTTGTTGCTTGTAGTATCTAGTTCATTTGGTGGAGCTTCGCGACAGGTTATTTCTCTGGCGACTAACCATGCCCAAGCAGTGTCAACTCTGCCAGGGGAAAGCTGTACTCAAGAGGCCGAAAACTGGCCACCTTTTGTGCAAAGAGTGCTTCTTTCGTGCGTTCGAGGATGAAGTACACAGGACGATCGTGGATAATTCTATATTCTCCCGCGGAGAAGTTGTCGCAATCGGTGCGTCGGGTGGTAAAGATTCCACGGTCTTAGCATACGTGCTGAAGGTCTTGAATGAAAGACACGACTATGGACTGAAGTTGGTGCTGCTATCAATAGACGAGGGGATTACGGGATATCGAGATGATTCCTTGGAGACCGTGAAGCGCAATGAAAAGCAGTATGAGATGGCCCTGAAGATCGTGTCGTATGAAGAGTTGTATGGTTGGACTATGGATGCCATTGTCAAGGAAGTTGGCTTGAAGAACAACTGCACATTCTGCGGTGTGTTCCGCCGTCAGGCACTGGACCGGGGCGCGCTAATGCTGAAGGTGGATAAGATCGTGACGGGACACAATGCAGACGATATAGCAGAGACAATACTGATGAACGTGCTACGTGGAGATATTGCGCGTTTAGCACGGTGCACATCAATCTCCACTGGTACAGACGGAGCATTGCCACGGTTAAAGCCATTCAAGTACACATACGAAAAAGAAATTGTGATGTATGCATACTTTAAGAAGCTGGACTATTTCTCGACAGAATGCATATATTCTCCGAATGCTTACCGTGGATATGCGCGGGCGTTCCTTAAGGACCTGGAGGCTGTGAGGGCAACGTCAATCATTGATGTGATTCACTCTGGAGAGTGCATGGCTGTGCGCAAGGAAGTGAAGATGCCAACGCAGGGGACGTGTCGTCAGTGTGGCTACATTTCCAGTCAGGAGCTCTGCAAGGCGTGTGTGCTATTGGAAGGGCTCAATCGAGGCCTGCCGCGCCTTGGCATAGGAAAGTCGAGCCGTGTGAAGAAAGCTTTGTCAGAAGCTCCAGCACCGAGTGCACAGGCATCCTCTTCCGCTAATGCGCTAGACTTTTAGACAGGTCAGACACGTGACAGACACTTGCACTGTGATCTTGAGAATTAGTTTATTTTCCATTGTTCCGTTGTACTCTGTTTAGGTAGGTTGATGTGCTGGTGCCGGGGGGACTGTACCTGCGCACACATCTGGGATATCATTTTGGCATCATTTTTCGTAAACGGTCTCTGTTGATGTTTTAGGTCGATTTTATGGAAACACTTGAAGTTGAACCAAATCTTTTCTAAGTTTTTATCATCATCTAACATTCTCATTTGCTTGACCTCGCATTCTACATGTACGTAGCACTAATCATATTGGGATTCAGCTTTATTCCTTTGAGCACTTGTACAGGGGAGAGTTTTTATATTGTCATGCGGCTGTATGCTCTCCTTAGCTCGGCCTATCCTTTCTATTCTGTTCTCCTTTTCGTTCAGATTTGTCTGACACGGATCTCTTTAAAAGTTATACACGTACATTTGAAATCTTTTATTCTCACGATGGCCTGTGGCCAATAAGAGAACATGTACTTTTACATGACATTGTATTTGTACTGCCAGTATAGTATGTGCATGTAGATCACCACTATGCTGTCACTGAGCCCACTACTGTAGTGCACATTTCCATTAGGTGGGGCCAGCCTGCTACAGGTGTACACATCCACTGGTTGGTGGCAGCAGGATCAAAAACCCTCTTCGCAATCACTGGATGCTTTGGTGAAAGGTTGGATGAATGTGCATTGACCGTGCAGCAGTGTTTCTGTTTCTGACTCTGAGCCAGGCCTGGCTGTATGAGCATGAACACCAGCAACAATTACAATAGCGAGAATTCCAATCATCATTACATCGTTCCCAGGACATACTGGTACACTTTTCTATAGGCCTTTGCGTGTGGAGATTACGGTACGTATACATTGACGATCTTCGGCGCTGCCCCGAGACACCCAAATTAGAACAATATAATTATGCATGAATTGCCGACACCACATACTTTTGGCCAAATTTTGGGGCAGCACAGGCCTTTGCGACAACTCCATAGCCCTGCTAGGCCCCTGTCCCCTGGCAATCCCAGCTCCCTGTATGCATACAGTATGGTGGTCATCCAGTGATTCTCCAAGAAGTATGTTGAGTGTTGTGCAAGCAGGGCCAGGACTGCCAATGCCAGAAGTCGAAAAATGGACCTCTTTTTTTAGGACCCGACCCCACAAGCTCGGCATTGGGGGAAACCCCCATGGCATGCCCAGCTAGCTGCGGCATATGTACACGTGGTCCTGGCAAAGCGCGGGAACTCAAATCGTAAAAAAACCTGCAAGATCAATACAACACACGTCTGACTTCTGGGAGAGTGGTTTGGCTGTGGGATCGTTTATTTTCACATCACGAACAGAGTAAATCCTCCAGTGAAAAGCCTTACTGCATATTGCCAAACTTCCTGCTTTCACATACTCTATGGCGTCGATTCAGAGGCTTGACCCAGCCGTCGTCAATCGCATCGCAGCCGGCGAGGTCAGCTCAGCTTGGTGTTTTGTCAAGAACCCCCCCTGGAGTGCCAGCGTTTTCAAGTTCTGCTCATTATTTTGGTTTTCTGCGTTTTCTCAGGTGGTACAACGGCCATCCAGTGCTCTAAAAGAACTGATAGAAAATTGGTGAGCTTTATTATCACGTTCTCCTATTCCCTGTTTTACTGCAATATTTTTTAAATCATGTGACATAACCTATAATAATTGTAGGCTATAAAATCCCTAGCTGGTTCGAGTCATGGTGATAGCAGCCAGAATTTCTTCAGCCCCCCCCCCCCCCCTTAACACCTCCCATAGATCCATAGAGGGCGGTGGCGTTCCTAGTACAGGTCTACTCTCCATATAACGTAATCTCTGGGACCACGCAAAATTTATGTTATATCGAGAGTTATGTTATGTAGAAAACCGTGTGTATTTAAAAATACAAGATGTACCTCAAAATGAAGGCTATTACAAGGTGGGTTTAACCGTGCAAACATATGCACACTGTACCACCATCGACATCAGATACCATCAATGCCGCAGAATTTATGCACAATATGACTACACTGGCTAGCTACGGCTACAGCTTGATCGTACCGCACACTTGAATCTACGTTATATCGAGAGTGCGCACGTCGGCCGGGGACCGCGCGCGCCACAGGATGCGTTATGCCGAGGTTTACGTTATGTAGGACTAAACTGGCCTAAACTGCCAAGCAACAGCTACCGCTTGATCGTACCGTGCACGTGGATTTATGTTGTACCGAGAGTGCGCACGTCGGGGACCGTGCCGTAGCGTGTGTCATGTTGAGGTTTATGTTATGTAGGATTATGTTGTGTAGAACAAAATTTGTATGGAAGTGATGCTGTTTCGGCGCGGGATTTGATTTTTTTACTTACTAGCGAGGTTTATGTACAAGTGAGAGTTGTTATATCGAGAGCAGACCTGTAACTTCCTACGGATGTGGACAGCTCGGCCTCCAGCCGAGTCTCACGTGAACCGTGAATTTTTTTGCATCTCCCTCAGACTCATTACTTACCTACATGCATTTTGTATGTAAGACCAAGAGTTCATAAACCAGAATGTGAAACTTGTATCAATGCTGCACAAAACCACTCCGCATAAAACCATTCTCGCAGCAAATTGTTTTGTTCTGGTCATGAATCGTAATGATTATGATATCACGTCTCACAATAGGTTCAGGCCGAATCACTATAATATAGTTTATCACTAGGGTGAGTACCTGGTTTGATTTTATTCCAATTGTGTTTTTGTCACTGGCTTCCGGCTGTCTACTCTTGAAGTCTGGATGCAAAGTCAACATCAATTCAGGTCACTGTCAAGTCGGGCGGCCTGAAGCTGCTGCAAATTCAAGATAATGGCCACGGAATCCGCGTAAGTGTGTCCAGTAATTGCTGCACAGCCACCAGCGATCGGTGCGGCATACTTTGATTGATATTATATTTTCAAGGATTCCAGGGAATAATTTAACCGGTGTCGCATCGCAGTTTGCTACGCAATTCTTCTGAGGTGCGAAGCAACTTCAGAAATGTGTTGCAGAAAACTGCGATGCTTATTGATGTTTCACTGTACCCTATGATGCACAGTGTACATGCCAGGTGTGTCTCTAGGGATGAAATAGATGCACGAAACTTCGAAAGTGCTTAGCTATGCACCCTGGCACCAGACTAGGTTTGCATTTAAAAGGTGTTACAGTGTACTTGTGGTCTGAGCTTGCACTCTGATCAGCTCTCCAGGAGGACGGTTGTCAAGTGTTGAAGAAAATGGACCCAACATTTTTGAATTGCTATTCAAGTTTGATTTTGTGTAGCAGAATTGCTATGCAAAAGATTGAAAGTAAATTATTCCCTGGATTCTCCAGAGGCAAATGGATGCCTAACAAAGGGAGTCTCCTGGGGAAAGGAAGTGAAGGTGGCTGTTATGAGAGTGAGAGTACTTGTGTGCGGTTGGGGTGTTTCCCTAGTGGCTTTATAGCTGATATCAGAATGATCTGGCATCGCCTTAGCAACACTTTGTTCATGTCATGCTGTGAAGGTACTGTACACTGCCTAATGTTTGTGGTGTACCAACGTTTGCTAATTTTGCGAGAAGAGCACAACGCGAATACTAACCATCGTGAAATCGAACTTCAACAGTGGGTGTATATGACTGGATGTGGACCCACAGTACTCCGCGAACATTTGCCATCGCAAACTTGCTGGTTCTGAGAGATCACAGAAATTTAGTGACGCGAATATCAGGCGGTCTACAGTAGCACAATTCAGTGAGCGGTCAAGGCAGGCTCTCACAGGTTCCATCAGACAAGCAAAGCAAACCCATTGTCACCGGGCGATGGCCAGTGGTCTGGCTAAGTTTACGATCCAATCCAGAATGAGAACAGTGAGCTGCTCAGAACCCGGCAAACATGAATGATTCCGTCGTGGTCCAGTATTACAATGTTATTTCCTGTATAAGTTATGATCGGAAGGGGGCCCAGTACGTATCAGGGACCGGGAATTGTCTTACGTTGACGGTCGGATGAGGACTATTACTTTGCCAAAACATGATAATTAACTGCATGATAGAAATGAGTCGGCCATGTAGTGAGGGAAGGCGAAGAATCGTCCTCTTTCCAAGCCCTCCTGATGTCGATCAACACAACAGACATACGACGACCCCGAGGACGACCACGTCTGAGATGGATCGACGTTGTCAAGAAAGACTTACAATGCATTAATCTGTCGCTTCTGGATGCTGTGCAATCTGCTTCTGATAGAGCTGCTTGGCTCGAAATTGTTAACAGATGCGTTGACCTCATGCAATGAGTGAAATGCGAACTGTCATTATTATTATTATTATTAGAAATGAGTTGGAGGACTGCAGTGTACCTGGGAAAGAGAAGTTCTTCTCCGGACGATTTTCCCTTTATGAAGCTGCAGTATGCGTCGCCACTCTTTCCCAAAAAACGGTGGGAGAATGGTCCTGGTGGATTGTCTAATGTGAACCTTCAGTGGTTGTTCTGATCTTGTGTGATTGTGTGTTCTGCAGAAAGGTGACATGGGTATTGTCTGTGAGCGCTTCACCACCAGCAAACTCCAGAAGTTCGAGGACCTGAACAGTATCCAGACGTATGGCTTTCGTGGAGAGGTATGCGATTTGTTGCCCACGCCAAAATTGTCAAAACACCGTGCACCAAACGTCGTCTATTCCTAAATTTGTATCTCTCTCGCTTTCACGCTCTCTCTCTCTCTCTCTCTCTCTCTCTCTCTCTCTCTCTCTCTCTCTCTCTCTCTCTCTCTCTCTCTCTCTCTCTCTCTCTCTCTCCCTCTCTCTCTCCCTCTCCCTCTCCCTCTCCCTCTCCCTCTCTCTTTCGTTCAGTTCTGTTTACTCACACTGCTTCTGTCCCTGTACATGTGTGTGCTGTGTGGTCACACAGGCTCTTGCCAGTATCAGCCATGTGGCTCATCTGTCCATCGTGACACGAACTGCTGATTCGAAATGTGCCTTCAAGTGAGTGCTTTGCTTTCTTGTCATTGAAGGTGGAGGTGTTTTTAATTTTATATTTTATTAGTCTTGCTAGCATTTGCGCCATATAGCCAACGTAACCCCAAACCCTGCCTTGTCTGCGTACCCACCGATTGCCAGATTCTATGGAATAGATGATATGCCAAATAAGCGCTCGAAAAGTTGAGAGGGCATGCGATTGATGCGCCCAGGCTTAGCTTGTCAAGTGCACGGGATGTGCAAAGTACACGGATTTTAGGCTTGTTGCGCGCTTACGCGATCAGGTGCTGCACGTGCATGAATGGAATGCATGCAGTTCCACTGTTATTGCATTTTAGCATTCTGTCGGAGAAAATTTTCGGATGAAGAAAAGGAACTCTGACACCTTTGTGCATAGTTTGCTTTCAATTTTTCATTTTGATACCCAGATATGGCAGCAAGAAATAGTACACCAGCCATAGCTTCTCGTTTTGCGAACCCACCTGTCGGCGAAACGATTGCTAGATGGACTTTTGCTCAGCTGAAGACGTACATGTACGTGAGGGAGAGATACCGGTAGATGGAAAGCGAGATGATTAAATTTTGTTGCAGAGGTAAGACCGACAGATATTATTATTCCCAACGCCCCAGAGCTTAGGACGGGGGACAATGATGGCAGTCGGCTCCGAGCAGCGAAATGGCGTTGAAAATCCGTTCCTCCTTCACTGGTCGCTACAGCAGCGAATACCTTGACACCATCTGCATCGGGAACAGAAGAAGCTGCTTCTCCGCTGAATCCATCAAATCATAGATGCTGCTCAACAAAAAGACGCAGAATTTCCCACCGAGGCCTGGAGCCATCGCTCGGAGGATTTGCTAAGTGTTGTTTCTGCTAGTGCTGTACTCCAGCATCTTCAGAATCGAGAAAGGTACCTAACGCCAGACACAGAAACCATTCGGGGATGAGTCCTTCTTCTCGCCATTCGTTTACAGTGTTGAGTGTTGCTTCCCAGAGCCAAAGAATTCTGGACCGCAGAGATACTTTGTCAAGGCTAAGTGTTGGGCATCTCAAAAGAAGAAGGAGAGCTAAGTGTGTGCTACAGTGCTAAAAGAAAAGCATGTACTCGAAGTGATGTCTGCATATTGCAGTTGCACTGCAGCATTGCATGCTCCTTCCACCACATTGTTGCATTGCTGCTGACCATCAACTATTGTGAGATGAAAGGTCAATACCTGGCATATGCAACCTAGCAACAACAGCAATGGGGCACAAGGGCCAAGGAACGTAGTTGCGAAAACCCTTATCAACCACCTGGGCATACTGACACTGGCAACATTGATTTGCCTTTGTACTGGGAAATCCCGCCTTCCCTATCCCACATCACAGAGAAGGTGCTTCTAACAGAGGTAATAGCAATAGAGCGCCATACCCAACAGCAGATTGGCAGCGGCATATGGCATAGGCTGAGAAGCAAGACCCTGACTGCTTCGCGGTTTTACCTCATCCCTCACCCGAGTGAGATCACATCAGCGTTTCTTTCGTCATTGCTCCAGGCAACCAGTTTCTCATGTGCTTCCGCTATTCGTCAAGGCCAGCACAAATAGAGTTGTTCTATTTTTGTTGTATTTATCATTTTACTAGGGCCATCCCTGCAGACAATGCGCCTTTTTACAGGGTGCTCGAGGTAAGTGGGAAATGGCGTATTGCAAAGAGGTTACGTAGAAGGTTGTTATAACATAACAGCCTTCTACGCAGCCTCTGCGGCATGACGAAGGAGGCTGCCTAGCAGCACCCCGATGGAAGAAAACTCCAGCTATCGCTGATATCAGAGACCAGGTACCTGTATGTTTTGCAAAGAGAAGCCATGTCGTGAAGAAGCATTAGGTAGGGCTAAAGTGAGGGTGTACTATCCCCTCAGCAGGCCTGGTCAAGGCTTCCGTAGCCAGCGTAGGGTGAATATTTTGACCTAAAAACAAAGTAAACTCTGCAAAGAGGGGGCTGAGGCGCTATGGCATGGCAAACAATAATTACTATAAAGTTTTAACGGATGGCGACGGGAATATTTTGTGGCGGTGACAAATGGTGGCTGCTGGGTAGCCAAATGTTATCTTGAGACTCCGCTTGATACGTCGCATGACTGTGTTGTCCAAGGTTACTGATATGATGCCTTGTCTTTGAATCGGGATACCCGCAGAACTCCAAACATGCGACTGTTAGTCATTTCGCTCAATTTTGCTACATTATTCTTGCAGTCACCCAGATTGCATTGAATACTGTCGAATGCTTCCTCCAGCGTAGGGACAGTATGCCTAGGATAGCACTAGGTATGAGTCGTATGTCTTCAGGCTGCTCCCGTGCAGTAGCTCACGACACGAGGTAGAGCGACGCCGGTTAGCATCAGCCGCTGTTGTCTTGGCGGACCAGATTGAAAACTCCAGATACAAAATGTTTTACCAGTCTTGCTCTGGCGATTTTCTCCCCTTGTAGATCTACATAATCTTCTGGCAAGAAAAGGTCAGATCACACCACTGTAGTGTCACTTTCTTTTACTCTCCTTCTCTTTCCTCCCGTCGAATAGCAACAGTCCATTTCCTTCACAGTTCAGGATGATGGAAATTTATGGAAAAGACGAATACCATTTGCTGGGGCTGGGGAGTAACACCGGTCACCAGTACATCCTGGAACACAGCAATGGTCGTGGTTGGTCGGTATCCGAAAACAAGACAGCGAAAAATCACTCCAGCCCCTATATTAAAAGCAAGCAAAGCTGTTTCTTCTATCCAGATTTACAGCTTTAGTTTCAACGCCGAAGGAAGTGCGTAAAACTAGTAACGGTGGAACTGCATGCATTCCATTCATGCACGTGCAGCACCTGATCGCGCAAGCGCGCAACAAGCCTAAAATCCGTGTACTTTGCACATCCCGTGCACTTGACAAGCTAAGCCTGGGCGCATCAATCGCATGCCCTCTCAACTTTTCGAGCGCTTATTTGGCATATCATCTATTGTGATACCCTATGGATGCACAGATTGTGGACACCTTAATACGAGAAGGAAATGACAGCGAGATGCGTCGCGCGGCCTGAATTTAGAATGTGGTGTGGGGATGTGTGTCGAACTATCAGCATCATCCCCCTCTTGATGAATGTGTATGTGTGTGTGCGCGAGCATGTGTATGCGTGTGCGCGCGCGCGCGCGTGTGTGTGTGTGTGTGTACAATCCCAGTACAAGTTGCTATGGCTTCTGCTGTAGCATCGCTATCATCGCCTCCAGCAATGGGCATCAAATGGTGTGTGTTTGTTTGTGTGGTGCGTGTTTGTATTTCCAGAGCATCTTATTGTGATGGCAAGCTAACACCTCCCAAGCCGGGTGCATCTGCTGACCCCAAGCCATGTGCTGGTAATGTAGGCACACAGATCACAGTAAGTCCAGCAATGCGGCCTGACCAGGAGGTCTGGAGTAGAGCATTCTAGATCTTTCATACGTAGGCTGTACAGTCAACTTTGCGTATAACGACACTCGGCGGGGCATCAGAAAAGTGTCCATACCCGAAGTCTCATTATATGTATTACAGTTAGATGGGACTTTGCTCTGGGCATGGGAATTCTGTCGTTATTCGCGAATAATCGTTATATCCGCAGTCGTTATTAGGCAAAGTTGACTGTACCGCTTATCAGTAAGTACAGTGATGGCAAATGAAATCCAACCACATTGATACAACAGCTACGGGCCTCCACAACCCAAGCACTGTGAACAATAGGGCGGTGCAGTCAGTGCTGTTTTTCTGTAATCATGGGGTTGGATTTCATTTACCACCACTGCAATATAGGGTGAATGCTGACCTGATACTGCTGATCGCTGGCTGGGGCACAACTGTTAAGGCCAGAATGGTATTTAAGTGACTCAGCGCTGTGCTTGTTTGTTGTGTCATCCTAATTGCGACTGGGTGCTCTGTGTGTTCCGCGGTGCTCTGTGTCAGGTGGAGGATGTCTTCTACAACATGCCAACGCGGCAGCGTGCGCTGAAGAGTGCTAGTGAGGAGTACTCGCGCATACAGGACGTGATGACACGGTACGCAGATAGTCTGCATGCTACCTGCATTGCTGACTATTGGTGTCACGTTGCTTGTACTCTTTGGGCCGGGTTTTTGGTTTCGTTTCTCTGTTGTCATAGCTACTCTAACTCTGCGTAAGTTGAAGTGAATGCAGTACTCATGACGTTGAACGTTTACTGGAGGTTGCTCAGACTGGCCAACTGGAATAGGCTCTCACAAGGGGTACTGAATGTGAAGTGGTCTTTGCGTGTGTGGGTGGGTTGGTGTGTGTGTGTGTGTGGGGGGGGGGGGGGGGGGGGGGGGTGCACGCACAAGGGTGGATGTGTGTATACGTTTGCTGGCACTCTCGCATTCTCATGTGTTGTTTTGTTTGTGCGTGTGTGTGTGTGTGTGTGTGTGTGTGTGTGTGTGTGTGTGTGTGTGTGTGCGCGTGCGTGTGTGTGTGTGTGTGTGTGTGTAGGTATGCAGTGCACAATGCCGGCGTTAGCTTCACTCTCAAGAAGGTAAGTTATGATGTGGTCTCAAACACCATGTGCTCATGCACAGATCTACTGTAGCATGCCGTGTGTGCTTGTACCTGTAGTAGTGCTGGGCATATGCAATCCTGTACCATACTCTCTGCTTGCTGGAGTGGGAAGACTCTGCTGCACCCACCACTCTGTGTACTTGACGATAACTACTGCTAGACTCGCAGCGCCTGACAGTACTATGACCAGTGTGTGCAACGACTTGACAAGTGAGTCACTTAATGTGATTTAGTTGCACGAACTGCGGTAGTCGCTCACTCTCGCCCTCCACACAGGATTTTGGTCGTAGTCGCCAAAAATATTAAACTCATACAATTTATTAGTTATTACATCCACCGGAAAGGAGTTTTTATAGAAATCTAGGAACCAAGACAAGGCAAGCATGCAGGCAGGCATGCATTCAAATTTCCTCTAAGTTGAGTTTTGCCACCTCAAGTGAATCTCTGTAAAGGAGTGTTGTTTTCATGTGTGACTGTGTGTCTTGGGCATGTGTAGCATGGGGAAGGCATTGCAGATATCCGTACTGCTGCCTCTGCAACCCGACAGGACAACGTCCGCACGTTGTATGGTGCGAATATTGCCAGGTGAGTTCTGCCCCCCCCCCCCCCACCGCTCTCTCTCTCTCTCTCTCTTTTTCTCTCTTGCTTGCTCGCCACACATCTCTTCACCTCTTCCGTAGTAGTGCATGAGTGTGCAGTGTCGGTGGGCCTTCGCTTACTAGTGTCACAGTAGTGTGCGGGTTGCCATTATGACTGTGTTGTTAGGGTGAAAATGAAGGTCTATTAGGCCATGTAAAATAATATCAAGAGTACATAGCCCCCCAGAGTGTGCAACGCCTGATCCAGCTCTGCATAGGGTCTTGGTCGAGCGGAATCGGATCTTTGCGTCATAATACCGTACACATCTGAGGGGAACCCGGGGAGTCGCGGGTACTCTCGGATCAAAAACAATGGTGCCCTGCCTCGAGACCGGCCTTGCGCAGGTGTGGAGTGTACGCATGACATCAGAAGATCCGATTCCGCTCGACCAAGACCCTATGCAGAGCTGGATCAGCGTTGCACACTCTGGGGGGTTATGTACTCTTGATAATATTGATTGTTTATCGTCCGATTTTTCGAAAACCGGGGAGGGCGGGAGGTTTTATTTTTTATATTTTATATTTTTATGTACGAGGTGAATTGCTATTTCTGGACATTGTACATTTCTGGACATTTCGAGTAAAATAATGTTTTGTCGCGTGTAGAGTCAAGTCAGTCAGGTTGATGAAGTTTTTTCTTGTTGTAGTTGACAGCTGGGCTGTTGTAGTTTCTCCTCGTGTCGGTGCCTTGTTGATAGCCTTTTCTTGGGAGGCATTTCAACGAGTTTTGTGGTACTATGTCGCATGAGAATTTTGAGTAAAATAAGAAGTAATGGACGAATCGTTGGCTTCCCCATGTGCACGCCACTTTAGACGCTGTATAGTCTTGGACCTGTTGGCTGGAAGTGTGAAGAGGCCAACTGCAGTCCACCAATCGAAAAAATAACAAAAATGGTGCAGTATAGGATGCCTATTGACTCTATTTTACTTTCATGTCCAGAATTCCATACACTGAAGTTTAGGCCAAAAAATTGGACTGTCGAAAACATCCTGCTATAAAGTCTCTGGGATCACAGCATGAGCAATTGTCACATATTTGGAAAGATGAAGGATTAGGCCATACAATAGATACAAAAAGATATGAAAAATGTAAAACACACAGCCAGTGGGCCTCTATTTTATTTTCATGTCCAGAAATTGCTATTCACCTCGTACGTTTGTCATGCGGGTGTTCGCAGCCCCAAACGTATCTTTTTTCTTCTCTTTTTTTTGAAGTCATTCGGCCGTGAGTGGTTCAAGTGGTACATACACACGAGCGCACCCTGTACATGCATACATGTACATACAGGTATATGCCCCCCCCCCCCCCCACACACACACACGCCCATACACACGCACACACACACACACACGCATACACACACACGTGCGCGCGCACCTAGAACAGAGTTTCTATCAATTGATTCTGGTTAGGGAGCATGACTATTCTTTATCCAGTACATAAATCAGCTATTCATAGCAGAGGGGATGCTGAAAAACAAAAGAAGATGACGAAGAAAGCAGCAAGGGAAATGAAAAGACAATGGCCAGAACTGTGAGCACGAATCGGAAGACGGAAAGGTTTCCTATTTTTTGTGGCAGCTCGTGACCGCTTTTTCATTGGCTTTGCGTTCGCCACCTGGCACACGCTACGGAGCGGATAGCTACCGTCCGACAACAAAAGGCTTTCACCAGAGCCACAGTGATAGCAAATTTCATTGTGGCCAGCTGAGAAATGCGGAATCTCAATCGCTTGCCTGCAATCAAGATTGTTCTTTGCGAACACTACACTCAGCACACTGATACTGTTCTGCACAATGTCATATTTTCTTCTCCTGTCACCAACTGGGGCATGCTCCTCCAGGTCCACTGGCTCCCACATGCTAGCATGCGTCAGTGCAGCATGGAGACTGCGGTACCTGGCCGCCGATGTCGGCTTCACCACAAGTACGGGCTCAATGACTCGCAGCTCATCCGTATCAGTCTGAGCAGTGCGTGACCGCTTCAAATCGCTCTGGAGAGTCGTGTGCACCTGCTTCTCAAGATATCGGCTGTACTTGCAGAGACTTTCTGAAAGTTGAAGGAGCGATTCTTTCTGTCCTCGCCAGTGTTCCTTCTTCGTATATGAGTTGCTGCATGTGAAGAAGAGAGACGAGGACAGAGCTGCCAGTTCTGCACCATTCAGGTTGGTGTGGTCCCGTTTTCTCTTCTGTCTCAGCTCAGGACGGTTGAAACCAAAAAAACTGAGTAAACACTTCTGGAACATCGCAACTACGTCCAGCCAACGTATGGTGGTTGCCATCCAGGTACCACAGACAATCCGCTAGGGTGGCAACGAAATTGGTCCCAGATGACTCCACGGACGCTCGATCGCAGCCAAGATCGTTCTGCTCCAAGAAGTTGATGATTGAGTCAGGAGCTGCAAACGTGGCGATAACTACAGTTCCGAAAATTACACCGGCCCTTGTGCAGCTCGCACGCTGGCTGGGTCGTGCCGGGCTTGCGCTGATCCCGGGAGGTGCAAGTGTTGGCGGTGTGGCCGAGACGTTTGCAGAGCGGGCAGAGAGCGAGCGCCTGGCCTGTGAAGCAGCGGGTGTAAAGGTCCTGGTCAACCACATCCCACTGCATGCTAGGACTGTGGGCGAGTTTCCGACGGAACTCCTCGTCGTATTGGCACACCGACAACCACCTATATCGTTTCGCCACTTGGATGATACACAGCTGATACGTGATCAGCGACACCGCCCTTGCGGATTGGGTGTCGCAGGATCAGTGCGCAATACACTGACCACGCCTCCAGCCAAACGGGCAGGCTCTCCAGCTTGCGGCGGGATGGCAGGGATGGGGAGAGCACTAGCTGGCCACTGTCCTCTGACACCCGGACTCGCTTCGCGGCTGGCTCGTCCGCGAGGGGGGGGGGGGGGGGGGGTGAGGAACAACGCAAGCTCCACATATTCCCCGCGCAGCACCTTGTCGTACGTACTGCGGGGCACGTGGTCAGTCACCCCATTACGGGACCCGGCATTGACAGCACTAGGGTTACACACATTGTATGCAAGACTGCTAGAGATATTCACACTAGGAGTAGGCACACGAAAGCTATGGATGGTCACACCACTAAGGGGAGACAGCCCGTCGACGACAGTCAACGCAGCCACAGGGGTAGGGGGGCTAGCACTAGTAGGCACACGTGTGGAACTACTACTACTACACACACCCGTACCTGTGGGAGGCGACTCCTCCACCTGCACCCGAGTGTTGGCAGGGGCAGCCGGGCGGGACGGACGGTGTGTCGACTCCGCCTGACCCGAGGCTGCAGGGGCGACGGCTCTAACAGCAGCCTGGACCGATGTGGCGATCAATGCCTGGAGGGTTGCCATTTGGCCAGGAGAAACCCCAGGCGCCGGAGTCGGCGTTGCCGGGGGAGCAGGGGGTCCTGCAGCAGCAGGAGGAGCTCAAGCAGCCATGCTGCGGGTCGGGAGAGCAGGGGGTGCTGCAGCAGCAGGAGGAGCTCAAGCAGCCATGCTGCGGGTCGCGACACGTCGGGTGCTCATCTCAGCAACTAACGGAGAAAAGGGAAAACCTCGGAAGGAAGAGAAAACAACTTTGACTTGACACAGAAACTGCAACTGCAAAGAACGCTCCTTCGCACAAAGACGTTCCGTCCAGCGGAACAAGTTACGGGAGTGGAACGAAGTTCGTCAGGAAGTGGCAACTCACCATCCACCTTTCCTGCGCTAAAGTCGCTAAGTGTGTCAGCCAAAGTCGAATCCTCGGACACGACAACGCCGTAGCATGACTTCAAAACGGTGAGACCAGCTCGAACCTGAATAATCATGAAAGGCATCTTGGAAGACAATCTTGAGCATGCGAAGGAAAACGGATAACACACTAGAGAGGTTAAGATGCACATTATTTCTGACGTGACGCGCAATTTCATGTTAAATTTGTCGTAAAACTCCAAATTTCGACGTGAGCTGCAGGTCACTCGCATTGTTCTTCGCTGCACAAGCCAAATAACACCAGCTGAACTTTCGCGTCACATCAGAAATAACGTGCATCTTAACCTCTCTACTTCCAACTTCTGACGCACTACAAGAGAAATCTGACGGCTGACAACTCACTTTTGTTCGGGTGACGTGCACGCTTGGCTACAGACTTCGTACGAGTACGAGTCGCTCGTACATGAATCACGCCAACAGTACCTATTGCGGATAGTACAGCAGAGCAAGTCTTTCCCTCGCGCGGCCCCTACGACTCTGTGACCTGAGTCGCGTCAACACACGTCATGTCTACATGACATTGTACTACAACTGCAGATCTGCTACAGTCTACACGACTACATTTTTAGACAACACTTCGTCCTACTTTGAAGTAGTACTACTTGTAGATCTACGTACATGTAGACAGCATGCAGTGCATGTACGCGTGTTGTAGTGAGCAGCGCATGCTTGAAAAGCGCGTGCGCCCACCCGAAAAAGTCAAGTACGCCCCTAGATTCGTACACAAACAGTGTACTAAAAAAAACTGAGGCCGGGCGGGCCAAAAATTGGGGTGGACACGGACAATAAACAATCAATTTTTTTACTTGGCCTTATCTTCAAACGAATTCTTGTCTAAACAAACAAGAGTCTATGGGCACTCTTTTATCCCCAGTAGGCAGCCCTGGCACACAGAAGACTACTATTAAAGGGGAAGTTAAGGCAAAAATCAAAATTTCACCAGTTGTAGTCTTCGGGATGCTGAGTCGAATGGTCTTGGTCCGAGAAAGCTGAGACGCTCCCTTCCTACTTGAATCCCAATCGAACTCGCGCACTTCCACCGAGACTGGGTGACTGCGCCCTGCTAGATGGGGATTTGTATGCAAAATGTCACTAAAAGCGCCATTTCGTTCTTATAAAAGCACGGACGACCGCGATTGGCTCATATGTTGTAGTCTTTTGGACGCTGAGTCGACTGGTTTTGGTCCGAAAAGGCTGCGATGCAGCGTTCCTCCTTTATTCCCAATTGAACGTGGTTGAACAAGCGGTCACGTGCTCCTGGGTGCCCAAATCACCTGGTCACCACGCCAGCAGGCGACAACTTTCACACCAAGGTTCAACTCGAGTTCAACTCGAGTGACAGGACTGCACCCAAAAAAAGGTCAAACAAGCTAGTAAGTTGTACCCTGCAGGCACGGTGACCAGGTGACTGGTGTACGCAGGAGCACGTGACCGCTTGTTCAACCATGTTCGATTGGGAATAAAGGAGGAACGCTCCATCGCAGCCTTTTCGGACCAAAACCAGTCGACTCAGCGTCCAAAAAACTACAACATATGGGCCAATCGCGGTCATCCGTGCTTTTATAAGAACGAAATGGCGCTTTTAGTGACATTTTGCATACAAATCCCCATCTCGTAGGGCGCAGTCACCTAGTTTCGGTGGAAGTGCGCGAGTTCGATTGGGATTCAAGTAGGAAGGGAGCGTCTCAGCTTCCTCGGACCACGACCATTCGACTCAGCACCCCGAAGACTACAACTGGTGAAATTTTGATTTTTGCCTTAACTTCCCCTTTAATCATTTTTTCATTTAGACTTTATTTGAAGGATTCTCCAAAAGTAAATGGATACTTATCGGGGGAGTTTACTGGAAGGGTGGATGATACGAAAGGGAAGTGAAAAGAGGCTAGGGAAAATACTTAGCAGAAACACTGCTCAAGGAAAACTACAGATAAAACACACCAGGGAGAAACAGAATACATGACGAGCACTAGATATGAAAATCAGGAATTCCAGTCGTGGAGAATTTATACTTTAAATAATGGTCCTTTAGGAAAAACCGAAACTTAGCAGAAGATCGCTCCCTGCGTAGACTCTCAGGGAGCTTGTTCCAGACAACTGATAAACGGAAAAGATCACCTGTGCTGTGCTGTGCAGCAGCAGCGGAAACAGTGTGACTACAGCACACTCTATACACATGTGCATGGGCTGTGCAGTGTGCACGCTGCAGTTCAGTTCCGGGCAGGACATTGATCTACTTATATAGCAGGACATTTTCGGACGGAAATATTTTCGGACAAAGCCGAATTTCGACCTTTCGTACGGATTATATTTTCGTACAGTGCTGCATGCTAAATGCACGTGTTCGCATGCGGTACGCATGTATAGTGCACATAACTTCACAGGAACAAATTTTAGTACGGAATTAATTTTAGTACAAAAGAGGCCGTGTACGAAATCGTACGAAAATAAATTCCGTCCGAAAATTTCCTGCTATACAGTATCACTATACCTATGGGTTTATCTACGGCAAACTGAGTCTAACTGAGTCTCTCGAGAACTGTGAATTTATTTTTTTAACCTGCTGTATTTCTCACGATAGAGAGGTTCCGGGGTACGATTTTCCGTGTCAAAATCCGTATGGGCGCTACGGATTTGTTCCAGGCATGCTCCATACGATTTTTCGGCACGGAGAATCCGTGTGGACTGGCTTTCATAAGAACCATGTTTCGTATGGAGATTTTGCGTCATCGGGTGCAGAAAGATTTTTCGCGTACAAATTTGGTACGAGAAACATCGATTTTCCGCTGGAAGTTTTGATTTCGGTACAAAATTTCCAAATAAAAAGGCATAGCGCGGGAATGTGACATTGTTTGCGATCGTAACCTAGGCAATGACGGCAAACACATAAGTTCCGTACTCCGGAACATTTCACTGCTCGAAAACGACGTATAAAAAATCCGTAGCGCCTCTACGGATTTTGGCACGGAAAATCGTACTCCGGAACCTCCCTAATAAGAGCACTCTGACTTTGATGCTTCGGGCGGATTTGTTGCTCAGTAGCCTTCATTGCGACTGGTGTGGCCAGTCACTGTGAGCGTCGTTGATAAAACCTAGCAAAATCGAAACTGCTTCCTGTCCGGAGGTTGAGTAAAGGTCCTCCAACCTTCGGCACATTCGTTTTCACACCTAATACGGGTATGTTGTATCTATTGATTTTTATGTGTGTGTGCGTGCGTGTGTGGGGGGGGGGGGTGCGTATGTGTGTGTGTATGTGTGTGTCCGTGTGTCCGTCCTTAGGGAGCTTTTGGAGATGAAGTGTGCTGATGATCGATGTGGTATGCGCATGGCTGGCCTTGCAACCAATGCCAATTTCAGCACGAAGAAGCTCGTCTTCCTACTCTTCATTAATCGTAGGTTTATCGGGGTGAGGGGGTGTGAGGAGAGTTATTAGAGATTGTCGTTTGGAAAGAGAAAAAAAACCGCATCGATGATTATGGATGGCTCCTAGTCTTTTCTAGTTCTTGTTGAGTTTTCATTGCTAGATAGTGTGCTCTTGGTGTATCCCTCATAAAGCATGTTGTGGATGCTACTGTCGTGGACATGGAAATCCGGTCGAATGACGGCGGCCGGTGCCCTCAGCGCGTCCAGAATATTGCAGTGCACATGTTGATCGCATGCGTACCCACGGCGTTATGGCCAGCGCCCTGGGGCCGCTTGACCGGCGACTGGATTTCCATGTCCACGACAGTAGGTTCCAAGTACTTGTGTATCGACACTACAGTCACAGACTCCAGTGTGTTGATTGCTTAGCAATGTATCTGCGCTCATTGTAGATCTGCTAGCGCATTCTCTCCTTTCTTTCCCATTGTGTACTCGCGTGTAGATCGTTTGGTGGACTGTGTTGGCATACGGCGAATGATTGAGAATGTATATTCGGCGTACTTGCCGAAAAATTCCCATCCGTTCGTGTATATGAGGTAATTTCTTTGCGATCACTGGCTTGAAAATGGCGTTCTGTGTTAGAGAACTCTATTTCACCCTTCGGTGTAACCTTCATTTCAGTGCAATGAGACTCATGCGGGAATTCTAAATGCATGAAGGATGGGCACAAGCGGCGTTAACAACATGATTGTGCTGGGCATAACGGGGGGAATTCTTGTTTTGTGTACCAAGTAAATGACGGTTTTTTTGCGTGAAATCTTGGGCATGGTGGTGGCCCGGCACAAATGTAACTTCCTAAGCTGGGTGTGTTTCTCACCCCAATTGTATAGCTGGTAGTAACGCAGGCATGTGAACTCTACTTTCGTTTCCTTCGAATGATGAGATAATAATTTGTGTGGTCGTATTCCTTCATCGTCTTGAAGAAGGCGCACTCAGTTTTGGAGTGTGTGTGTGTGTGTGTGTGTGTGTGTGTGTGTGTGTGTGTGTGTTTGCATTTTATTCTTTTATGTTTGTGTTCTGCCTGACAAGCTTGGAGATTCTACCGTGTAATGTTGATGTGAATGTGCACCCAACCAAGCACGAGGTTAGCATTGAGTTACTCTGTTTGTTTGTTTGTTACTTCCTTCAATTTATTCACTCGTTTAGCTTTGGTTCTCTTATCCTGCACATTATTATTATTATTTATTCATATTTTAATAGGGCAGTCCTGTGGTTCCTGGTTATGCAGCAGCGAAGTTTTATGCCGCAGAATGTGTGTATGTATGTGTGCGTGTGTGTGTGTGAAAAAATGAAAAAAATGAAAAATAGGGATTCACTGGCCAGAAAAAAAGCCACTTGAATCAGCTGTGTGGTGGATACCAGGCTAAAATTAGTGGCGGTCAATTCATCAGCCTTGCAAGCTGTTGAATGGTGTAATCCCAGCACTAGTTGCTATGTCTAAACATAGCTGTTTGCTATCATCGCTTCCGCGATGGGCAGGTCTGAGGTCTGAGGTGTGTGTGTGTGTGTGTGTGTGTGCGCACGCGTGCGGCGGTCTGTGGCTGTGTACGTATGCATACTATCCTGTTGTTCAGGTACACTTTCTGCACGAGGAAGCTATCTTTGAGCAGATCCGCTCCACGCTGGAGGAGACACTTGTTGGTGCTAACACATCGCGTACAATGTTTGTTCAGGTACGTGTACAAGTGGGCCTGTGCTTGCTGTCGCGCCTTGTTGCACATGTATCTTTATTATTCTTCACTGATGATGGAGAGGCTCTGTCTGTTTTTGCACCAATTTCCTCCTCCGTCTATCATTTGTCCACGTGTGCATGTACATGTACTAGTAGGCATAGCTCGCACATCTGTGGTGTGGTGACTATTTACCATCGGCAACCTCATAGGTGGCATTTTGCGCCCATGTTGACTATATAGTGCGTATGGCGGCCATTTGCTATTTGCTGGTGTGCTGACCGGACTGCACTGACTACACACGAGCTATGCGCCTGTATCTTGCGATGAGTCTGGAAGCAGTTTTGGTCCTCTTCTTACGTAGCCGGCTGGCTTTCTGTTTCTGCTTCTCAGAGCCGTCTGCCTTGCAATCTTCCATCCATGACCGAGACAGGTAGGCCGCGGTGCTTGGTCCATTTCACTTTACCTACACACAGCCGCTTGAGAGAGTGCTGGATAATATAGATATCAAGAATACATGAAACCGAGTATGTGTAGCTCGAATAGGGTGCTGCCATGGCGAAACTCCTGGACTGCATCATTTTAATGATGCAACGCGTAGTACAAGCGGGATTCAGACTAGTCTCCTGCTGCTCAACTTAACCTCAATTGTACGCGCTATGCCACTTCGCGCCACATACTAGTATCTGCACCCACCATGGTTTTAATCCAGGAGTTTCGCCTCAGTGAACAATTCTTGGCAACAAATGTCAGCTTAAGGTCTGGGTCTTCTTCCTTTCAGGAATTGTATGCAAGCATCGCTGCTTACAGCCTGCTTTGCTCTTGAATGTGTGTTCTCCAGAAAGCGGAGCAAACAGCGCAGCGAAAGTTCAGGCACGACAGATGGTACGCACAGACAATCGCGAGCAAACCCTGGATGCGTTCTTGCGACCACAGAGCCAGCCTGCGACCACACCAGCCGCCAGCAGTGCCCAGTCCGTCGCTCAGACGAGATTGCAGCCGGCGATTGCAAACACGGCGATGACGACTGTGGGTGATGACAGCGCGACAATACCTCTTACCGATGATCAGCACCCGCCTGTGTCTGAGGGAGCTAGCGCGGAGCTGGCTATGGACTGCGGGGATGACACCGCACTCGGGAATGCAGCTGATCGTCACACTGTGTCAACTCCGCAAGCCAACAGAGCCACATCTGTGTTAGTCATACAGTGTATACTATATGCACTGACACTGTCATGCTTTTATGTTGCTCAGTACCGGTAGTAAACTTCATGGGCGTCTTCTTACAGTAAACTGAGTAAAGGCAGTGTCTTTATTTGCTATAGAGCAACCGGATGTATGGATATATCTGCTGAAGTGAAAACAGAACAAAATATCGAGAGTGAACATGTATATTGGCAGTCAAGTGACCCCAGAGGTCTGAAGAGAAATGAGTAACAGCTAGAGAAGGTGAAGGAGCAACGTGTACATGACAGCAGCACTGAAGGGCAAGGAGTAGGGGTGACAGAGTGTTAACTCAGTCGAGGTTTGTTGAGCAGCCTACAGGCTATAGCAAAACGAGCAAATGGCACAAGCTCTCCCTGACGGAGAACTATCACATCATCACTGCCGCAAGACATCTCTCGTGTAAATAAAAGTAGCGAGATGATATCCTAATGCCTCTCCATGATGTAAACACCAAATACCAACTATTATTAAAGTAGGTTAACATAACTAAACAGCCCTTGCACTACTGCTACATGTTGCACTGAAGTGTGACTGCAGGCTCTGATTGACCTAGCACTCTGTCCACCCATATTCCTCGCCCTTCAGAGCTGTTGCCATGTTACACCTTCACCTTCTCTGGCGATTACCTCTTTGCCTCAAACCTCTGGGGTATATTTACCAGATGAATGCTCAAGTAGTTGTTTTTTTACTGCCTGGTGAATGTGTTTTGAGTCTTTTGACACAAAACTCCGAGTAGCAGCAGAGAAGAGACTTGGTTGAGCCATCATCATTGCTGGGTGACTGTTCTATTGCAAGTTCTGTCCACTGGACATTGAGCACTCTGCATAGCCTGTGGACATTGAGCACTCTGCATAGCCTGTGGACATTGAGCACTCTGCATGTCCACTGGACATTGAGCACTCTGCATGGCCACTGGACATTGAGCACTCTGCATGGCCACTGGACATTGAGCACTCTGCATGTCCACTGGACATTGAGCACTCTGCATGTCCACTGGACATTGAGCACTCTGCATGTCCACTGGACATTGAGCACTCTGCATGTCCACTGGACATTGAGCACTCTGCATAGCCTGTGGGTACATAGATACATGTCTGATGTTCTACCTATGTTGAATTGTGCAAACTGCCCTGGAGTGCTCAGCCCTGCGCTCCTGGTTTGACAACATTTGCGGCCATCATGGGCTCTGGGGCTGGTACTTGCCTGCGACAAAGCAGACATGTTGCTCATTGCACGCGTCTGCGCTGTGTGCAACCGTGGTGTGTTGTGTGCAACCGTGGTGTGTTGTTATTTTCCTATGTTCATGTTCCTCTGTAGTGCGGACACTTCCGGAGAGAGTTTGAAGCGCAGTCATCCGCAAGCGCTGGGCACACCGAGGTAATGACTAGGATAACATGAAGTGTGTGGGTGTGGGTGGGTGGGTGTGGGTGTGGGTGTGGGTGTGGGTGTGTGTGTGTTGACACTAGTATGCCATTTCTCAGGGTGCGTATCACTAGACTACACGGAGTGATGAAGGGGTGGTTTTCAATGTACTTCGAAGTGCCAGCCAGCAGTACCGGTATATGAAGCAGTTGAGAGACAGAATGGTCTTGTGTTGTTTTGTGTTGGTGTTTTTGTTCCCAGTTCATCCAGAACCCCTGGTGTTGAGCTGTCATCGAAGAGAATCAAGTAAGTTACCGGGAATAGGCGGTGAGAGTTTCTTCTAGCATGCCACTGGGATCATGTAACAGCTGCTGTCTTGTCCTCGTATAACACTATGAGCATACATGTGCACTGTATGTGCATTATGTACATAACCCAGTGTAATTGAAATCGAAACGCGGCGCTTCTTTTGACACATGGCTCGGATTTCGTTGGCCACAACAACCCCAGCGCCCGCACTGAGCTGCCAAGATGCCAGCGCTCAGGAAATTTGCAGGTTTTGCTATTGACAGTAGCTCTGGATAGCCATGGCTAGCCATGGCTTTGTTCTGTGCTCCTGGCATGCACCTGTACTGCTTCCTCGATTGTTGACTTAGACTTGCATCACACCATTCACTGTCATGTGACCCCGTATTCATTATTTTAAATTGTGTAGAAACTAACTTTATCCATGATGTGTGGACACTACGTGTAGTGAAGCTATGATGGCTAACACGTGACACACTGACCTAGGGACGAGTGGCAACATATCTGGTCTTGTGATCTGGAATGACCTCTTGTTAGAAGTAACATTGCATAAGCATGTACTTCGAAGTACACACGCGTGCGCACACACACACACGCACACAAGTACTCCTCTTGCGCTGACAAAAGCTTGCTCCGTGCTAAGAACTGAGAGAGAGAGAGAGAGAGAGAGAGAGAGAGAGAGAGAGAGAGAGAGAGAGAGAGAGAGAGAGAGAGAGAGAGAGAGAGAGAGAGAGAGAGAGAGAGAGAGAGAGAGTTACTGGCAAATAGGCGAAGAGACCCGAGACAGTTCTTCTTTACGTGTGTTTGTGTGTGTGTGTGTGTGTGCGTGCGTGTGTTTAGACGTACAGGCCGACCTCGCCGTGACTTGGGCTTAACCAGCATCAACACTCTAATTGAGGAAGTGAAGAGCGTCTCACATCCGGGTATGTACCGGTGCTTGGGCTCCTTCATGTCCTAGACTAGTGGTCTTGCTGTGCAATACGTGTGTGTGTGTGTGTGTGTGTGTGTGTGTGTGTGTGTGTGTGTGTGTGTCATAGTGTTCTGACAGGTCAAAGAATGCAGGCTGACCAATCGAGTTTGGCATGTTTCTTATTCTCAATGTACAGTACACTTCGATTTTTGTTATTTGGGAGAATCCCAGGCTGGCTGGCTTTTCTCCAGTGCACAAGATCATTGTACTTGCTTGATACTGTTATTCGGCTGGTGGCTTCCCGAATATGACATGTCGACATGTACTGGAGCTAGTCTATGGTCACATCCCCGGCTGAGTGCATCATTCTGATTATCAGAAAATGATCGCATGACCTGCTATCCACCACCCACCACTGGCCACTCGTTGCCAATGAGAAGTGTTGTCTCTTGGCGCGGCTTGATTGGAGCTGTTTTGAACAGTGCTGGACAAGGATAGATGCGGGTCTTCCGGGCTTGAACATGAACTTCTTGTTTCTATGGTTAGACCACGTAGTCTGACCAGAGTTTACTGTAAACTGGCACACACTGGGGTCCAGGGGATGACTGTTTTACCGACTTCGTTCCGAGGGTCATTTAGCGGTGTTTCTATTTAGTGATTGAAGAAGTCTTTTTAAGTACATGACATAGAAACAAAGAATTCACATTGTCAAACCTTAGCAAAACTGGTTCATTTCCTAGAAACGCTAAGGTTTCCCAATGGCTGAACATTTCAGGTTTATGGTATTGGGTTTTTCGCTGGGTGTTCACGTGCAGGAATCACGGAGATACTGCGCAATCACAAGTTTGTGGGATGTGCACAGCCAACGCATAGCCTGTTCCAGTATCAGGTGGGTGGTTGACGGGTATGGTGGCATGATGCCATGTGTAATGACTCTAATGAGTGGGAGTGAGTGTGTGTGTGTCTATTTGAAGTATACAATACCTGTTGACCATGGACTGCTTCTAGCTAGATTAACTCTTGTGTAATCAATGGTGCTAGTGAAGCTTATATCAGATCCACTCTGATTTAGCCACCCACACTAGTAGCGAGTATTATCTTCACTGGGGGCAGGAGTAGCTGCAGTTGGATCCCTGGACGGATACCCTGATGCCGTCAATCCTTTTTCTGCACCTTGTCCTCACCCACTTACTGAGGTGTGGTGAGCCCATAAGTGGGATCATTTTCAAGTCCACCCATAGTTTGGGGATTTCAGAAGGTGTCAGCCGTTGGCCGGTTCCATAACCAATCGAGTCATCTTTGCAAGATTCCTTTTGAGTCTCTCTCCCCTCTCCCGAGGGAGACCCACGTGACCAGTTTTTTTTCTCAAGTACAAGTACTCCGATTACTGCCATGAATCGATTCATGAATGGAATCTCGTCGTTCGATTTCATGTCACGAGCCCTGGAATCGGTTCGGAATCCTTTCACCCTATTCACAAGGTGTGATGTGAATAGCCAGGGGCGATTCATGAATGGATTCATGAATCAATTCGGGGGCATAAGCGAACGCACTCACTGTGTGTGTATTTGTGTGTGTGTGTGTGTGTGTGTTTGTGTGTGTGTGTGTGTGTGTGTGTGAACGCATGTGTGTGCTTGCATGTGTATACGCTATTATCTTCCGTGTCCAGACTAAGTTGTACATGATCAACACGTATCGTCTCAGGTGGGTCAGTCTTAGCGTGTGAATTACAGATTCAGGACATAAAATTGCACATTGCTAACTGTATTATTTTGTTTGTGCATGCGTACATGTTCTTTCAAGTGTGTGTGTACTAGGCTCTGCACCTAGGTGTATTGAGCACTGTCACGAGCAACCACAACTCTCTCCGAGTATGTGTATGCATGTATGCATGTATGCATGTATGCATGTATGTACAGTCTCTCTCCCCTCTCCCGGGGAGACCCACGTGACCAGTTTTGGCAGTGAGCAACAAGTACAAGTAACAAGTACATGTATGTATGTATGTATGTATGTATGCGTGTGGGTGTGTTGGGGGGGGGGGGGGGGGCATCCAAAGTATGCACGCATAATGCTTTTGCGTATAGCTTCCTTCGTGTGTGTTGTCGATAGATTCCTGTACAGTGGCCTTGGGGTGGCACTGATCAAAGCTGTGCTCTACTAATTTCCTTCTTTTGACTGTGGCAGCCAGGATGCTTGCTTTTGTGCTAGGTTCATAATTATTTGTACAAGTATGGACTAGTGATGTGGTTGACTGCGTGCCTGTTGTTTCTGAAGCAGACTACAGTACAGTCTGGTGCCGAAGAACGACCAGGCTGGAATTTCACCAAGCACAGCATACCAATGTATACACGGTGACTCAACTGTGCGTAGACTGTAGTACAGGAAAGTAAGAATGACCTACGTGTAGGCTAGGAGCCCCCCCCCCCCCCCCCCCCCCCCCCCCCCCCCGTCGGTTCTTCGGCACCTGGCAGTACTGTAGTATGGCAGACGTGGTGTGTAGTCATATTGTGTGTCCCTGTGGACTGATCCAGTCGCCATGGTCACTCCCCTTGTAGTGTTGTGTATGCCTGTGTATGACTGTGTACATGTGCATGTACAGTGCTGCTCAATGACATCCGATCGCGTGAGTCAATCTTGCACCCTGCACCATTTCACAGCCTAGCGTTCACAGGTCTAGGACTGTGCAGCGCCTGGCGCGTGCTTGACTCACTCAATCGGATTTCATTGAGCAACGCAGTTGCACTGTACATCTACATGAGCATGTATGTCTGTTCATTGAGCAGGTCTGTATCTGGGCATGTATGTCTGGATGTCTGTGTGTCTGTCTACTGTGCAGCCAAGAGCTATTTTACCAGCTGTTCCTGCATGACTTTGCCAACTTTGGTGCGCTAATGTTGGAGGTAAGGCATTGTGCAGCCTATGCCCTGCTGCTGCGGTGTGTGTGTGTGTGTGTGTGTGTGTGCGTGTGGGGGGGGGGGGGGGGTGTCATGATCTGTGAGTAGTGTCTATAAAGCCGGTTCTGGAACAGGTACATGCCGTAAGATGTAAGATCGCAGTCAAACGTGTGCAAGTTCTGGATCACGTGATCAAGTGAATAGGTTTCCCAGCAATAAGCATCAATCAATGATGTCATAAGAGATATATCAGATCAAGAGTTCATAACCCCCAAGAGTGTGCAACGGGCATATACCCAGCGCTCGGCGAAATTCCTACATTACGTCATGCGCAGCTTGTCATCCGAGGTAAATTTGGGTTCTTTGTGATTTCTGGAAACTATACCCTGAACCGCTCCTAACTCAAGGCTGTAGCCTCGAGTTTTCGAAGCTTTTTTTGAAGACATTTTGGGACGTGCAAGTCGTACTTTCTCAAAAACAAACTCTTTCTCCAAGAATCCATGGACATCACGACAGGAAGAAGTGAGGACGCTGTAAAAATAGTGCATTGCCGTCGAGGACAATCATTCTGATAGCTGTGCAACTCAGCCGAAAAATGCTCCTTCGACGTATTTTCTCAAGTTCCTCAACCATTTGAAATCATCTTCGAGGAAAGCGCCGGTAATATACCGATGGCCTGGGGAAGAAATTGTTCTTGAAGAGACTGACTGCACTGGTGAAAGAAGAAGGCGATGAAGAGTCACCATTGCATCGAAAAAATAAACAGTTTTGCCTTTAGGATCGTGTGCTTTGTTTCACTTTTGCTTCTTGAGGCTCAGACTCAGACTAGACTAGAATCGCTGTTTAGGCAGTTTACCCTGGGGAAGCATCCTGGTTTGACTGTAAATTTTAGAAGAATTCATCGGCGTGACTCATATACTGCACCAAAAATGACGCAATGAAGGAATTCCGCCGAGCGGGTTTCCATACACGGACCGATCAGGAGTTGCACACTCTTGGGGGTTATGAACTCTTGATCAGATGGGGATAAAAGCAGTAGATTGCAGCGTTCGGCCCTTATTCCCAATCGAACATGGTTGAATAGGCGGGCACATGCTCATGCGTACACCGTCACCTGGTCACCGTGCCTGCAGGCTACAACTTTCACACCAAGGTTCAACTCGAGTGACAGGAAAGCGCCCGAACAGGCTGTAAGTTGTACCCTGCAGGCACGGTGACTGGTGTACTCACGAGCACGTGACCGCTTATTCAACCATGTTGGATTGGGAATAAGGGCCAAACGCTGCATCGCAGCCTTCTCGGACCACAACCAGTCAAATCAGCGTCCAAAAGACTACAACATAACGTTATGGGCCAATTGCGGTCATCCGTGCTTTTATAAGAACGAAATGGCGCTTTTACTGACATTTTGCATACAAATCCCCATCTAGTAGGGCGCAGTCACCCAGTTTCGGTGGAAGTGCGCGAGTTTGATTGGGAATAAAGGAGGATGGGAGCGTCTCAGCTTCCTCCGACCAGGACCATTTGTCTCGGCACCCCGAAGACTACAACTGTTGAACATTTGATTTTTGGGTTAAATTCCCCTTTAACCTTTTGAGCCCGGGCCCATTGAAAAACCTCTGCCATGCAGTAAAAAAATTTAATTCACTCTATGTGAGCAAACTTGATTTCAAACGATTCTTTCATGTATCCTGAGCACAGAACTGTTTTTGTTTTGGAAATACAACAAAGGTTACAAAAGTTATGACCGTTTTCAGAAAGGTAGTATTACGCGAAATTGGTATTTTGAAATGTATGCACGCGCATGTAACTCCAGTTCAAACTTACGGAGCGACTCGCATTTTTTTACTGTACTCGTACATCCTACGAGTCCTCTGTGCAGCGGTACAGCTCGATGCCACGGAAGAAACGCGGAATCGATGTAGTTCCGTACTGACTCAGTGGCAGTGGTCATGACGTGTCAGAACGTCACGCATGCTCAAAAGGTTAAGACGCCCAGACACGTCAGCACGTCCTCACCCGATGGCCACGGGATACTCAACCATTTTCTAGATATTTGGAGTGTTCCCGACCCCATCATGAACACGGGGTGTGATGAAGAGACTCTTCAACGCCGCTAAGGACCTACCCTCCTCTGCGTCCGTTGAGAGATGGGGTTTTTTATAGCTTTTTTTCCTCTCCTTGTAGAACATGGCGCGGTTCCGCAACAATATTGCCAATGCAAGTAGAGATTGGTTATAACGTTGGTGTTTGAAGAAAAAGAAGTGAGATTTGATGAACTGACGGGTACCTGTAATCACCTCTTGGTACTTGTGTTTTGGTCCAAAGAGGTGTAACATTACTTCATTTGCCAAGATATTATTTGTACGTCGTGGCGAGGTGGACCTTTTCAATGTCTTTTTGCTGCTGCTGCTGCTGCTGCTGCTGTTGTTCTTTTGAATTCTTTATTCTCACGATGGCACCATCGCCAATAAGGGACCATCGCAAAAGTTCGCAGAAGCCCCTGAAACGAAGAGCATACGTTTGGGGGGGGGGGAGGGAGTCGTGTCGAAAATCGCAAACCGGGCTTCAATTCAAAAAAGTATTGACGACATGTAGGAGCTGATATAGATTAGCATGCCATCACAGCCGGCGTAGATCGCTTGTCAGGACGCGTAGTCCATTCATGCAACTGCGCGTGTCGCGTAGCTGGCTGCCTGTACACTGTGTGTAGTCTAGTACCAAGAGTCCAAAAAACGCGTGGTTTATGAATTATGGACTCTTGCTACTGCTAGTACTAGTACTAGCAGGGGTTCATAGGGTTTATGAACCCCTGCTGTGTAGTTATTATAATAATTATTATGTGTGCAGCATCCAAGTGAAATAATGAAGCCCATATTGTGACTGTCGTTTCGTTTGAGGGGGGGAGGGAGGGGGGTCAGGCCCGAAACTCACGGTCTTCGTTTCGGGGGCTTCTGCGAACTTTTGCGATGGTCCCTAAGAGATCTTTTTTCTTGTTCTTGTCGTTGTTGCTGTCACTGCTGTTGCTGTTACGAAGGAGCCACTGAATTTGAAGGAGTTAGCATTACTGGCACTGCAATCTGCTGAAAGTGGTGAGTAAACATGCGTGTACTTACTGGATGAGCATGGTAACGCTCTGTACCCGTGCTGGTGCTGGTAACAGTTTGGTTCGGAAGAAATCAAATGCAGCAGCGCTGTCGAACTGCAAGGCAGTGTTGTCTAATCGTTATTTTTCTCCCTTATCCTATGACATGCAGTTCTTCAGCAAAATTACTTGGGAGCTGATATCACACTGTTGGCGCGGTAACTGCTATGGTGTATCAGTTCCATCAGTAGCAAGAATTGTGAAAGATATTCTGTAGTAGAGACCTTGCAGGAGTCACATTGAGCTCCGAGATGAGTGTGGTGAACTGTATTTGAGTGTTCGTTTCACTGGGAAATCAGGTTTATTTCCGAGTGCCTGACCATGTGCTTGTAACTGCTCGCGAGTCCCAAGTGAGAAATTCTACATGCGCTGTAGGAGCTACACAATCATCTTCATGCACGCATCTTCAACACCGTGTTTGACAGTGCTGCTGTTGCTGTTGCTGCTGTTGCTGCTGTTGCTGCTGCTGTTGCTGCTGCTGCTGCTGCTGTTGCTGCTGTTACTGTTGTTACTGTTGTTACTGCTGCTGCTGACCTTGTTGTGTACTTCTACATGTACAGGCTGGACTGCAGAGGATGGGCCACAGGAAACCCTTGCTCAGGTGAGTGTTACATTCCGGGGTGTTTAGTAGTGTGGGTTCTGATCTGTGTGCTTGGTTGCTTCAGACCATGTACGGGAACCTGATCTGACTTCGCCTTTGGTTGTTAGTAGGGGGGAGTACACGTATTGGTAAGTCCACCCAGTGCTATGGGATGTTGAATGCTCAACGGCCTCTTTTACGGGCAAAAGCAACACAATGATGAGAAACCAGGGTATGTATGGCTGTGTTACATGAGGCGTTTCAACCCGGGTTGAGTTCGACCCGGGTCAAGTTTCAACCCGCCATGAACACAGATTGACTGGCGCATTTACATGACGCATTGCGCTTGACCCGGGTTGAAATTTCGCCCCGGGTTGATTTCAACCCGGGGCGAGAAATCGTACTAACATACTTCTGTGTGTATCTCACGCCAGGTTTGAATAGCACTGCAAATGCAAATTTTGCGCGAAAGTATTCACGTGACCATACAGGACTCTAGAAGTGGACTTTTTGGCGGCATATCAGTATTTGCCCCGGGTCAACTGTCTTCATGTAAACACTCACCTACTGTAAACCGCCCAATATTCGCGTCACTAAATTTTCGCGATTTCTTAAGACCAGCGAGTTTGCGATGGCAAAAGTTCGCGAAGCACTGGGGCCATTTACATACTCCCATTGTTGAAATTAGATGTCGCGATGGTTAATATTCGTGTTACGCTCTTCTCGCGAAAATAGTGGTGGTTTAGCGTGTGCGCTAAGCCCTGTTAACGAACGTGGAACATCTACCACTCATACTTAGTCTGATGATGATGCATCTGATTATGATGTCATTGCTATACATGCGCATGCGCAGCGCGCGCCACTCTCCCACGCGTGCTTTCCAAATCTTGCTTTAGAGAGAGAGAAAGAGAAAAGAGAGACTCCTTTGTCACTTTTGGTTTCCGACGACTTGACTGTTCACTGGTTTGTCCGTCAGTTGTCAATTTCGCCTTCCCTCCCAACCCCATTCGACTGGGGATCCCTGTCTCTCCGTCACTGTCACCATAATTTCCTCAATCACAGTGTCAGTACAACTCTTGTCAATATACTTATATCGGGTGAGGGCAGTCTATCTCCGCAGCTGGCTCATTTCAATCACTACCGGTCGCAGCTCCTGCCCACGGCAGGCCGACCGTCTCTCGTTCACACTCTGTGTGCTCCAGGTCACAGCTCCTGCGCAGAGCAGGCCGACCTGTCTGTCTCTCTCTCTCACACACACTATGTGTGCACCGGGTCACAGCTCCTGCGCAGAGCAGGCCGACCTGTCTTTCTCATGCACGCCAGCTGCTCCGCCCAATGTCCCTGATATGCTAACCAGAAAACAATGTGTTCTGAGCCGGGTGCATGCCTGTATGTGGAGAGTGCGTTAACGAACATTAATCCGTCGCGAATATTAGGCAGTTTACAGTATTTTGTCTATCGTACAGACTTTCAACCCGGGCTGAACTCGACCCGGGTTGAAAATTCTCATGTAAACGCAGCCTATCATAGGAAGATAATAACACACAGGTGTGGAAAATATGTCTCATAAGGGTGGCGAGAGTTTTACACTAAAACACAACTGGTTTAGATCCGGCTTTCAACCACCGCCAGCTCCCTGAGCTCCTTAGCTGGACGATGGTAGTCGGAGTATTTATTTAACATCGAACAACTCAACAGTGTTGACACACAAATTCAAAGAGCGCCGATGAGGCAAAAAGGAAGAAGAAAAGTTAAAAGATGAGGCTATAGCCAATGTGAAGACCCAGCAATGGTAAAGATAATAAAGAACATACAGTCATAGAGTGTGACTTGCACCAAGGAAAAATAAGTCAATAAGGATATACAACGTTCACTACACATTGGTACCGCGGCCAAAAAAGGAAGTTAAGAAAGCGGTCGACCTGCATTGGGTCCTTCAAAAGGTTGTTGAATTTCTGCATGAAATGCTGAGTGTGTGAAGAACTGCGGAGTTCAGAGGGTAGTGCATTATCCATCAGAAGTACGAAATCTGTTCACTGCAATGGATGGGGTGGTTTGGCTCCTCGTACAACGGGCAGCACGAGGCTTAGGGAAGAGGGAGGAGAGCGAAGGTAGAGGGTGAGAGACAAAATTGCGCTGTAGAAATCTAGCAAAGGACATTAGCACATATTGATCAAAAGAAAACAGCGATAACCTGCATAATAATGTGCCAGGGTCATCCAGGTAGTCAGCGCCACATGCTGCGCGAACAGCACGCCGAAACAGTGATTGTAATCTGTTCCTATCCTGAGCAGACAACTTTGTGAGGAAAGAAGGGGAGCAATACAAAAGATCCGGGAGAATGACAGCAAGAATGAAGGAACGGCGAGCGGGTATTGACAAACATCTGAAAGAGCGCCGGAGAGCGCCTATCTTCTTTGGCACCTTGCGCACAATGCCATCAACATGGGGTGTCCAGGTCAAGCGGCAGTCTATGGTAACGCCTAGGATTCTGGTTGAGTCAACAACGGTCAGAGGGACATGATTTATGGAGATTAGTGGAGGCGGGATTGGGGCTGGGGATGGGGAGAGGAACAAGACAACAGACTTGTCTACATTAACCGTTAGACCAAGGTCCGTTAGAGCAGCAGAGAGTGACGAGAGCGCCAAGTTAAGTGTTTGTGCAGCAAGGTGAAGGGATTTGTGGGATGTGTACAGAGTCATGTCATCGGTGAACATGGGGAGATGACAACTATGCGCTTCTGCGGTCTTGGGGAGCTCACTGACATACAAATTGAACAGCACAGGCCCCGGGACAGTGCCCTGAGGAACTCCACTTGAGACGACCAAGGTACTGGAGCATCCACGTTGGGTTACAACCCGCTGTGTCCTTTCCGACAGATACGACGTAAACCAGTGCAGCGGTATTCCACGAATTCCTGCGCTGGAGAGGGACTCGAGGAGTATTTGGTGGTGGATTGTGTCAAGCGCTTTCCGTAGATCTATGCAGGGTAGAACTGTGGAAAGGCCTCCATCACGGGCATGGAGCCAGTCATTCGTGACTTTCGTTAGCAGCTGCACGGTGGACAATGTTTTTTGAAGCCAAACTGGTCTTCATCAAATGGGCATTCACCATCGCAAAAATCACCAAGACGGGAAGCCACAATCTGCTCAAGCAGTTTCGCTAGGATAGAAGTGAGCAATATGGGCCGATGGTTGGCGGGGCTATCCCGGAGAGCAGAGGTAGATTTCAGGATCGGGGTTATATTTGCAGTTTTGAAGTGGTTCGGAACTATTCCGGGTGACAGGGAGGCATTAAATATTTCGGTCAGCGAGGGGGCGATGACTTCTTTCGATACTTTGAGAATGAACGGAAAAATCCTATCAGGACCTGGGGACTTGTGGATGTTGAGTTTGTCTATTAAGGCCTTGACTTCTACGATGGTCGTTGGGTTGAAAGTAGGGCCGAAACGATTGCCCATTTTGCCTTAACGATAAACCAATAACACTAGCGATCGATTTATTGGTTTTGCCGATTTTCCGAACAAGTTTTATACGTGTCATGTTGGACATCAGAACGCGGCAAAAACAATTTGTTCAACTATATACAGGTACGTATGGGTGAAAGATCCACACAAGCCCAAAAGACCAAAATGAAATTTTTCTGGCGCTCGTGCTGAATCAGTAGGGCATCTAGTGGTTGGGCCGAGTAGGACGCTGCATCAGGATGGAAGACGCGAACGTCAAAGAAAGCATCCTGTGCTCGGGTCCAGAAGCCACGGGCACAGACATCAGCGCGGGCATCCTCGGCGGTGTTTGCCGATGCAGCAGTAAACACCTCTCTACAGAGTAGGGCTAGCTGAGGCTCGACTGCCACTGCGTGGCATACCTCAGTGAGTAGCTCCCCTACCATGTCGCAAACTTCGTTGTGGCGGATTGTAGGGAAGCCACCCGGAGGCGACACATGGCATGAGCAGTGGAGAACAGAACTCCGCAGGCACACTTCGCAGGGGCGTCAAGGAGAGGCCAGTCATACCGCAATGCAAGGCCGTCCCTGAACTCCTGCTTCGAGAGGTGGAAACCATGTTCCTTGAGCTGTCAACAGTTGCTTGGGTACTATTCAGCACTCATCTATGTACCTGAGAGCCACGTAGCATTGTCCAACTAGTGTTGATGTACATGTACGTGGATGGTTCGGTGATTTGCTTGTTGTCAAGTATAAGTCCTTTGTAGCATGGTCGCGTGGCCCAACGGATAAGGCGCCTGACTACGAATCAGGAGATTTCAGGTTCGAATCCTGGCGTGATCGTATTTTTTGTTTCACGTTTTTGAAAGCACGGATACCTGGATACCTCACAGAAAAGTGCAGTTCACCATCAAATGCCGGGCCTATGTTTTCTTCCCCATTTTCTTTGCTATGCTTGCATTGAAGATTTTCTGGTGATCAGAGAGGAACACTGAGCCTTGCGATAATGAATATGCTCGGGTGAATTTATGCGAAGCAAAGACCTTCTCTCCTGGTCCTGGACAAAACTATCTGTATTGTCATGCTTCCACTTCTTTTTCTTAGACATATTTGTGTGTTTGTGTGTGTGTCTGCGTACGTGTGTTCGTGTGCATGTGTGTGTGTTCGTGTGCATGTGTGTGTGTGTGCATGCTTGTGCATGTGTGTGCATGCTTGACTTGCTTGTGCATATGTGTGTGCGTGTGTTTGTATGTGTGTTTGTGTTTGCGTACGTGTGTGTGTGTGTGTGCGTGTGTGTCTGTGTGCGCGCGCGTCTGCTGTACTTGTAGAATGTGATGGATTTCTTCAAGACGAAAGCTGAAATGCTGGATGACTACTTGTGCATGCGCATTGATGAAGTGAGTGCGAGGCACGCTAGTTGCATGACTTCATCTCATTTCTGTTGTGAAATAGGGTGATTTCACATCTTCGTCGTGTGACTTTAAAAGTCGCGTAGAAAGGACACATGGCATGTGGACTGTGAACCAACATGGCCAGCATCACGTGACCCATAGGTTGAATGGAGTTGGCCAGTATCATGTGACCCATCGCTGCTAGGGTTGAATGGAGTTGGAACCAATATGGCTGTACCGTAAGGTAATGTGATAGACGTGAAACCACTCTATGCAGTACTGCTGGCTTGGACCTCCTGTCAACACCTGCACTACACTCATGCGTGTGCATGTGTGTGCGTGTGTGCGTGTGTGTGCGTGCGTGCGTGCGTGCGTGTGTGTGTGTGTGTGTATGTGTTCATTGTCTTCCTGCTCTAATTGTATTGCATTGATCCTTATGAGTGCTATCTCCCGTATCTTCTGTTTCTCGCTTACACTGTCCACTGTCCTGTGTGTAGAATGGTTGCTTGAGGACTCTGCCGCTGCTGCTGGAGAACTTTGTGCCTAATCTGGATGGCCTGCCGATGTTGGTGTTGCGACTTGCCACTGAGGTAATCCAAGTCGTTTTCTTAAAAACTTCAATTAATCGTTGCACTTCCTCTCACTTCATTTATTTTGGCTGTTTCCCTGTCATACCAACTTGGTGCTCACTTATTTACCTGTCTGGTTTTGGGCCAAGTCTTCCCTCAGGATTTCAAGGTATTCGTTCAAGATTGGCCTGTCTAGAGTAGTACCAGAAACGGGACTCAATAGAATGCTTATGGCGTTTTCTGTAGACCCCTTTAAGGTGGAACGCTCCCCACAGAAATTTATAGTATAGGATTCTTTTCCGTTTTTTTTTGCTTTGGAAAGATAATGGACTAGTGGTTTGGGATCAATAAAAATTATGGGGGTTGTACGGATGGATTTTGTATATGCTGGCTCGAAAAATCGGAAGTATCCTTACGCCACTGCACAGCCCCAAACCACTAAATTAGTTGATTAGCACAGATAACACACAATACAATGACCATTTCAGGATATTTTCACTGTATGCCACCCATGTAAGTTAGATGGTGATGTTTTAGGCCAATATGGCCTAAGAAATGTGTATTACAGATAAATATATTTTGCGAAATTTGCGATTTGAGATGCTAACTAAGAGGGTGCACATTTGGAAATTTCTATAGGATTGGTTTCCAAATGCTTGGATCTGTTCCATTATAGTATAAGGCCACACGTTTTTATTTCTATGTTTCTCGTCGCCTGAAAATCTAAAAACGTATGTGAGAGGTGGAAAAAATAAAAAATGACCGAAAAATAAAAAGGTTTATTAGACCTTTGTTCACCCTAAAATCCACCAATACACCATGCAAAATAGCATCCATAGTTAGCAACTACATGTAGTATGTGGTAGGAGCTACTGTCACAATCTGTGCATGTGCAGCTAGATTGCGCACAGAAAATGCCGTCCTTGCATAATGTGTCGCGCAGGCCAGGCCACATGTACATGAGTGTGCTGGTCCCCACATGCACAGTCAGTGCAGCACAGTTTTTTTCTTTTTTTCTTCCAGACTCCTGAATCGTATGCGCGCGGGTGACGAGAAACATAGAAATAAAAACGTGTGGCCTAAAGCGGTGAAAAAAAATTATGATGGTGCTCAACGGCTGTATCTCTTCGTATCAGGCCTTCAAGGTGTGACGGCAGCTGTATCTAATGCACAAAAACAGAATTGCGAAGGATTGCACTCACACCTACATGATCCAGACTGCTAAATTCTCTTTCCCCTTGATAAAAGAAGATGTTGGGACAGTGCTGGCGAGAGAACTCCAACCTCATGAATAAAGTAGCGCCGTATTAGAGTGCACAGACCGGTGTGTGTAGTGACCGCGCCGGGCGCTACACAGCAGCCCTAGGGCTGCTGTGTAGCGCCCGGCGCGGTTTTATTCATGAGGTTGGATTTCTTTGGCCAGTACTGTAGTTATAATATTTCTACAGCAATTGCTTTTCCTCTTGGCTTTCATAGGATACAAAATGACAGTTCTTGATAAATGCATCCTCCTGACTGGCACACTTGCATATCAGCCGTCAGCAGCGTACTTTTACGCATTTGAGAATCATTGGGGCCAAAACCGAAGGTTGACTTCTGGAGCTACATGATGTAATCTCCCAAGATAGCAATGGGAGTGTTGGTCTTTGATCGGTGGGTCTGATCTACCCCCACCACCACTTGCTTCAGGAGTGGCATGTGACGCCTTGATCCTTGAGGGTGATGGTGACATGCGTACTGATGCTGGAAAGTTCATGCGAGTGACTCTTCCACAGGGAGTGAAATTTGGTATTTATTAGATTTGTGCGCTTGTCTAACTTTGGTTCAGGTTGACTGGACGTCAGAGCAAGGTTGTTTTGACACGCTGGCCAAAGAGTTCAGTTACTTGTATGCTTACAAACCTACATTGCCAGCAACACCATCATCACATGTGTCCCAACCGACAGCGGGAGCAGCTGCGGACGCTCAAGGGGATGCCGCAACCGATTCCAGCGCGGCAGCAGACAGGCAGAAGTCGGAGGTGAGTGACTTGGCAAGCATTGAACATGCTACATGTACCAGTGATTTGGTATGTTGTCAACAGGTGGTTTGCGTACACTCTGTACTGCACGCTGTCATGTCACAGTCTCACTCTATAGACTATAACCCCAGGGAACTCTAGCTTACACAGTTCTGTGTTAGAGGTGCTGCTAGGGCATGTGATATTCATACCGTGTGTGCCACCTGCCTGCATTCATGACACTCCTGTCTCTGTTTCTGTGTGTTTGTGTGTGTGTGTGTGTGTGTGTGTGTGTGTGTGTGTGTGTGTGTGTGTGTGTGTGTGTGTGTGTGTGTGTGTGTGTGTCCCATATGGTGCAGTGGTATGTGCAGTCGATTTCCAATCGAGAGGTTGCGGGTTCAATTCCCGACGATTATGGTCGCACACGTCTTTCTTCTCTTTCTCGAACTCTTCCTGACTTTTCTTTCATTCTCCTGGGTGGTTACCAACAGCCTAGCCAGTGTATGCCGGAGTATGTGATGTGGTGTGTGTGTGTAGAAAAAAATGAAAAAATGAAAAATAGGGATTCACTGGCCAGAAAAAGTCACTTCAATCAGCTGTGGAGTGGATACCAGGCTAAAAATAGTGGCGGTCAATTCATCAGCCTTGCAAGCTGTTGAATGGTGTAATCCCAGCACAAGTTGCTATGTCTAACATAGCTGTTCGCTATCATCGCTTCCGCGATGGGCAGATCTGAGGTGTGTGTGTGTGTGTGCGCGCGTGCGTGTGTGTGGGTATGTGTGTGTGTGTGCATTATATTTTGTTGTAGATGTGTTTCTGGAACAACCGGAGCTATCGGTGGATAGTTGAACATGTCCTGTTCCCCGCATTTCGCTCTCGTTTACTCGCTCCTCGCCGATTTGCCGATGACACTACTCTGATTCAACTCGCTGACTTGCCGGACCTGTATCGTGTATTCGAGCGCTGCTGATCTTCCCAACTTCCATGCATGCAGTAAGGAAGAGCTGTGCTTACAAATATGTATTGTGCCATTCCACGGCGGGGTGAAATGACCCTGACCTGCTGCAGATTTCCCCGCGGGCCGGGTTATGTTTCCCCTTATCTACCAGAATCAGTAGCAATGTGTATAGATTGCTCGACTGACTTCTAGTACCTGTTTCCCCTCATAGTCCCTATAAGGACATTCTAGATCATCATTATCATTGTGCCCTGAATCTACGTATCTATATCTGTGCTACCCACACCCTGGCTTATCGAATCTTACTTTGCTGGTACTCCATTTCGCAAGTTCGAATCCTCTGAAACAATCCGGAATACCTTCCGAAAATATAGTCGCCTCCGCGAAAGACTGACTGTATCTGGATAGACGGCAACTGCTCGAGTTGCCCTGGTATTCAAGTTGACATATGGACGAATCCTATTGTTGTTACCAGTAATGTGCCACTGCTCCTCTTCTATGACTTTGATATCTCTCTCTCTCTCTCTCTCTCTCTCTCTCTCTCTCTCTCTCTCTCTCTCTCTCTCTCTCTCTCTCTCTCTCTCTCTCTCTCTCTCTCTCGCTTTTTCATCTCATTACAAAAATTCTGCGCATTTTTTTCTCCATCTGCGCTTAAAATCTGGACTGACAACCTGCTTGTTAAATCATGCACCTGCTTTCAGGCGTAAAAACCCTGTTGTAGAGGTCTCAGTCCTCATTTGTTAGACTTACCTGTCTTTGTAAATGTAACTTACTCCCCCCCCCCCCTCCTCCCTCTCTCTATTTATCTACCTATCTATCTCTCTCTCTATCTCTATCTCTCTCTGTCAGAGGGCTACGTTGTTCTCTGTCAGGGACTATAAGTATGGGTGTTACTCTGTAACCTGGGCACTGGCAAGTGCTGCTCTGCATTCTGGCCAGCAAAAAAGTACTTTCTATTCTACATGTACTGGCAGTTGCCCATTTAAATTCAGTATTTACTGAAAAAAACACAGGACTTTCTAGGAAAGGAGCTGGTTTTTCGGTATTGGCCAGGAAAGGAGCTGGTTTTGCAGTATTTGCTGGGAAAGGAGGTCGTTTGTTGCAACTCCCTTGCTCTGAGCATTCAGGTTCTGTAAAGTTTTGTTGGGCATCATGGTCTTTGTTTCCAACTGTAGGGAGTGTCTACTGTACATCCTGTCCAGTTTGTAAGTCCAGTGGCGGTGATGTGTGAAGGCGTGTGCTGTGAGAGAAAGCTGATTTGTGCCACTGGCGTATTCTCAATGAGAGTCCAATGCTGCTACGTTGGGTTGAGCACCTGCAGGGTTCTACCAGCCAGTGGCAGTAGCATTGGTGTGCTTGTGCATGTGCTTGTGCAAGCCCCAGTGATGTGTCCAGGGTTTGGGCTAACAAGTTGTGAGAACTGATCTGTTATACATGCTGTATTGTGGTAGATTCTCTAGTCTGTGCCCAATGCCCAATGATGCCTTTTTAAGTTCTGAACTCCTCAGTATATACCTCTACTGTCAGCCCAGTGTACATGTGTACTTCTGAACTTTACAAGGTACAGTGCTTGGTGCAGGCCACTGTGTGGGCTGCCGCTAATTGCAGCAGGTTAAGGGATTGCCCCGGCGCCTGGCGAAATAAATTGCTCACTTGCAGTGACCCTTTTGTCAATTCCCCGTGAAGTGCACTGTAGGTCAAGCTAGTAAGAATCAACTGGAGAATCTGCTGCATTCTCACTCTGGTATGTTGTGGTGGACACTATGTGTAGACTTGGGGTGGTCTTCGCCCATGCTCTGGCCTTGTGTTGCTGTTGGAGTAGCTTCGAGAACGTGATTATTCCAACCTTGAACTGGACCCTGGCTGACCTCTTCAGTGTAGTGGCTGACCTCTTCAGTGTAGTGTCAGTGGTTGTTGCAGCTTTGTACCCCTCCGTCTTCTTCATGGAGACTGGAGTGTGATATGTGTGTCTCCATGCTGACACTGTATCTGTACCTACCGGTGTGCCGTGAATCCATCCAGTCTTCATTGGCCGCACATGGTATGCAGTGTGGTGGCACCTCGATCACCGGGCAGCCTCCAATGTTTCACCACACTGTTCTGGGTTTCATTGAAATTCTGCAGTCCTGAACTTCTGTTCACAATTGGACAACGTGAATGTCACGGAAGTTTGTTTCAGCATACGATAATGGTTTCCACTGTGCACACATCCTGGTCCGTAGACCTCTGTATGTGCTGTGTGCTGTAGTTCACTACATAGCGTGGACTGGTGTCCAGGGCTAACTCACTACCCATGTTGCGCAGTAGTAATTCCATGCATGATAACTGTACTTGTCTCCAGGGGTATCTCACTTGGTATCTCACTTGAAAGTACCGGAGAACGTAAGAAATGCCATCACCAAGAGTACACAACCTCCTGGGGCCGATGTTGTCTCTCGCCATCATGCATGGAACTGTTCCAAACTATTCTCATGTCAGCGGTGTCTTTACTTTTGGAGTTTGACGTATGCGCGGCTTTGCCCCCAAGGGACTGAGGAAAGATGCCCCAACTGTGTGTGTCTCTATGTCCAAAGTGTTCTTTAGGATGGGTTGCACTGTATGGCAGATTTACGTACTATGCTTTACTACTGAAGTACTCGTGTTGGGTGAGCAGCAGATAGCATGCACTTGACCTGGCCACTGCATTCACTTTCTCTGTCATTTGACCAGAGATGAAGGAAACCTCGCCTGCTAGCTCTTCTTCCTTTGTAGCTCTTAGTTGCAGTGAGATCTTTCAGTGTGGCAAAAGCTGTTAGTTTTCTGCCCCAGCGAGTCCTCGGCTGCCAGTTACAGATGCTTTGGTCTGTGGGGTCTTGGTATACAGTGCCAGGAGTACGGACGCCTCAGGTGGTGGCTATGCGCCCTTGATAATATACTGAGTTTCAGTGTAATATTTGCAACGGGAATGCTGGCTGGGACTCACTATTGGGACCATTCCAGTTGGGTGTTGTGCTGCAGTAGGTCTCCTGGGGGTGATGCAGTAGGTCTCCTGGGGGTGATGCAGTAGGTCTCCTGGGGGTGATGCAGCCTTTGGATGCAGCACATGCTTTAAATTCTTTCTTTTTAGTGTCACGTACGTAGGGCGTGCGGTGTATTACTCCGCTCCTGGCTAATTCCACTGCGCATGTACACTTCCTCAGGGTCACGATCTAATTGCAATGTGCGGCTCATCCGTACTGTTGTACCAGTGTAACCGGTGTGAGCAAAGTTTAATCTCCAGTCTCCAGTCTCCAATCATGATCCCTCACTGCACCACACAGGGGACACATGAAGCAGGATGTCGTGGTCAACAGGAAATCATCGCAGCGCCCCGTGCAGGAAGACATTATTGCTGCTTGATGGCAAGTGCTCGTCAGGTGGCTATGTGCTTGTTCTCTAGGTCTGTGACGTGTGTGTGTGTTTGTGTGTGTGCGCAGTGCACCATGCAGTGACAGGGCTAGGTAGCTAGGGCTGATAATATCTCCATCCACTTAGGTTCTGCTACTGCCTTGGCTGCTTTAAGTGTACATATTCATAGCTACCACAACTCGCTGAAAATGTGCATTTGTATGCGTCGTTGTCACGTTGTGTGGATTTGTACGCGAGTGCATGTACCGTGAACTATGACCAGAATGGCACATCACTTCAACCCCTTCCCCGTCGTGACTGTGTGCTGTGCTGTGGGGTGGGGTGGATGAGAGATCTGTCCACGGTGCTGCTGAATCTAGGGTCTATCACTTTGTGCTCACATGGCGTCAAAGATACTCTCCACGCTGTGTGTGTACGCTGTGTAGATGGATCCTTGGCACTGCCCTATTTTTAATGAGTGTGAAATATATGAGTAGCTCACTTGCAAACAGTTTGGCTTTGCATGCAGGCCCATACATTGATGCGGTCATACATCAACGAAGTTGTCCTTTCCTGCTGCAGGTGATAAACAGTTTAAACACACAGGTGGGGAAGAGATGCTGTGCTCTAGCAGGATGTTCGACAGCACGTGTGGTCGTGATGTCAACAGCCAGTGCAGTTGTTGCTGGTCTGGGTTTGGGCTTTGCACTTTGCTTGCCAGCATTTGAAATTGAAACAATCATTGCGGCGCGGTTGGGGTCTGGGGTTTTGTTACATCACGCCGATCTTCCGTGTTCCCATGCATCTTTGACATCTTCCCACAGACACAGAGAACCTGGCATGGGGTAATTCATGGCTAGTGGCGCGTTGTGGTGGTCAACAATATTAGTACACGGTACCCGCTCCTGTACGGTATGGCTCACACACGCACTGCATTGTGGTGGTTTGGTTGTCTACACAATACTGGCTGGCTTCTACATATGTAGTTCCACTGGTCTGTGTGGGAGGCTGTGATCATGGCTGTATTGCTGTGCTCTGGCTGAAAAACTCAAGTGTCTCGACTGTCACCTGGGGGCATTTCCTAGTTCAGGAGCATAGACAACCACCATGCTGTCAAGCTAGGCCTGGCTGGCACCCATTCTGATCTCGAGCTGTCGAGCAAAGCACTGATGAAGTACGCTCGTTGTTCCATCCAGTAATTGTGGTGTCCCCTGTGTTGTTTAGGTGTCCCTTGTACTTCTGCTGCTTTGTGGCCTGGGCTTTTTAAAAATTAAAATGTTCTAAAAGTTGTCTTTTCTCGGAAGCAAACAGCACTGCAGGAGTGCAGGTGTAATGTAGTCATTGTGTGTACAAGTGCAGTGTAACATCAACACAATGGCCTTGGGCAATGTGGGAGTTTGGCAGTGTAGTTGCAATGACTTCAGCGGTTACTCAAGTTGATGGTTATTGTAGTAGGGAAACTACAAGTAGGAGCAGTTCGCGCGTTGTGGTTTGTGGACAAGGGCTCAGGGATCTTCTATCCATTTGCTACCACGGTATTTTTGTAATTTTTGTCAAGTCTCAAAGAAACCTGTTTCCCACAGCCCATGCTGCACCGAAGTCGGCGGATTGTGTCATGACTGACACACTGAGACTCCCGAGTAGGCATACACACAAACACACATAAATACACACACACACATACACACGGGCGCGCGCACGCGCACACACACGCACACCTGGTTGTGCACACATACATGTTACTCCGTTCATTCCATGTTTAGCTGCAAAAATACGCCGGGTGACTTTCTTCATTTCCGAAGTAGCAAGAGAAGTTATGATATTCTGGTCGTCATTGCACATCCTGTCTTGTTCTTGTACTACCAGCTTTCTTCATATATCAGCTGTACTACCAATACTACCAATAGGCTGTAGCGTACGGATGTACAGCAAGCAGAGTGCTGGAGTCGTACAAACGGGTTTGTACGACTCCTGTGGTCCAATGCAGTGTGCAAGTTATTTCCAAAGCAACCTGGGAAAGAGTTTTGGTATGGCCAACTGGCCGAAGTGGGATTGTCCGCTGAGCCAAGTAGTACTAGTGCGTTGGCGGTCACTTGTGGCACACTACATCCCCTTGTACACCACCCGGCTAATGCGGAGGAGCTTGTCGTCAACAAGAGTTTGAGATTGGTGTGTGTGTGGGGGGGGGGGGGGGCAGGCTGCCCTGTTAGCTTGTTGTGTGCCCTTGATCGTGTTCTGCTGGCAACAAGTTGGTTGTGTGTGCTGGTCTCTGTACTAGCCATGATGCTGGCACATGCAGTTGTGTGGCTTCATATGCTGGCAAAGCTATCTTGTCATGCAGTCAGATAGGGGCATGCGTGACACCAAGCAGGATGCTCGTTCAGCCAGAGCTGAATTGGCCCTGGTGCATTCCTGACCGTCAGAGCTGGTAGCTGACGCCTTTTCTGCCATTTCTCTCCAGCTCTCCCATGTGTGTAGTGTGTGTGTGTGTGTGTGTGTGTGTGTGTGTGTGTGTGTGTGTGTGTGTGTGTGTGTGTGTGTGTGTGCAGAACGGGCAGCTTTTGCATGTAGTATTCGCAAAAACCTTTTCTGGCTGGATGACATTGAGGAACTTTATCATTTCCACATTAATCATTACCCCCTCCTCTGCACACA